TGCTTCATGAACATTTCTACCTGCTCATTAAGAAATTAGATTTCCTGAAGCATTTATTATCTTTGCTCTCTCATTGTGGATCAGGCATGTGGTTAATAATTTTTTGGTAGAACAGAAAAGGTGCATCAAACTTTTCCAAAGAGAGCACCCATCCTAATTTGTTTTCCCTGAATAGTCTTCAGTGATGATGATTGGTGTTCAGTCGTGATCAGTGGTGAAAAATAAGTGTTCACACAATGTGTATGTATCCAGGCCTAGCTGCTAATGCCACCCCTGCTTTCTCCCAATAGTGGACCCTCCTAGTCATTTTGATGTGGTTATGGTAGAACAAAACAATAAGTTCAGTGTCAATATTGATATGAAAGTATAAAATGTACACTACTTAAAACTGTGTGTGAAATAACAATAACCTTTCTTTTGATAGACTGAATTTTGTAACGCAATTCTGATGAATTAAAAAATCATATTAAAATGAATATATTAAAGAAATGTGCAACCAAGGAACATATTTGAGCAGAATTACAAATGAAATAGCAGAAGTGAGTTCACTGACATCCTTCAAAGCCCATCTTGAAAGTTGTTCCATATCAGACTGTGAGCCGTAGCAGTTTTCCTTTGGGGTTCACACCTTTTGTGATCCATTTCTTTGAAAGCAAAACACTTACCAATATTGGATATTTGTAGATGTATCTGTGTATTGCAAATCCATGTACAGAATGCACATATATTAGAGGAAATGCAAGCAAAATGATTGGATCATAATCTTGCAATAAAAATTGCAGGTGTGCAGACAATCTGGATGAGAGCCTCTCACTTTACATTCATGAGAGAAAGGAAAAATAAAGAGTAAGATATATAGATTTTGCAGCAACTTTGATGTAATGCCTGCTTTGTTTCACATAATTAATTTGAGTTGGACCTAGATTGATACTTGAGCAACTGTACCGGCGGAAGTAGTCTCCCTTACCTTCTCCATTCAAGGACACTCAACAAGCCCTCAGCACTCCTAAAATGCCACACAGAAAGTCAGGGAGCTCTGCTGAACAGGTATGGGCAAAAAAGGAGATCCACAAAAGTCTGGCAGAAGGACTTTCTGTGAGTAGAACGTTGCCTCTTGTGGATGTTCCCTACCACCTGCAGAAGGAAGATCCTAGTTCCTGTGCTCTGGGAGTTAGGACACTGAAGGTCCAATCCCAGTTTCATCTCTTCACAGAAGGCAGGGAGAGAATTGTACTGGCTGAAAAGGTGCTCTATAGAGGAGTAAAAGTTGTGTTTGGGAGGGGAGGAGGCTGGGGCTAAGCACTTTCATGGAATCAAGTTTACACCCCAGGATCTTTTCAGTTCCATCCTTGGTGTTTTATCCGGGTGGCTGAATATGGTTGTCTAGATAAAAGTCAAGGTATACAGTTACACAGAGATCACTGATACTGTGTCTTGTCTAGGGCATGAGCTGCATCTGAATCCTCTTATGCACAGTGAAGGCAGGAATGATATGCCGTTGGTGGGGTACCTCATGTAGGAATCAATCTTACAAGTAGGAATGGGAAACTCACAAACTCACTCTCATTTTCATTTGTCATCAAGTGCGTGTTCTGAATGGGAATAAATGTGTACTTCTCTGCTATTGATTGGAGAATGAAAACACACACACACAGACACACACACTTTGAAGGATGTGCGGGAGAGGGGGTTTGGAGCTCCAAAATCTCAATTCAAGTGTTATCCCTGACCGGGAACTGGAAACGCAAATATGGCTTCAGATCATTTCCTCCACTGATTGTATCACAAGAATGTTCTTTTATATATTCAGTTCATATCACATTCTACTGCTCGTATGGGCAAATGCTGTAGAGAAGCAGGAATTGCTATAGTAAGGCAGAGGCAGAGGCAGAGAGAGCAGGTTGCATCCACAAAATTTTACACCAAACATTACAGAGGGCTGTTACTATATAGTAGTAGTAAAAGAAAATTTAAGGAAATATTTTGGCAAAATTGGAAATTTAATTGGGTATTTAACCCTTCCGGAGGGTTAATGACTCCCAAATTTTAGATGAATTTCAAGTTGTTTGTTTGTTTGTGAAAGAGCGGCCTTTGCACTCTGCTTTTTGTTTTGTTCTGTTTTGTTTTTGTAAGAAAAAGGATATGCTTATTCCCCATCCTCATCTGGGAAGGTGGGTGAAGCAAAATCAAATCAGGGTGAATCATTTAGCAGGGCTTTATCAATTTGGATTTAAACAGTGACTTGTTCCCAGCCATAGTTTGTAATTCCTTATCAGGGTTCTTGTTTCCATCCACATGCAGTGCCTTATCACAGGGTTCCTAATCAAAGAGCATCCCTTTCAAACCTCTGCATGGTGATCTAAGCAGTAGCAACTTTGGAGCGTCATGGAGGGTGCGGTTTCCATAGGCGCCCATGTCCCTGCCCTTCTTTTTCCTGACATGTCAGGAGACAAATGCCTACCGGATTTTCCACATTTCCTAATTTCTGAAAAGTATTTCTTCTGATCAAATTTGCTTTCAGTGGCAAGTATTATCATTCACCATAGCTATACTACTGGCATTTTTCTGGCTTTTGTTCTTCTGGAGCAATTCTTTGTTCAACCATCCTGTCCCCAGCTACAAGAGGGCACACATACATGCACACATGGACACCCAGGAGACCTAGTGAAGCTGTTTCCAAATGTATAAAAGCACCAGGGAGAATGTCTGTGCTTAAGCAAGGATAAAACATTGAACTCCCATTAACAGAAGTCTTTAGTAAGAACTTGCCTTCTATCTATTGGCACTATAGACACAAACCCAGTTTGGATGAGGAAGAAGAGGAGACTTTCTAAGCTGTACAATAGCCCAAGGAGGGACATATTTACTTGAAAGGAGGTAAAATACTTATTGTTTGGTTTCCTGCAAGGACTGCTGCAAAGGAAAGGGTTTTTGTGAGAACTCTTCTCGCTCTCTCTCGCTCTCGCTCTCTGTTTCTCTCTCCCTGTGTACTCTAGGTTTGAACTCACTTTAAAGGATGTAAAATGTTAATTTCTTAGCTGTACAGTTCTTCTAGCTTAATGGAAAATTCGCAGAATGGAATATATAGTTTTAATGGAGCATTAAATTTCAAATGCACAGTTCTTTGTAAGGAAAAATGTTTAGCGTTTGAACTGAATTGACATGAAAATTAACCTGAACTCAGATTTAGCACTCACACCGCATAGCTTGGCTAAGAGGAAATATAAATCATGTGCTATTTAGCCTGAATTAATGAGGGCAAAGAAGAGAGGGTGCAACTATATGGGACGCTTGATGTATAGTTTTGATGGGACCAGTGATACCCCAAAGACATCACCACCCACCATGCACCATCAAGTGCTTCTTTTCCCAAAGATTTTATTGCATGCTGCCCCACTATGCTCTTCTCCTGCATTAAACCTGTGTCTCTGCATTTGTTCCCTCCATCTGAATACAGCTACAAAGTCTTTAAAAGCCTCTACTAGGTGGATAGAACTTGAAATGCATCACCGTGGAAGTACAACATAACTACACTGGCAGAAAAATCATAGTTAACTGGTTGTGATGCCCCTCTCCCTTGCCCTTGCCCCCTTCCTGCCGAAAAATCCAGATGCCATGACTTGGCTGAGAAGGGTTGTGGTTGCAGTCCTTGAAAACACGGCCAAGGAGCCCTTTACTCCACTATGTCTTGGGCAGAGTTTCCCATGCAGTTTCTTCTTATTTCTTCATGAAAGGAAGCCTCCCACTAAGATGCACACTTGATAAGCGGGGGGTGGGGGGGACTCATTTGCTACAGCTATCATTTGCTCCACCCAAAAGGAAGCAAGAACAGCCATATCCCCTGCAGACACCCCCCCCCCAACCTCCAGTTAGCTACCTGCACTCTTTGATTTACTTGGAAGACCAATGAAGATAATCTGATTAACTTCAACATGGACATAGGTTTCAACTAGTAGTTTCCTGAGCAGAGGGCAAAGGATGCAATCAGGAAAGTTTGAAATGACACTGCAGCCCTTATTTCTTCAAAAAGAAAGGGAGAGTGAAGACATGGGAGTAGGCAGGCAGGGAAGCCACTGCTTAGGCTTCTTGGATGCTTTGTGGCCTTACCCACCCCCCCCACCCCCCATATCTCCCCTGCTCCTTTCCTCAAGATGTGCAGCAGACATTGGATTTCTGCTGCCACCAAGACCTTCCCCAAGCAATAATAAAAAATCATGCCACATTTTCCCTGTTGAGAGAAAAAGCAGGAGATGCAGAGTGGGACAGCCATGGCATGAGGACAACACTGTGAAAAGGCCCCACAATGTCCACGTGTGAATTATCACAAAAAATGGGTTGTGTAGAGAAGTCCTAAAAAGAGCCCATTAACTGTAGCCAGTTAACGTCCCCTTTAATGCTGGGAATGGGACCGCAACCTCCACTCCACATGAAGACAGCAGGTTGGCTGGGGCAGTGCAGAGCTGGCTGTGTGCCCCAGGCTCTCTCCTCCACCATCTTAGAGCCATTCCTGTCACCCACCCAGATTCTGCACCTGCAGTCTGAGGATGGGGCTTCACTCAGCCTAATGTCAGGGTGAGGCTGAGAAACGGTAAAACCAGAGAGCTTGCATGTTCACCTTAGGAGGCTCTCTTGGGTTTAAGACGCATTAAGTTAAGGAAGATGAAGCACCACCAGGAAACTCCATCTGTCAGTGGTGCTTGCCAAACCCCCCCCCCCGCTTCCTGTACTGCCACAGAATACCCCTTAAGTCCCTTGTCCTAGGTCACTTTGGCAAGCTAGTGGAGTAGCTGGTGCACCAGTTGTGAAGGTGGGGAGGGAGACATCAGCACAGGGTCAGAGTTGGGACTGATTGCGGCCCTCAAAACTCCGCATAAGAGCCAAAGAATCTCTCTGTTTCCAATTTTTAAAAAAATGCTCAATGGTTTGTATCATTGTTTCCTATTGCATTCATTAATTTGTGCATTTTCATTTACAGAAAAATATTTATTTAAAATAACACAATGGATATCAGTAATGACACTGTTCCATCAGAATTCATCCTTCTGGCATTTTCAGACCTTAGTGAATGGCGTTTCATCCTTCTTGGATTTATGCTCATTGCCTACCTTTTTATAGTAATGGGGAATCTTCTGATCATCTTACTTATTTGCTTGGAACCATGCCTTCAAACCCCCATGTACCTTTTTCTGAGCAACCTTTCCCTCCTGGACCTCTGCCAGACTACAACCACCATTCCTCAGATAATAGTGTTCTTGATTTCAGGGGGAAACACCATCTCTAGTGAAAGATGCCAGGCACAACTCTTCTGCTTTGTGTTTTTCATTGGCACTGAGACAATTCTGTTGGGTGTCATGGCTTATGATCGGTATGTCGCCATCTGTAATCCCCTCCGCTACCATGTGGTCATGAGTCAGAAAATGTGTGCCCAGCTTGTATCAGCTACCTGGTTGACAAGTTCACTCAATGCCACTGTGCATATTATTTTCACCTTCCGTTTGTCTTTTTGTGGTGTCAATGAGATAAACTACTTCTTCTGTGACATCTCTCCTCTTCTAGCTATCTCCTGTGGGGGCACCTCTGACAGCATCACAGCAATGCTGGCCTGTAGCCCTGTAATGGGGTTTGGACCAGTCATGTGCATCATGATGTCCTACATTCACATCATCTGGAGGATTCTGAAAATGACCTCCTCAGCTGGGATGAAGAAGGCCTTTTCTACCTGTGCTTCTCATTTCACTGTTGTCATACTTTTTTATGGAAGCTCTATTTTTACATACATCCGACCTCTCTCCAGCTACTCTCTCAATAAGGACAGAATGATTGCCCTTGTTAACAACATTCTCTCCCCTATGCTTAACCCGCTGATCTACACCCTAAGGAACAAAGATGTAAAGATGGCACTGCAAAAGCTGATGGCAAAGAAATTGGTTTCTTGAAAGAGTCAAGGTTTTCAGGGGTATTCAAAATATTCAGCACGTAGCAGCCAACAGATAAGAAAGTAAGAAGTTTCCAATAATAGTATGCAGCATTTCTGATATTTCTAATAATGGCTATGTCAAGAAAGATCCGTATTTGTGGTCCTGCCTTTCTTTTCAGTTCACTTTCCATTCTAAAATTTGAGAAATTTGAATATCTGGAAGTATCACTTTCACTGGTTTTATAGTATAGACAACCAGCTTGGATGCTTTGTTCCGCTCTTCTATTGTAAGACCATCCTGAGACCTTGGTAGTAGATGGTATATAAAAGTTTTAAATAAATAAATAAAACCACTAGTCTTACTCCTTTGCAAACTGTTTGAGTAATATATTGATTTCTTCCTGTGTAATTGATATTGTCCAGCATAACTGTTGCTTCATGAAAATTTCTATCCTGCTCATTAAGAAATGAGATTTTCTGAAGCATTTATCTTTGATCTTTCTTTCTGGCTGAGGCATATAGTTGATAGTTTTCAAATGCAAGACGCTTTGTCCCCCTCCTCTCCTCTCCTCTCCTCTCCTCTCCTCTCCTCTCCTCTCCTCTCCTCTTTTATTTGCTACTTATTTAACTGTAGGTGGCATTCCTCTGGATTATTACCACATTCAAATAAAAAACCTCCAAAGAGCTCTGGCTGTGAGGCAGTATAAAAAAGAAATAATTAACTCTAAACTTAAAGAGAAAAATTAAGGAGAAGAATCCCACTTCAGCCAATCCAGTGAGAACTAAACATATAGGAATCAATCTTACTAGCAGGAATGGGAGACTAACAAACTCACTCCCATTTTCATTTGTCATCAAGTGCTTGTTCTGAATGTGAATAAATGTGTACTTCTCTGCTATTGATTGAAGAATGAAAACACACACATGCACACACTAACATGTTGAAGAATGTCTTTTAAATTTTATTTTAAACGCTTTCACAAATATAGCAGTACGTGAGCATTTTCCAATAATTGCACTCCTGGTCATGTTCGTGTTTACATTTATACCAATTATTATTATTATTATTATTATTATTATTATTATTATTAACATTTCTATGTCGCCCCTTGCCGAAACCTCGGGGCGGCTTACAACATGATAAAATACATTGAAATACAATAGTACATAATAAATTACCATTAAATACAAAAATACAAAAAATACATTGATTTACAAATATAAAATTAAAATTATCGGTACAAAATAAAAATATAGGAGGAGAAAGAGAAGGAAGAAGAAGTTGCCCTGGCCAGATCATATGTTTTAACAATTGAAATGATGTTTAAATAAAAAGGTCTTTACCTGGCGCCGAAAAACCAGTAACGACAGTGCCAGGCGGACCTCTTTGGGGAGTGAATTCCATAGGTTGGGTGCCACCGCAGAGAAAGCCCTCCTCCGGGTACTTACTCTCCTAATTTCTTTCATGGAGGGTTCCCGGAGAAGGGACTCTCCCGCAGATCTCAAAGGGCGGTCGGGCATATACGGACGTAAGCGCTCGTTCAGGTAGCCAGGACCCAAGCCGTTTAGGGCTTTATAGGTCATAATCAACACCTTGAATTGGGCCCGGGCTTCAATGGGAAGCCAGTGAAGCTGACGGAGGACTGGAGTCATGTGAACATAACGCCCCATCCCCGTCAGCAACCTGGCAGCTCTATTTTGAACCAATTGAAATGTCCGGACCATCTTCAAGGGAAGCCCCACGTAAAGCGCGTTACAGAAGTCAAGGCGGGAAGTCACCAGCGCGTGTGTCACTGTCACCAGGCAGTCGTACTCCAGGTAGGGGCGCAGCTGATTAATCAGCCGAAGCTGAAGGAAGGCGTTCCTCGCCACCACTGTCACCTGAGCTTCCAAAGAAAGCTCCGGGTTGAGGAGTACTCCTAAGCTGCGGACCTTATCCCTAAGAGGGAGAGCATGTTCAGATGATTTGTAAATTGAAATGAATTTCTTATATATTCCTACTGTTGAGTCCTTGACAGATGGATGAAGAGGATCACTAATGATAAAGCAGGAAGGTCTACTGAATTATGCATATATATATATATATATATTTCTAAATAAGACTCCTGGCCCAATGTGTGCAATCCTGGCCATGCACATGTTGCTGTTTCAGGTAACTTGCAGTTTTCATCAGTCAGCTGTTCAGCACAAGTGTGCTGAAATCCATCGTAAGAACATAAAAGAGCCATGCAAGAGAGCTACAGCAAAGATTCCACTAGGCCAGCATTCTATTCACACAGTGACCAACCAGATACCCACTGGAATATACAAGCAGGATATTAGAGGAACTGTGCCCTCCTGCCCATGTTGCCCACAATGGCTGTACATCGGCATACTGACTGTGCTAGCATATAGACATCAGGGCAAGTAGCTATGGCCCTCATGGTTGAATTGGTGACAGTGGTGGCGGTGGTGTCTATGAGCAGATATATGACATTTCAGGCATGGGCTTCATCCAGTTGGGCAGCCACCAGCTTCCATACATATGCATATCCCAAATCTAGTTCAGGGTGAGACTTGTTCAAGTTTGAAAAGACAATTTGTTATTGTTTAAAAAATCCCACCAAATGATACAGCACTTGGAGCACATGAATGTGAGTCAACGCTTCCCCATGTAGTCCAAAGCATCAGGAGGGCAACAAGTTGGGCAAGGCTGGCCTATGCAATTGAAAGTTTCTTTAACTTAGAACACACAGGACCTGTATGTAAGACTGAGTTTGGATGCTCTTGACTAACCTAAAGTACCTCAATTATTTCTGGGAATGTTTTTAGTCTAGGAAAGCTCTTGGGGTAGAGAATTCCCAAAAGCATATTGAACGTGTATATGAATAACAAATGTGAAGTCCATGCACAACACAGACTCAATATGAAAGACCAAGGTTTCTCAGGTAAGCACAGGAATGTTTTATGAGTGGGGGAGCAAATGTTTGCAGGCAAAAATGTTGGAGTAAGCCCTACTAATGAATAGCCATCTGGCTATGTCATAATGAAACAAGTAAGGATTTATACATTAAGTGATCTTCACTGTCCTCTCGTGTACCATGTCTTTGCAATGATTACATAGAGAGAAAGCAAGAGAGAAAGAATGGAGAATCAGAGTTCGTTATTTGTGAGTGTCTTAATTAATACAGAGGATTGGACAATGTAGGGATGTAACAGAAATCTGAAGCTGGATGCAAATCTGATCACATTATTTATGGAAGTTGCATGTGTGTAGCAGCGTATTTGTGTGTCTGTGTGTTTTGCATTGTCATCCATGAGTAAGACAAATGCTATTTTCAAAAATGAATCCAATTATTTGATGTGTTTTTATTGTGTGTGTCTATATTGGTTATACATAGGTCATACATTTGGTTATGTTATTGTTTATTTATCAAATAAGCAAAGATTTGAGGCAGGCAAAAACGAAGTGAAAAGAAGTATGAGCTATCTAGTTCACCCAGGGCTTTTTTTGTCATAGAACGCACCGGAACAGCTTTCCGGCACCTTTTTTTAATGGATTTTACGAAGTGATTTTGAAGGGTGTAGCAGATTAGCAGCAAACATCATTAACATTGTGCCTGCAGGCTGCTTTTGTGTCTGCTATCTGATAGTGAGAGATAACTGCTTGGCTTGGGATTGGTGTGTGTGCTTTACTGCCTGCTGCTACGTGAGTTCCGGCACCTTTTTTTATTTTACAAAAAAAGCACTGAGTTCACCCATTATGGAGTTAAATGTAATAGTTACTATTCCCATACCATAGACTTGCTGACATCGAACAGTCAACAATCCAACTTAAGAGGGTTGCTCAATGAGACAAAGACTGGCTCCAGACTTTGTACGCACTGGAAGTACACTGGCTTGTGTGTGTTGCATTATGGGGGGCTGAGCCCTAACAGTGTTCAGCAAAACATGAACTCAGTGAAGTTCTTCAGATTCTACCTCAAAGTTCATTCCAACTCATGTCTTAATTAGACTGCCAGTTTTTTCCCCTTCTCACAGAAACATTTTTGTACTTATTTTTCAAAGTGCATGCAGCAACTGTGCATGTTTAAAATGTAAGCATTCTTCTACTGATCAGTATATTTGTGCACATTTCTTTTTCGCAGCACAAAAATGCACTGACTTTGAACTCAGACTGGATCCAAGTCCTTCTTCTATCTGGTCAGTCAATTTTTTACACATTTGACATAGAATGCACTGAAGTAATAGCAACATGGTCATACCATGATCTCACAGTATCAGGCAGCCTTCCCCAACTTCCCCACATTTTTAAATGCAATGCTCATCATCCCTAACCATTAAGTTGATAATGGGCTGATAAAAGGTGTAGTCCACAATATATGGAGGACACTACTTTGGGGAAGGCTGGTATAAGGTATGAGGCGATACACATATGCACACGTGCACACACACACACACACACACACACACACACACACAGAGGGAGAGGGAGAGGCAGAACTGAGCATAACTGAGAATACCAATCCATAAGAATAAATACTGCCAGCAAATATCTGCATATGGTGTTAGTGATACAAAGATTAACAAAAATGCTGCACAGAGGGATACTGACTGTGCTAGAATACAGACATCAGGACAAGTAGCTATTGATAGCCTTGCCCTTGGACAGTTGATCAGTGCATAGTCCTGGTTGAACTGTGGTGGTGGTGGTGTCTGTGAGAAAATACATCACATTTTAGGCATGCTCTTCATCCAGAAGAATAAATACCACCTGCAAATATCTGCATATGGCATTAGTGATATAAATACTAACAAAAATGTATTCTTTGGGTGTGGGGAAGGATTCCTATTGCTAATCCATGTCAAATATTTTTCTTGTGTGTGTGTGATTAATGAATAAAATTCATATGTGCAATTTCTCTGGAAGCAGCATGATCAGAGGAAGCATACTTCTAGAGAGTAAATTACAAAAGCAAAGAATGCCCTAGTGGAAGCTGCTGACTTCGTGCTTGGTTTGCAACATTCCTAGAAGTACGTGAACAGCCAAAACTAGAAACAAGAAACTGGAAAAAAATAGACCACTGGTTTGATCAAAGATGAATCTTAGATTGTTACCCTATTATGGGTTTGTCCATAAACTGCTGAATCAAAAGTTTTGATGTATTTTCTCCTATGTGACACTTGATAAACTTACATTTTTTATACATTGAAATTTACCTCATTTGAGGTCTGACATGAAGGTACAAAACCAAACAATGATTACAGAATTCATCATCCTTGGTTTTAAAAATCTGCAGGGGATACAGCTCTTGCTTTTCAGTGGATTCTTGATCATTTATCTATTCACAATACTGTGGAATTTTTTCATTATCATCTTGGCCATGGTGGACCGGAGGCTCAAAACACCCATGTACTTCTTTCTTGGCAACCTCTCCATCCTCGACATCTGCTACACTACCAGCACAATTCCCCAGATGCTGGATTTCCTTCTCACAGACAGAGGCAGCATCTCTTATGTGGGCTGTGTACTCCAGCTGTATTTTTTCTTTTCCTTCGTTGGCATTGAATGCCTCCTTCTGGCTGTGATGGCTTTTGACCGCTATGTTGCTATTTGCCACCCTCTGCGCTATCCACTGATTATCAGAAGACATGCTTGCCTCCAGCTAGCCATGGCATGCTGGGCTGGTGGCTTCCTCAACTCAGCAGTGCACACACATTTTGCCTTCCAGTTGCCTTTCTGTGGAGACAACCGCCTAGATGCTTTCTACTGTGACATCCCACCACTGCTGAAGCTGTCATGTGGAGACATTTCCCTCAACCAAACACTTTTGCTCTCCATTGGCCTAATCATAGCTTGGACGCCCATGTTCTGTATCCTACTTTCATACGTTTGCATTATTTCAACTGTCTTGAAGATACGTTCTGCAGAAGGAAGGCAAAAAGCTTTCTCCACCTGCTCTTCACATCTTATTGTGGTTCTTCTCTATTACGGCAGTTGCATTTTCACCTACCTGAGGCCTGTTCCCTCCCAGTCATCAGTGAATGGAAAACTGATCCCACTAATGTACAGTATCTTGACTCCATTGTTGAATCCTGTTATATATACTTTACGCAACAAAGATGTGAAGAAAGCTTGGCGAAGCATGATGGGGAAGAGTTGAATATTTTGTACAATATTATTTTGGGCTGTATCTTAATGTAAACATAAATGAAATTTTATTTCATTCCTAGGATCTATTTATTTCTACACCTGTGTTCTCTTGGATTTGAAATAACATCGTAACTCATGTCTTTGAAAAGTTCAAAATATAGAGCTAACAAAGTTAAGTTCATATAAAAAACATATGTCTCCTTTATTGTCCCTGTCTCTTTCCTACAAGTTGTAGACAGACACGTGTGCACTTATCCTATGATATGATTACATACTTACAAAAAATGAAGCTCAGCATGTACCTACCCCTGACATAAGTCACTTGAAAAGACTGGCTGCATTTCAAGTCATGTGAGCCTACCTTCTTCCAAGCAGAAATAGCTACCTTGGAGAAAAGGGAAATGTGTTTTTTTTTTTAATCCACCCAGAAAAACATGATAACCGAGCCACTAAATAAATCACATTAGAGGGCTCCAACATTACACAGCCTTACAGATTCAACTGCATTTCATACAAGCTTAATGAAAAAGCAGAATGGTCAGATAGGAAAAACTATGGCGTCTAACAAGAAGACCCTCCTCTCCATGCGTGTAGCTCTGTCCATCAGGAGAAGATCCACAGTAACCTGCTGTAACCTGTATTTCCCCTCCTCCCCAGATGCCTTTCGGGGAGCCATTGAATTGTCTTTTAAGCCTGTCATTTGAATCCCATTTGTGAAAGAGTCTGTAAGACTCTTTGAAATCAAGCATCACAGTTTAGGTGCCACTAGAGAAAATGATCTTTTGCACAGGCATTCAATGAACATCAAAGGAAGGGAAATGAAACACAAGTGTTCCAAAGGAGTAGATATGTCCATACAGGATAACCAATGTTGGATGACTGCTGTCCACAAAGTTGGTGCAGTTCAAATGGACAATGAGGTCAACTTCCTGCCAGCATATTACATGCATGTTGAAGGTTGGTTGTATGCTTCCAGTTTAAGGTGTTGGTATTTGTTTACAAAACAGTAAGCAACTCAGAAACAGGCAACTGAGGAGACTGCCAATTGAGTCTAATCACTAAACTGCCCTCTTGATGATGTCCAAGATTTTGGAAGTCTAGTCTATCAGAGTGGTGTGACAAAGCTCCACAGAATGCATCCTTCTTCAGTTCAGACGTCCTCCCATGATTGGTCCTGTCACCAAGAATGCTCATGAAACCCCAGTTGCACAATTGGCAACCTCAGTTCCTGGCTTGCACCTATGTGAACACTTGGCACTCTCACCAGGAAGTTGGACGCATAGTTATGAGAAAGCAGGCTGGAGTCTGGGCAGCTGAGCCCAGGAATTCCGAAAACAGATTCCTCACACATCCTAGTTTTATTGTGGCTCAAAATATGGCTGTTACTATCACAGATGCAGCATCTAAGGAGATGTGAGGAATCTGTTCTGGGGTGGGAATATGTTGGTTTCCCTGCTTTTGCCTCCATGGATTCCAGTCTGCTTTGTCGCAGCCAAGAGTCTGAGTTCCTGGCAAACATGTCCAGCATTCATGGGGAACTCTATGGGAACCAAGCCCCCTATACTGTGCAAGTACCGTCCCTCCTCTTCACCACATACAGCAGCCTCTGTTTCAGCTGATGCAGCTTTCATAGAAGACGGTTGTTTGCATGGGGCTCACCAGGTATGGAGCCCAACGCAGCTGCTGAGCAAGAGTCTCTCTTTTGCTCCACCCATTGCAGTTTTTGTTGTGTTGCTGCACTTGATCTGGAAGAAGGTTGCTTATTGCACAGCCTTCATTTGTGAGCATTTCACAAGCTTCCTCCTGGCTTGGCTTGCTTTCCAAGATTAGGCCAAGCAGAAGAGAAAGACAGTGAATGCTAAATGGATGGGTCCCACCTTGTTCCAACCCAACACTAGTAGTACCCATTTTTTACAACTAATGTTCACTAAAAACTTTTCTTACCATTTGCAGTAGGCATTTCCAGAAATGGAATCTTGCTCTATGTATGAAAACTTGTACTGTGTGTCACTTAGGCATTTCTTTATGATTAACTATGTAATACTATGCACGATTAGAAAAAAAAGAAGTTCTAAGCCTGCTGACACGATCTAGCCAGAATGTCTTTTTCTACCTAAGCATCATAGGTTTGTTCCATAAATAAACAAATAATAGATGACCTTTACATACCCATGTTAAAAAAGTACCTTCATTTTTTAAAAGTTTTACAAAGTATCTTATAGTTTGCTGTAGGAAAAAACTTATATTTAGAACAAGTACAGATGAACAACTACTTCCACTCTTTTCAAAGAAGTTTGCACCATCCCATTTCCTCATCACTTGGTGTTACTTTAGTTAAAAGTCCATAGGTGGATGGGGGCGGGGGGAATTATTTTATGCTCTTTCATGCAACCCTTTTCTGAAATATACATTTTTCTGTATTCAGTTTCCCCTAATGCATGCATTAGTGAAATTTTCACTAATATGTTCTTCTTAAGCACAAATTTATGCATGTTCTGATCACAGAATTCCATTACAACATACAGAAAATGATGATTCTATGTAATATCACCAATTACTTCAGGAAGTAGGAAACAGATGTATCTAGCTAGATACATAATTGTGTTGTGGAGGAATGTTGACACATTCTTTCCCCAACTGACTAGAAGTCTAAATGGAACCAAGAGCTCAGTTCCAGTGGGGCAGGCGTAGAGAGAGATACAGGGAGGCAGAATATACTATTTCATCCAGTTTGTTTCTGATTTAACACATTCTTAATATCCCTTTCCTGTTCTGAGATCCAAAATAAAACACTTGCATTCAGAATGCCTAATGGGAAAAAGACACTCATTCTGAAAATCTGACTGCATAATTCTTTTGCTCACAGAAATGGGAGGTCCAGTTTGACCATGAGCTTGTTTTTTTTTACTCTGTGGGCCAATTCCTTCAGGGGGTTAAGCGGAGAAGAACACATTGTAAATCCCCAAAGGGGCTTTCTGGAGTTATTCATATCATTCTTAGTCTTCAAAATCTCACCTTTTCATGTAACCCCTCCTCCCCTGTACAAAAAAGGGATGGCTTAAAATTCTTTGATTCCAGAATGAATCAAGTAAAGTGGTGTGCATCTGAACTGATCATCCTTGAGAAAATAATATCTTGACCCTCCTTGTTTAAGCCTTTCAATGTGTCCTATAACCTTCTATACTGTAAAGGGTACATCTTGTGATTTTTTATCATCCTTACCCCAGGATAAGGGCATCCCATACAATGCTATAACACACGAAGTCCTATGTCATTCATTAAATAACCAAAAATGGACTCCCATAACCCAAGAATGCAAGGGCCATTCATGCTCTGCACCATTTTCACCTGGCCTGAGAGGGCAAAGTCTGGACTAGTTCTAACTACAAAGGCTGCTGCTGATTTTCTAAGATCCAACTTGTTATCTGGAAGTCATAAAAATAGAGATGCAAGTCATTTGTGCAGGGAAACATCAGGCTTCCTTTAGAAATATGGTGAGGTCTCATACCCTAAGCACAGATCAGCAGAGGAGGAATACGCACCTTAGACCCTACAAATCAAGAATACCCTTGCATGTGTGCATGAGCGTGCATGTGCTCATGCACACACATGCCCACACCCAAAAATACAAGCAGTGGCTTCTGGGCCAGCTTACAGTTTGCACCCTTGCTGAAATCAATACCCCTTTTATATTTCTACCTACTTAACTGGCAATGCAGGGATGATTCTTCTCACACTACATTCCTCATTTTGTGAAATTGTGACTTTGCCTTTGGGAGAATTTCCCAAAAGGTTGCTAGCAGCATATAAAATGAAATAGCCATAATTATTGCACAGCATAGGATGAATCGTATCAGCATGAAAATTCATATCTCTGCCTATGGTAAGAAAAGAACTTTTTACAGTTTGCTAAATATTCTTCAAATAGGGATGGATAATAAATTCATTCCATTGTTTGTTTAGTCAATTGTTTGTTTTCAATGGATATATTCAGTCTTGATTTCTTGAGAATAAAGCAATCTGAAAGAGCTCCAATATAAAACAGATCAAACCATATTAAGATATGGTTTAAGACAGCTCAAACTCTCTTAAAGATACATTCTTTGGAAGATAGGCCAAATGCTTTCACCACCTAATCTTCCCATCCCATTGTGGTACTTCTATACTATGCAATAGCAGTAAGACTTTATGGTTGCAGTCATAGATCATAATGCAATAAAAAGCCGTATATGCTAACTTACATTAAAACCAAAACTATTAATACTAAGGCATGACACATAAGGTAAAATCTTAAGTGTCCATTTTGTTAAGTCCACAATTAAAACAATTCTGGTACTAAAAACAACTGTAAACTACAGGTTAGGAAAACAACTAACAAAATTAGACAATGCAGGTGTCTTTCTGATTTTAAAAGACAGCAGAGAAAAAATGTCCACCTGATCACTGACATGGGAAATGTAACTGCTAGTGCATAATTAATGCATTCTGCTGCTGAGAAGTGATAATTTAGCTATGTTCTGGACCAGGGTTCTGTCTGATGTAAATGCATCATAAAAGTGGCCAGGTAGAACATAATCCTTCTACATGTGCCTGACCAAATGACAAAGAAACTGCTCCACAGGGACTTTATAGAATCTGCCTTCAAGACAGGAGGGTATAGATTATAAATACAGACGTGCATGCCTTGCCTAATGGTGCGTGCATAATATGCCATTTTAAAAAAATAGTTGGAATGTTTATGTTATCCTTTCCTATATATTGAATTCATCCATTCCAGGTAATGTTCCAATCTTATACGTTCTTTATACTGATCCCTTCTATGTTACACAGGAAAATACTGCTACTTTAGAAAAAAATAATTAAAAATTAAAAAATTGGACCAAGTACCTTAATTATGGTACCACATCAGTTTGGTGGGTATGATCATTTCTTGCTTAAAATAGATATGGTTCTGTGATATCTGTTTACTGTGTATAATATAATTATTTATATAACAATTAAATAGTAGAAATCAAATCAAAAATAGCACTAAAATTGTTGCTGCTTTTATTCTTTTCTGTATATTCATAGTACCTGTGTTTGAAACATGGACTTGCAAAACCAGACTGAGTTGACTGAATTCATTCTTCTGGGCTTTTCAGCTCTGGAGGACATCCAGAATTTACTTTCTGGAGGGTTCCTGATCATCTATTTGCTCACTCTGCTGTGGAATACCTTCATTATCAGCATAGCCATACTGGACAAGAAGCTCAGAACACCCATGTATTTCTTCCTAGGTAACCTCTCTTTCCTTGATATTTGCTACACTACCACCACAGTCCCTCAGATGCTCTACCATCTTCTCTCAGGGAGAAACACTATTTCCTACATGGGTTGTGTCTTCCAGCTATATCTGTTCTTCTCTTTCTTGGGGGTAGAATGCCTCCTTCTGGCAGTCATGGCCTTTGACCGCTACATTGCCATATGCAGGCCACTGCGCTACACACTCATTATCAGCAACAACATTTGCCTCCAGCTAGCCTCAGCATGCTGGGCTGGTGGTTTCCTCAACTCTCTCATTCATGCAGTCTGTGCATTCCGACTGCCTTTTTGTGGCAACAACCAAATAGATGCCTTCTTCTGTGACATTCCACCATTGTTGAAGCTCTCATGTGGGAACATCTCCCTCAGCCAAATGCTGTTGCTTTACATTGGTTTACTCATGGCTTGGGCACCATTTATAAGCATCCTTCTTTCATACGCATATATAATTTCGACTGTCTTAAAGATACGCTCTTCAGAAGGTAGACAAAAGGTTTTCTCCACCTGCTCTTCCCATCTCACTGTGGTGCTTCTATACTATGGTAGTGCCATCTTTAACTACTCAAGACCTGTTTCTACTAATTCATCAGCTCATGTAAGTCTGATCCCCCTGATGTATAGCATCTTAACTCCACTTTTAAATCCTATTATATATACCTTGCGCAACAAAGATGTGAAGAAAGCTTGGCAACATTTTATGGGAAAAGCATAACCTTGTAATGAATGCCTCAGTACTTTTTAGACACATAAATTGTAAATGTTCCTTTGTATATTTTGAAAAAAATGTATTCTAACCATCTATCTATCTATCTATCTATCTATCTATCTATCTATCTATCTATGATCAAGCTTATGTGTTTTGTTAGATGTAGAAGGACTCCTGATAAAAATCTATTGCACTATGTATTTTATGATGTTTCTGTAAATTGTTTTGAACATGATTTTTTCAATGCAAAAGGAGCATAGGAATAAACTGATGATGATGATGATGATGATGATGATGATGATGATGACAACATAGAAACAGAGTGAGTCAGAAGGGGTCTCTTGGGCCATCTAGTCTGACCCCTGGCTCCAGCTGGCTCTGCTCACGACATGCCCACCATGTGCATGTCCAGCCTATCCTTGAACACCCTCACCGATGGGGCCTCAACAACCTCTCGTGGAAGCCCATTCCACACCATCGGAGCCCTAACTGTCCGAAAGTGCTTCCTGGCATCCAAATGGAACCTTGGTTCCCTGAGCTTTGCTCCGTTGGAGCGTCTCCTGCCTTCCTCTGTAGGGGAGAACAGATCTCTACCCATCTCCATGTGACATCCCCTCACATACCTGTATGTCGCCAACATATCCCCTCTGAGTCTCCTCTTCTCCAGGCTGAAGAGACCCAGTTCCCTCAGTCTCACCTCATACCCCATCCCCTGCAAACCAGCCACCAACCTTGTGGCCCTACACTGCAATGACTCTAACCTGGCTATATCCTTTCTGTAATGAGGGGCCCAAAACTGAGCACAATTCTCCAGTTGTGGGCTCACCAGAGTCTTATAGATTGGTAGTAATACCTCTTTGAATCTTGAAGTCCCATTTCTGGCTATGCAACCAAGTGTGGCATTCTCCCATCACATTTCTGACTCATGTTTAGCCTGCAGTCAACCAATACCCCGAGGTCCCTTTCACAAGTGCTGCTCTCCAGCCACTTGTCACCTAACCTGTACTTATGACACCATGACGACGATGGCAAAGATGATTGAGATAATGATTGGTGCTTAGCCTGGTCAGGAACACAGAACCCTGGTGCATTGGCTGGGATCCATAAAGAATAGCATGTGGGCATTCTCACAGCCTGCCCACAACCACCATCAGCACTGAACCAGGCCTCTGTTTTAAAAGATGAGCAGCTACAATGTGCCATCTACAACTATCATGGCAGCAGTTCCATGGGTGAGCAAGTAAGTCTTCATGCATGCACAGAACTGAGAAATTGGACCAATTTGCTAAGAGCCACCTAGCAAGCATGGAGATAAGGAAGTCTGCGTGCTGAAAGAAAGCAAAGAGGACATCACTGGTGTATTCCCTGGTCTCTGCACGACCACACGCTTTCATCCAGACAGCACTTAACTGAGGTGTGCCTGTGTTCAAAACTACCTGGAATTCATAAATTTTGAGTTGCAAATCCTTGCTACGGAGACTCTCCCATGCTTCAGTTAGAGAGGTGATGAGATCCTATACCCAAAGCACAGATCAGCAGAGAAGAAACATATATGCTGAACCACAAATCAAGTTAAAGGAATGTGTACACTCATGCACATAAAAAGTCACACAGGCAGGGGTCAGCTTATGGGCCAGCTTATGCAACAATTGGAAAGTACCACATGGATTCCAGCTTGTTTGAATAATTCACTGTCACTATTTCTTTTTCATACACTTTACTACAAAAGAAAAGGAAGAAAGGAAAACTGTTTTTAATCACCTTTATTTGTGAACCCTAAGGCAGTGTGCACATTGCTTAATGGTAAACCTGTTCATTTGGGTGTATGAAGTGACTGCTAGTGAATATAAAATCTATCCCTGTTTTTCCCACAAAATGCATACCTATTCAAGAGGTATGCTAATCTTCTGTAAACAAAGCAAATTAAGTGGCACCATGGACAGAGAAATGCACATAATTAAGAATGAATATTAGAAAATCCTTGCTGGACCTGAACAAAGACTCATCTAACCTCAAATCCTCTTTCTCACAGAAGTCACATGGGTGTCTATGAAGTCCTTCAGAGCAAGGTCCCTCTCACATTGCTACTTCCCAGATGCTGGCATTCAGAGACAAGTTTTCACTGATCCCATAAATAGTCTCATAGGCCACATGCCACTACTAGTAGCCAATGATGGTCCAGTGGATATCATTACTTGCAGCTATCAATAAACTTTAATATTCTGGATGCTACCACTTTCTCCCTATCTAACCCTACAAGTGACTAAGTTTAATTAAATTGAAGGTGCATTGTTTTTAATTTGCCAATACAGAGTGAATTAAAATCTGGATTGTCAGTCTGGAGAATAGAATGGAATTGTCTATGGTCTCCTTAGGTGCATAAAGAACTTCTGGTTAAAACCAAAATGGGAATCATCTTAAAGGCAGGGATAAACAAGGGTTATAAGACTTCTCTGGAATATATTCAAATAAAAATGCTACAAACATGCACGCAGTGTGTGTATTTGTTGTGGTCATGAAATGAAGGACCCTTCTGAATCAAATCAATTAATTTATTTAGCCAAGTATTCTATTTTCCACAGTGCCCAGCTATGTTGCCCCCTAGCTACTAACAATTGGAGGTGTTCTGCCTCTGAACTTGGAAATCCCACTGTTACTGAATGCCCACCTCCACTTTTCACTCTGGAAGTGCCAAAATGAAGAATTAAATGAATAACTTTGACAAGTATTGGATGTGGCTCTGCTGGTCTCAGTTAAGTAGTGCATAGACAGATTGAAATTAACAAGGATATTTATAAGAAGGTAATGCACCTCTGTGGGGGACAAACCGGACAGGCAGACATTCAGTTGCATGCACTTGTGCCAGATTGCCAAAATAACCCTTTTTGCAAAAATGCCAAAATTTGACACACGCCCCCATCCCAAAATCACCCATTGCCACCACTAAAAACAAACAATTGAAACCAGAAAGGGGGAATGGAACAAAATCAACCAGAAAAATCCTGTGGTATTTCAGCCTTAGAATGGAAGTGTCATGCATCTTATACACAGCAGGTGCCAGAGAAAATAGCCCTGGCTTGGGAAGTCTGCCATGGCCAAATGTTAAAGCCTCTCACATGATTTGGACACCCTCAAGCTAGGTTGCCATTGCCACTTTCTCTCCCAGTGACTGAATCCTGGCACTAGATTCTCTGGTATCATAAGTTCAAATTAATTGCACCTCCTATCCCCAAGGGATGCTCAGGTTAAAAAACATAAAAAATATTCAATAAATCTAACTTGTCTTTGGTGCTTGAGTCTGTGTATTCATACTAGATTGGATCATTATGTATTTGATAGCAAGTGCTGGTACAGCTGCTGGAATACCCAATTATATCTGGAGTAAGTACATTTGCTGCTGTCACTCCTGCTCAGAAATGTAAGTGGCACATCCTGGTTGAAACAAATAGCACCACATACATTATCAGTGATGGGTTTGCATGATTAAAATGCAAGTTATTCTTGCCATACCTACATGTGCTTTTACAAACGGGTAATTTCCTAAAAGCAAGACTTATGTCTTTTTCTTTATACTGCTAATACTATTATGAACATGAAGAAAAAGAGCTAGAAATTACCTCTTTTGCATTTGTGTATATGCCTCTTCTTGCTTTTAGAGGCCTTGTCCTGGTTGTATTTTGATGTGTTTATAGAACTGCTTTCTTATCTGTTCATAATTATTCTTGAAATTGCTGTAGTTACTTGTTTTATGTTTTATTGTAAAATGCCTTGAGCACTAAAGAGGGGATAGGGATATATACATATATACAAGAAACATAATAATTAAGATAAGTAGAGGTAAACAAAAACTGTAGATATTGGGAACAACTACAAGTATGGGAAAATCTGCCCCATGGCAGATTACTTCTTTCAAGTGAAATAGATGTTACAAAACAAAACAAAACAAAACAAAAAAACACTTAGCTTCACAATGGTGCATTTCTTATCCTTCTTTCTCATATATACAGACTTCTCATAATTTACATTATGGGAAAGCAATAAGGGAATAAGGGATTTAAGGGAAAGCATTTAAGCAATTCTTCAGATTTACTGAATATGTGCATTTATTCCAGAGTGTAGCTTTGAAAGGTAAATTACCTATGAATCAGTGATTCAGTGAACAAATGAGTGCTTAATCATGTCAGACTGTAATAGAACTTTAGGCTTGAGGCTGTGGTTGTATAATGGAATATCGTGTCAGTGTATACATCTGGGTGGTGTGTCTTCTGATTAAGCAGCCATGGGTTTTAAGAGTGCGAGCTTTGGAAACTATACAGTAGCATTACTTGGCCAGAACAAAAATCCTAGAGGAGCTCTGTCAAATCATTCCACTGCACAAAACACCTCTGCATTATGATGGCATAACTTTTTATATAACCACCAGAACATCTGCTTGCCCAAGTTTTGCATGGCTGCATTTCTGCAAATACAACTTCATCTGAATTTACCTTTTGTTTGTGGATTGAAATCTAGTTGACCTATTTGCCTGTGTGCATGCAACACAGTGAGTCAGGAAGAATTCACTAATTTATTGATTCTTCAAATCTCTAGATATAAATTGATTAAGTAGCTTAAAGCAATCCATTCACCTTTAATTTTAGCCACTGACAAAGACATCCTCTGTCTTTGAAGGACTTAGCAATAAGCTCATCTAATCGTTTGTACAAGTTTGGGATCATTAACAAATTTATTATGCATTTTGAGCACTTGAAAAAAAACAGCATAAAATTACATATCATTGTTACTATTAATTTGTCTTTCCAAATTTAGAAAGAATTATCATCAATAATGTAAACACCTTTTCAATGACAAGAAAAAAAAATTCTAAGACTAATCCATTAAATCAGTCAGTGAGTTTTATGTCTACTAATGCAGATATTTATATGTGTAATGATGGTGGTATTTCATATTATATAGCAGTAAGCCTATATCAAATAAATATTTTTTTTTCAAATTGGAGGAGTTGCACTAGTAATTCTAAACATGCACATATCCTGTAAGCATAAAGACATTGCTCCAATCTGCTTAACTATATGATGGAGCTATATGAGAAGGCGCCTTCCGATTCATCCTTCATTGAAACTCCAGTTATATATAAATACCTAACCCAACACAGTGGTCAATGAGGAAGAATACAACACACAATAAAGATCTACAGACAAGGAAATTGATTCTTGACAGTGTGCCCTTGTTTTATTTCTTATTGATTGTTCACAAGACAAGTTGGTTCTATTAGCTGAATGCTCCTAATTAACAATGTACAATTATATGATCATCATTGCATACGTTTAATGTAGCAAAAGTAATGCAGGCGCAATTGACATTCCATAAGACATCTGAGACGACAAAAGAAGAAGGGGGCAGCAGAGGATGAGGTGGCTAGATGGAGTCACTGAAGCAGTCAGTATGAGCTTAAGTGGACTCTGGGAGATGGTGGAGGACAGGAGAGCCTGGAGGAATGTAGTCCATGGGGTTGCAGTGGGTCAGATGCAACTTCGCAACTAGCAACAACAACAAGACATCTGAAAGGGTTGAAGGTGCACATTGGGTTTGATGTTTTGTTTTTGGATTCTGAAGTGTAGTGTCTGTGAACTTTGTGAGAGTGGCATGTCAGTACATGGTATTCTTATTATCATTTTCTGGTTGCTAGTTAACGACTAGGAATGCCATAGCTGTATGAGATTGTGTAAATTAAAATAAAATAAAGACAAGCTATATGTCAGATCTATTTCTCCATAATTTGATTTCAGTTAGTTATATGTGTGTGTGTGTTGCCTTTTGATGTGTTGCTGTACTGTCATAAAGATTAACATGTTTTTCTTCTGTTATCTGCCCTCTGAGGACCCTGTGTACATTGCTCAAGGAGATTGATCTGAGTTGCACATAAGCTTTTATATTTTCAGAAATGGGGATGAGCTTTTGTTCTATATCCCATAATTCTAGGAGCAAACTAATACCTGAAAATCCTACCAGTCATTAATCCTTTCAATCTACAAACCCATGGTAATGAGTTCTAGCAACTCTGAAAACTTTGCATCTTCAATATTGGTACTTGATACTGGTGTCTCCATCACTATGGAAAAAATGGGTCACTTGTGGCTGCATATGAGGGTGTAGCTAAGTAATTAAGAAAACATTATGATGCTAGACCATGCCACATCACACTGAGGCTGGGGTGTGGTCAATGTTTCAGACCTTGATTAAATCTGTGGCATTTTACAGTGGGTGTCAGTTATAGTTACACTTATCATTGCAGGTGGAGTCTGGTGGATAAGATGTGGATTCAGAATGGGACCTCAGTGAATGAATTCATTCTTCTTGGTTTCACCAGTCATCCCACCTTGCAGCACTTCCTTTTGGTTCTGTGCCTAGTCATATCTCTCATCACCATGCTTGGAAACAGCCTCATCATCATCTTGGTCTGGGTCGACTACTGCCTCCACAAGGCCATGTACTTTTTCATTGGGAACCTCTCTTTGTTGGATATATTCTTCACGCTGATCACAGTCCCACAGATGTTGGTCCACATGGCCTCTTGGCCCAGGTCCATCTCTTTCAACAGATGCATGGCTCAGCTTAGCTTAACCCTATGCTGTGGGATTACTGAGTGCTTTATCTTAGCTCTTATGGCCTATGACCGCTACATGGCCATATGTCAGCCCCTTCGTTACCCCATCATCATGAGAACAGAGGTATCCATGCAGATGGCAGGGGCTTGCTGGCTTGGAGGTTTTCTGAATGCTGCAGCACTGACTGTCATCACCATAAACTTTCCTTTCTGTGGGCCCAACAAGATCAATCATTTCTTTTGTGAAGAGCCAGCTGTGCTGCAACTGGCTTGCATGGACACCTACATGGTAAAGATCACCATCTTTGCTTTGAGTGTGATTGTCCTCATGCTGCCTTTCACATTCATTGTAGTCTCCTATATCCACATTGCCAGAGTGGTGCTCAGCATACAGTCAATGGAGGGGAGGAAACGTGCTTTCTCCACCTGTTTCACACACCTAACTGTTGTCATATTGTTCTACAGTACTATCAGCTTCACTTATTTGCAACCGCAGTCAGATTGGGCTGCAGACCAGGAGAAGAAAGCTTCAGTCTTTTATGCTTTGGTTTCCCCCATGCTGAATCCCATCATCTACAGCCTGAGAAATAAGGATGTTAAAAGAGCACTGGCCAAAGTGATGGGGAAAATCAGCTGAAGCTGACATGTAACAAATGTACATTTTATGACAAACACTAGAAATTTAATGATCCCTTGCCAGAAAATGTCTCATTGGTGACTATCAAAAGTGCTATGATCCTACATGGTGAACACTGCTCTGGAGCACTTTTCCCTATAATAAGCCAGTGAAAACTTTAAATACACACACACCTTGCTTCCTAAATCTCTGAGCATGCTTAATACATTAGGAGCACAGGAACTTGCCTCCTAAATGCACTTGGAAGAAGAAGGGTATATTGGAAATGTGTTTGTAGGGAATCACCTCCTTTGGTGTTTGGGCCATTAAATTGACAAATTTATTAAGTTACATAATGAACATACTGCACCCAATTGGCTATTTGTAAATTCTTCTTCAGCATTGCTCTTGTGTCATCCCAATAAGGCTTATGCAAGATACAGGGAGGATGGGATGGGCCACAGTTGCATTGACCTGTCCATTGCGGGGTGTGTCAGGGAATTTTCTGGCATTCTGTGAACTGCAAGGATGTTCTGGTTATTATTAGGAACTAGATGTGTAGCAGAAAGCCAATCAGGATACCCCACTCCTGCAGTCAACCAGGCAAAAATCCTGCCAAGTAACTCCCTGGTCCCAGACCGCTGGGCCAGCACTGGATTCAACACACAATAAACCCAAGCGTTCTTTGGCATGGTATATGGCAACAAAAGCAGAATATCTCCTTGAAGAGGAATGCTGAGCCTTTCCGGGATCTGGGCTTTATTTCTCCCCAACCAGAGTCAACTGACCCATGAGGTGATGGTCCATGATGGAATTCAGATGTAGACCATTCGCCCCTCATTGCAGCTATTCCCTGTCCCAGGGGTGTAATTTACAATATCTCCTGACCCTGGGGTGTAATTTACAATAGCTACCCAGCTGAGCTGAGCCTCCCACAACTTTGGGCACCAGTTCTCACAAGGCCGGCACTTGGATTTTTCGGCATTTTATCCCTTATGTCAGTTAACCCTTCCCTGCCTCTGACTAGCCAGTTCATATTACAGGTTATTCCTTAAAAATATGGTATTCCTATGTGCCCACTAAACTACAACTTGTACATCTGCAAATTAAAAACAAAAAAACAAGAAAAGAACAAAAACAAAGCAAAATAAAGATACCTTTTTGCTAAATACTATAATATCCACTAGCCCATCTTCACAAGAGAACTGATTTTGTATAAAAGTCATTCTTGCAACCTGCTATTACTTCAGGGAAATAGGCAGCACAAAACACAATTTTATCCTTATATCCAGTCTAGCAGGTGAGTTAAACTAAAAATGACATGTTCAAAGCCACTTTTCACTTTATGTAATAATGATGCTTCTCATGGCTACATCAGTGTTTCTTGAAATAGTATGAAGTAAATATTTGTAGATCTAAACATACACATTTTAAAAGTTGTCACTTCCAGATGACAATCTTTGGATGTGTTTCTTCCCTGTCCAGTTTGCATGTGCACTCTGTACTGCAAAGAACACAGGCATGGCCATGGCAAACACAACTGGAGGGTTAAATGTATAGGCCAGGGGTCTGCAACCCGCGACTCTGGAGCCACATGTGGCTCTTTCATCCCTCTTCTGCGGCTCCCTGTCACTCAAAATATGTGTCACAACCAACCAATGTGCAACACCCACCGGCACACGATTTAGGATTTATAGGATTTTAAATTTTTAGCTGAGATGCACCAGAGGTTTTTAAATAATTTTTATTGTTATATTGTTATTTATTTATGTACTTTGTTTCTGTTGTGAGCCGCCCCGAGGCTTCGCTGTGATGGGGGCAGCATAAAAATGTTTTATTATTTATTTATTTAATTTATTTATTATTTATTTAAAATATTTCTATGCTGCCCCCATCGCAACAAAGTCTCGGGGCGGCTCACAAAGAATACATAAAAACATACATAAGTAATAATAATACAACAATTTAAAAGCAAAAAAAATTAAAAACCCCCTGGTGCATTCTCGGCTAAAAATGTTAAAATCTTAATTAATTCAATAATTTAGCAATTAAAATAAGTTTTAAATAAAAAGTTCTTAGCCTGGCGCCGAAAAACAAATAATGAAGGCGCCAGGCAGACCTCTCTGGGGAGCGCATTCCATAGATGGGGCGCCATCGCAGAGAAAGCCCTCCTCCGGGCACTCACCCTCCTAATGTCATTCACAGAGGGTTCCCGGAGAAGGGTATCCGTTGCTGATCTCAAGGGGTGGGAGGGCATATTTATTTTAAACAAATAAATAAATATTGAGCTTTTCAACCCCCGGTAGGCCAACCATGGATAAATCCAAGAAAAGAAAAGTTTCGGAAGAAAACAGAACGTTTAATGGTATGTGGGCAAATTCATTTGCTTTCACTGCTGACCAGACAGGTTTACCAGTATGCTTAATATGTGAGAAATTGGCAAACAACAAAAAGTTGAATGTTGCAAGACATTTCCTGAATAAACACACAGACTTTGCTGAAAAATATCCGGATGGAGATGAGAGAAAAAAAGCCATTTTGGAACTGATGTGGAATAGACATTGAGTATTTTATTTGAACGTAACCTTCAACCCAGCATCTTTTTTCTTTTTTTTTGGAGTTCAAAATGTTTTTGTTACATGCAAAAATAAAAATTTGTTTTCTCTGTAGCAGTTCATTGATTTCATAAATGCAACACAATATAGTTTTTTTATACATAGCATAAAGGTAAAAAATGATATATGCAGTGTTATCTTCATTTTAGATGTCAAAAGGGTTTTGTGGCTCCTGGTGTTTTCTTTTCTGTGGGAAATAGGTCCAAATGGCTCTTTGAGTGTTTGAGGTTGCTGACCCCTGGTTTGAAATTGGCCATCTAAAAGTTTTTGAGAAGGGGACCACAGAGAGAATCCTCCCCTCATGCTCTTTCTGTACTTGATTGAATTCCTGCACTTTCCTGAGTTTGGAAGGTTATGTGATCCACATAGGATTGTGCCTCAAAACTTGTGTTGGAAAATAACTGTGGGAATCTAAACCACAAAAACATCAAACTATTAAAAATATTCCTGTCTATGAGAGCACTGTTCCTCTGAGAGCACTGTTTTGTATATATAGGAAAACATCAGAAAGTTGACAGAGAACCTTCTCCACAACCTGACAGTGGTGACCTTCTCCTATTGCACAGTGATCTTTGCTTACATGAGTCTGAAAGCCAACACTTCACCCAACCAGGAAAAGATGGTTTCTAGCTTCTATAACCCTATTGCATATATCCAAAGGAACAAGGCAGTAAAAGGATCTTTGAGGGAACAGTGCTCTCATAGACCATACTTCTGACATTCAGACATCTTCATAACATTCCTCTCTTTACACAGGGTATGACACAGACCGCTGTGGCTTGCAGCACCCAGCAGGAATGTGCAGTTTATTGTGGAATTTTTTGCACTGTGTTGTGGTGATGGCTAAATTTATTTATTTTTAATGTCATTGCACTTTAAGTTCACCACTTGGATACCTTTGCAGAAGGTGGAATGTAAATTTAAGTAATAAAATAATCACTCTGGGTCATGTTAATCCATATTGAGTTTAGTTGATGTTTGCTCTCAAGTTAGAATTCATATCATGTTTGGCATGGTGACATTCCATCCAAAGGACTGATCAGCTGCACACCACTTAGCTCCTAGTTGCTAGTTCCATCTTGTCAAGCAAGATTTATTAAGCAGCAGTTTTTGACCATGACTCGGGATGAAGCTAATGGGTTTGATCCATACTTAGTCATACTTACAGAAGACGCATGGGTTTCTCTGGGTCATGACCAGCTTAAATTCCATTCATTTAAATGGGCCTACTCTGACTAACTCTGGTCCATCTCAGTGTCTTTATGAGAGATATGACTCAAGGAAGAATGTGACCCAGTTTTGGGCCATATGTTTTCTGATAGCATATTCTGCCATGTCAACCAAAGGTGAAGCTCCTTTTGTGGGGAAGAAGGAGCAATGTTGCAGCACTTTCTATATTCTGTCATTAATACCAGTCAGCACCACTGGCCTTGGGGCTGATTCTTCTCTGCTTCTTGAAATGTCCTGGCACTGACCAGGAACAGCTCTCCTTTATACAAGCAAATGAGAAACCTGGATCTTGTGCCATCCATTGCTGACCTATTCATTACAAGTTTGTTAACCTTTGGAGCAATACAGTTATGATTACAGTGTATTTTTAAAATTAGAGTTTACATTTGTTCTTGCCACCATAAATATTCTTAAAACTTAAATTACAATGAAAAGCTTCCCTCTCTGCTTTATTAAATGCACAGGTATGAAATGTATTTATATATTTCTGTTTATTTACATATTTCATTCACAATTTTGGCATGCCTAATTGTGAAGATACCAAGCAGCAAACACAAACAGATTGGCATCATGCATGCACAGATACACACACACTGCAGGTACTGTAAGATCTCATGGCCCAATAAGACCAGAGTACCAGACTAGTTGCAAGAAAGTTTAAAACACTCTAATTAGAGAGTCAGAGTGGTGTAGTGGTTAAGAACATGGGACTGGGAATCAGACGATCTGGGTTCTAGTCCCCACTCAGCCATGGAGCCAACTGGGTGACTTTGGGCCAGTCACAGACTCTCAGCCCAACCTACCTCACAGGGTTGTTGTTGTGGGGATAAGATGGAGGAGAAGATGTAAGCTGCCTTGATCTCTTTGTCAGAAAAAGGCAGGATATAAATCAATAAATAAATAAATAAATTAGACAAGACAGAGGAGCCATTTCTAACCCTCATTCTTACACTGTATGAAGTAACTGTCATTCAGTGCTCATGTGAAAATATGTTCCATGACAATGCCCACAGATCTACAACTCTTTATCTAAATGTTGATGTCTCATCTCAAGTGCATTCTATTACCCATTATCCTTCTCACTGCCAATTTCACTTCCTTGTTCCATAGGCGGTAAATGAGAGGGTTGAACGTTGGTGTTAAGATGCTGTATAGAACTCCTACAAGTTGGTCCCTTTCCAGTGAGTAGCTGGAGGTAGGACAAGCATATGTAAAAATGCTGGAACTATAGAAGAGAATTACAACAGTGAGGTGTGACACACAAGTGGAAATGGCTTTGTGGTGTTGTCCTTTCTGTCGGTTGTTCAAAATGGCATGAAGGATGAATACATAGGAGGTCAGAGTGAAGAAAAAAGGACTAAGCCCCACAAATACACCCAGTGTAAGAAGAGCATTTTCATTCCTTGTTGTGTCAGAGCAGGAGATACTCAGCAAGGGAGGGATTCACAGAAAAAATGGTTGATCCCATGAGAGTGGCAGAAGGACAGTTGGAATGTAAGTGCTGTGTGGAGAGAAGCATTGAGGAAACCACAAATCCAGGATGTGGCAGCCAGCAGGAGACAAGTCCATTCATTCATGAGTCTGCCGTAAACCAGTGGACGACTTATAGCAAAGTAGCGGTCCAGAGCCATAGAGGCCAAAAGAAACCCCTCGGTGCCCACTAAAGCGACAAGGAAATACAACTAAGCAGCACAGCCCATGAAAGAAATGCCTGGACATAGACTCCAAAGGTCTGCCAACATTTTTGGTACAGTCACAGAGATGTAACCGATATCAAGAAAAGATAGGTTGCCAAGAAAGAAATACATGGGAGTGCGGAGAGATTGATTCAGTGCAACCGTGATAATTAGCAACATGTTTCCTAAAAGGCAGATTGTGTACATAGTAAGAAACAGTGTGGCAAGGAAGGTCTTCGCTTGATTCAGTTTTTTAAATCCCAGGAGTATGAATTCTGTAACAAATGTTTGATTCTCAGAGTAAGCTAACTTCATGATGTTGAGAGTGATTATATTTTCAAGAATGGGTTTTAAGCTGACTTTTGCCCTGCAACAACAATTATGCAAAGCAGTTGTAGCTGAACCACTGCTGTTATAACTAGTATGCTTTGCTTATTGCAATGCAGCTATTGTACTTGCTGAAGTTCTGGTTATATGGTAATGCAAGTATGGATCTTCCATTGCATACTACAGTGATCATAGAACAAGCTTCTTCAGAGTAAGCGACCACAGAGTTACTTCATAAATCCATAAGCTTTCCAGTTTTCCCCATTCTTTGCATCTTGCTTCAGGTGAAGATAACTTAAACCTAGCTTTCCTTGTTTCTCCATGTTACAGATCATTTCCAGGTCTTAGAAGATCTTTGGGTTTATCCTAATGAAAAGAATTTAGAACAGTAGTTAAAGTCCAAATGACATATTGCATTAAATGTGTTTGCCTTGGATGTGTTGGAGTTGTTTTGTTTATTAAATAGTGGCATCAGCTGGGAATCAAGATCAGGACCGTGTCATGCGAGGAAGGAATTCATTAAACAGTAACAGTAAATAACAACTAGAAGAGATTTTCATCAAGAATGCAGCATGAATGAAAGGATCAGTACTGTATACTGTGGTCCTGATAACATCACCTGTAGCTGTTATTTATCAAATACCAAAGGAAAACCCAAGTATATAAAACATGATCAAGAATTTAATGCAACTACTAATGTAAATTCTCAAAACTACTGCTGTTCACAGAATGGAAAACCACGTATCTATTATGCCAGACAGGAAGGATTCAGGTCCTAAATTATGCCATTTCAGCTAAGGAACAGGAAGCCTTGCTTATCAAAGGGACTGCAGAAAAATGTAATTTCTAAGCATTTACTACAGGCTTCAGATTCATATTTTTTGTTCACCAATCTGTTATACTGTAATATACTGAGCCCTCCAGTTGATCTTATCTGCCAACCTGCACTTTTACTAGAATAACGTATCAGGCAAAATTAAATATATCTAAAGTTATCTAAAGCTTGATGGGGGTATCCATGTCTGTTTTGACTGGCCTAGTCCATACTAAATACTGTTTTAGCTGTTAACTTAAAATAAAAATATAAATCATTTAAAATGCTAAGGGGGAGTGGGGAGAATCCACCTATGGTATTTTTCTTGCATTATGATTCTATTAGGAACTACTCTAAACTGCACAGGGATCTATGAGTGATAGGTGGTACAGATGTTAAATTAATCAATATAATAAACACACGGCCAGATTTCCTGTGATCTGTTGATCAGTCACAATACAGGGTGCTGGATATTACTGCTTCACAAAAAACACAGCCGAACGAACTGAACCAAACTGAACTGAACTGAAACAAAATGAAAAGAAGCAAAAACCAACTGCATTGCACACTAAAGGCCAAACTAGATGTGATATAGGGAATGCCTAAATGCTTAGCCCATTTTTTCCTTCTTTCACTGAAAGAAGTCATGAAGAAGAGAGGGAATTTCATTGACACCATTGCACTGGCAAAGGAGAGCTAAACCTCCCTATTCATATTATTTCCAAAACAGAAGTTGCTTCTCCCCATGAAACCTGCTGCTAGTCATGGAGAGAAAAACATGTCGGCTCTGCACAGATATTTAGACTGTGGTTTGTCCTGTCTAAGGGCAGTCCTACTTAAACTAGACCTACTGATTTGAATGAGATTTGCACAGATCGATGTTAGATAGAACACAATAGATATTTTATTTTGTAGAAAGAATAAAGTAGAGAGAAGCAACACAGTCCATTTACTAGTGTGCTTTGCATTTGCATTTTAGATGTCATTGTTTCCCTTGACACCTTGGGTGTTTTGGTTGTAAATGAAAGGTAGAAATAAAAGCAAACACAAAATCAATGTTGGCTATTTTTAACAAAAAGTACCTACACTCTACACTAGCGTTTCTCTGTTTAATAAATACATTCACCTTACATGTATTCATTCAAACACATACTAGATTTAGAGTACAGTCATAGACATGTTGACTCAGAATTAAATCTACAGTTAGGCTTAAACTTATTGCCAGGATTCTCACAAATATGAAAAAGCTGATTCTCTGAACTGTTTTCCTTCTAACATATAGAGGGAAGTGTTCAAATCTTCTTAGTTCAAAGCTTGGATTGATCTGATTCCTCTTATTTAGAGAAAACACACAAAGACACTCTACCCACACAAAAGCTTACTTTGCAGAAGGAATAAACATTTTTCTGCTTCAGAGCTGTGCACACTGATGTAGCAAACAAAGTTATGTTCACTTAAGTTCTCCCACACTTGATTCAAGTCTTTTTTTAAGGGAAGCTCTTGGGATTTTCCACCTAAAGAATCCATGGAGTGTAGAAAAATGGCAAACTAATTAAGTAGTGCATCTCTGGTGAATGGATGTAATGTTACCTCTAGAAATGCTGGGAATTTATAATTTCTCTGAGAGACATTTAACTACATTTGTAATTATGAGACATACAAAATCACCCTTTTGACAAATTTAATTTTTGTATAAAAATCTGTGTGCAATTTCATGTGTATTTTGCCAGACGTATGCATTAGCTTTGCTCACCTTTGAAATGCATGCATTCTTCACTCATTGATTTAAATGTATTTGTGCACAGGTTTCAAATGTATGCATGTTATCAAATGCCTGCTGTCAAACACATCAAATCCTATTCACAAACCTAAACATGATCAGGAATGGATTTCTTGGGAACTTTTCACAATTTACACAACCTGTGCTCATGTCTGAAAATACATACAGTATCTCTTTAAAGATCATCAACTGATTCTCCAAGCATTGCCTTACTACTTGCCTTGTGTCTCATTCGTGAGAGCTACTCTACATGAACATCTACATGGCAAATGAATGGCATAATTCCACAATTTGTCTTCTGACTTCCACAACTTTTCTCCCCAGGGGGCTCTATTCTATAACTTTTCTTGATCAGAGCTTGACTCCAAATGTTGCAACATCAAAGATAATGGCCATGGCCCTATTCTGTGAATGCAACCTGGTACTCCCTTCTTGACTCCGCTGAGCTCAAGTCAAAATCTGTAAAGTAGTTGTGTTGCTGCAAAAAGGGTTTGGAAATGTATGTAGGCAATATACCCCCAGTAATACATATAAAGTTGTGACTGTGTATGAGTTGCAACTCTGAGTACACCACTACTAATATTTCAGGACTGGTGACCTACTCATTTACTGTTGATTGACACAAGGAAAAGCAGCTTTTAATGTATTACAGTTGTGTTGAGTATGAAAGGCTTTAGTAATCTCCTTCCTTTCTCCCCTCACACACAAAGTCCATTAGTCAAAGAACCCCCCTTTTTATTTAATTCAGTGATTGACAAGGTTCATAAGGGAATCATCTATCTTTGCAGAATGACAAACCTGTTATACCAATAATCAACCATTAGGTTTATTAGTATTGTTATACATTTTACAAAACAGAATGCATTTCCTTAATGCACTAAGAAAGATGTAACAATTCAGAAAAAGGTATCATTTAAAAACACAGTGTCCAATGATTAGTGCTCATATGGATTGAACACAGCAACAAGAATTTCCTTTGTTAAGGATTCCGATATAGATCACCTAATCAGATGCAATGAGACAAAGTTGAATACAAGGCAAATAAGAGATATAGTCAGTCCAAGTTAAACCTTAAATTACCCTGAGGTTTCTCTGGAAAGCATTACATTTTAAGCCAATACATGTTTGCTAAAACTGAATGTTTTCCACATGCCTTAATGCGAAGTGTCATGTTCAATCCATCTGACCTGTTGTGTACAATAATTGGTACTGATATTTGCTAAGCAGCCATTTCAAGAACTGGGTGGGTGTCAATTGTATTTTGTTTTACCTTTTGAATTCATGAGCACTTATATCAAAGCAGAATAATCCAAGCCAAGGACAAATAACCAACTGACATTTTGGTGGGTTGCTGTGGAATGAAGAACTTCACTTGAAGCAGAGAAGTCACAACATCTCTCGTCCCATAACAGTACAAACTGTATGATAACATAATGATCCCATTGTCTCATCTTAGTGTTCCTCTGTTCACCATTTGGGTCAAATGAATATAAATTCACTTGTGGTGGATAAATCTAAATTCTGTGAACAAAAATCTTCTCACTTATCAGCTTCTTCACTGCCATTTTCACTTCTTTGTTCCGTAGGCTGTAGATAATTGGATTGAGTGTTGGTGTTAAGATGTTGTATAGAATCCCCACAAGCTGGTCCTTTTCCAGTGAATAGCTTGAGGTTGGACGGAAGTATGTGAAAGCGGCTGACCCATAGAACAAAATCACTACTGTGAGGTGAGATGCACAGGTGGAAAAGCCCCTGTGTTGCTGTCCTTTTTCCCAGTTGCTTACAATGGCATGAAGTATAAAAGCATAGGAGATCAGAATGAAGAAGAAAGGAATAAGTCCTACAAACACACCCAGTATGAAAAGGGCAATTTCATTCCTTGTTGTGTCAGAGCAGGAAATACTCAGCAAGGGAGGAATGTCACAGAAAAAATGGTTGATCCCATGAGAGCGACAAAAGGACAGTTGGAATGTAAGTGCTGTGTGGAGAGAAGCATTGAGGAAACCACAAGTCCAGGATGTGGCAGCCAGCAGGAGACAAGTCCATTCATTCATGAGTCTGCCGTAAACCAGTGGACGACTTATAGCAAAGTAGCGGTCCAGAGCCATAGAGGCCAAAAGAAACCCCTCGGTGCCCACTAAGGCAACAAGAAAATACAACTGAGCAGCACAGCCCATGAAAGAAATGCCTGGACAGGGAATCCAAAGGTCTGCCAACATTTTTGGTACAGTCACAGAGATGTAACTGATATCAAGAAAAGATAGGTTTCTGAGAAAGAAATACATGGGAGTGTGCAGAGACTGATTTAACACAGACACAGTGATTATGAGTGAATTTCCCAAGAAGCAGATGACATACATTGTGAGAAAGAGGATGGTGAGAACGCTTCTCCCTTCTTTAATATTCCTAAATCCCAAGAAAATGAATTCCATGACAGATGTCTGATTCTCAGAAGAAGAGAAGTTCATCCTTTTCAATCTGAATCTGATGAATACAGAAGTAATGTGTTAAGACATCTAAGCAGTAGAAGGAAGAGCTACTACAAACAGATGCAGGGAAAACTTGTGGCTTTGTTCATTCTTCTGGCATAAATTCCATGCTTGTAGCTATAAAGTCAAACTAAATTCTTTAGCTTTTTGGCCTAAAGTACTGACCTAAAAACTCCTAACCAAATTTCCAAGCATACCCTATCCACAATACTACTAAACACCATTTTTTCAGGTTCTTGCCCTATCAAGAAGTTTTGCATTTAAATAAGACAAGTTAACTCCTAGCTTACATCTGGAATGTTCCTAATATAATGGTAACCTTCCACATGAACAGATGCATCTCTTTTACAAAAACAAACCACACATTCACTGCACATCTAGTAAAAGTTCTTTAGACTATGTAATTCGGTGTCCCATTCACATGTGACTTAAGCAAGACTCCTGAAATTCTTCTCAAGAGAAATCCCAAGCTGAATCCAGCTGATTTATATGCACTGAACAATGACATCAAACCCTTACTGTGTAGAAGTAATGCTTTTTTCTTCCTTCAGGGGAGTGTGTTGCGATGTGGCAAGGGAAGGATTTATATTTTTGCCATTAAATACATGACAGAAACAAATTCCTAAGGGGTGGTGTTACATATATATCAAACTAATAAAATCCACTGCCATCAAACAGGAAATAAGTAGCAAATTACAGGGCATAAGAAATATGTCCCCAGAGATACTAGCAGGTTCTAATAATTTATAGAAGTTTCAATGCCAGTTTTTAGCATTTGGGAAAAGGATTGATGAGTCCATTAAATGAAATTAAATGAGCTGGGATTTTTCTACAAGCCATTAATTCCACTGAGCAGAATATACTGTATAAGCTCTGATTTTATTTATTATTTTATTTTATTTAAAACATTTCTATGCCGCCCCATTAGCTGAAGCCTCGGGGCAGCTCACAACATAAAATTAAAATGTAATACATTCAAAATATAAAACAAATTAACAATATAAAATAAGTCGCCCTGGCCAGATAAAATAAGCAAATAATATTAACAATTAAAATGACGTTTAAATAAAAAGGTCTTCACCTGGCGCCGAAAAACGTCCTTCTAATCCTTCTAATCTCAGCACATTGATCCTACCATATTCCATCTCCAGAGTCCCATTCAAGAATTATTTCTCTCCCTTCCTTCCTCCCAATAAATGGCACATTTATTGAGAAAAAATTAAAAGGAGATGGTGCAGAAGTGGGAAAGCTGAAAGCTGGAAGGGGAAGGGGAAAGCATCACCAAATAGGTCTGAGAAAAGCTTCTGTTTGAAAATCTGGAGAGGGTGTTCAAGGAAAGATTGGACACCTACATCTTGGGGATACATGAGCAGAGCCAGCTGGAGCCAGGGGTCAGACTAGATGGCCCAGGAGACCCCCTTCCAGCTTGCTTTTTATCTGTGTTTCTATTCTTTTTCCCAATTTGGGGCTACCCTTGAAGACGGTCCGGATACTTCAATTGGTTCAGAATAGAGCTGCCAGGCTGCTGACGGGGACTGGACGTTATGTTCACATGACGCCAGTTCTCCGTCAGCTTCACTGGCTCCCCATTGAAGTCCGGGCCCAATTCAAGGTGTTGGTAATGACCTATAAAGCCCTAAACGGCTTGGGTCCTGGTTACCTGAAGGAGCGCTTACATCCATATTTGCCCAGTCGCCCCCTGAGATCGGCGGGAGAGGCCCTTCTCCGGGAGCCCTCCGTGAGAGAAATTAGGAGGGTGGTTACTCGGAGAAGGGCTTTCTCAGCGGTGGCGCCTAAGTTATGGAATGCGCTCCCCAGAGAGGTCCGCCTGGCGCCGTCGTTATTTGTTTTTCGGCGCCAGGCTAAGACCTTTTTATTTAAGCAACATTTTAAATGCTAAATACAATTGAATTTTATCTGGCCAGGGCAGCTTATTTTATAATATGAGTTTTAATTAAGATTATTTTATATGGATTTTAACTTGTTTTATCTATGTTGTAAGCCGCCCCGAGGCTTCGGCGAATGGGGCGGCATAAAAATGTTTTAATAAAATAAATAATAAAAATAAATAAAATAAATTTTGCTTTTAAATGAGTTTGGATTGGAAAGAAACCACAGTGGAGCTTTGGATGAATACAGGCCAACCAATCCATCTTCTGAAATATAACTTCCACCTGTGTTACAAGTAGATTTTCTGGGATGGGGTTGGAAATACAAATGCCATCCACTTGGCCAGATACTGACTGATGCCAGGCTATCAACATCCTGTATGGATATCAAAGAAAAAATCACACAGTAGATCACCCACAGGGCAAAACTCAAAATTTGGGCATCTCTATGAAGGCTGTTGGTCTACAGCCTTTAAGAAGCACCATCAACTAAACTGGGACCTCTGCCTGGGAAAGCAACAAACAATAGAGGCTTGTAAACATAACAGAAAGACTTCACAGAGTGTGATGTGAGCACAGCTTATTGTGGGTGAACTTCTGCTACTGCATCTGGCAAACAAACAAATAAATATGCAGGCAATGGCAAAAAATATCGCTCTTCCACTCTTCATTGAAAATGATATTTTCATTGACAGTTTCCAAAATATGCAGTGAACTGCAGGTGCCAAAGGGTCTAGTGTAGTTTGAGAACAAAAGAAGTAAAAAGAAAGTTACACACATAGAGAACCAAGTAAATTTTTATTCATTCATCCATTCATTTATCTCATCAAACCCACTAACAAATGCTCCCTGGGCAGATTGCACATGCCAAAAGAATGGAATACTTAAGCTAGAAGAGGCTGCTACGTACAATACAGGAAGCAAAATAATTCAATACAAAAGGATATGATACAACACAGTGTAATGCAAAAGAATTAACAGCATGGGAATAAAATGCATGGGAGCAATCATCAACAAGAAATAAATAGTGTTGATTAACAGCCTTAAACTCGAGTTCTCATATGTATAATAGGGAGGTGACCGTTTTACTAAAGTTCAGTCAAGGGATGGATTTAAGCTTTAAGCTTATGAATTATTTTCCTCAATGCCCTTTTCATGTCCTTGTTTTTCAGACTGTAGATTATGGGGTTTAACATAGGGGTTAAAATGCTATATTGAATGGATAGTACTTTGTCTAAGTCTGATGATGACCCTGAAGCAGGTTTCATGTACCGAAAAAAACCTGTCACATAAAATAAACTAACAACAATGAGATGTGAGCTGCAGGTGGAAAAAGCCTTGCTTCTGTCTTCTGTGGATGGTATTTTGAGGATGGTGAAGAGGATATGAACATATGACACCAAGGTGAGGATTGAGGCACTCATGACAAACATCACAAGAGAGGCCAGGAGTACAATTTCATTCACTAAAATGTCCGAGCAGGATAACAACAAAAGTGGAGGGAGTTCACAACTGAAATTGCTGACTCTGTTAGGCCCACAGAAGTGTAATGCTGAGACAGGGAGAGTGTTAATGAGGGCATGGAGAAAACTGACCACCCAGGCACCCACTATCATCTGATTGCACATTTTTTTGTTCATAGTCTCCAGGTAATGCAATGGGAGACATATAGCAGCATATCGGTCATACGCCATGACAGACAGGATTAGAATTTCTGTGCAAGCCAGCATTATAATGAAAAACATCTGGGCAATACATCCACTGGCTGAGATGGTCTTCTTGGCTACAAGGTTCTCCAGCATCTTTGGAACAGTGACTGAGGAATAGCAGATATCCACAAATGATAAATGAGAAAGGAAGAAGTACATTGGTGTGTGAAGGTGAGGATCTGCCCCAGTAACCAGAATGATAGTCATATTTGCAACAAGTGTAATGAAATAGATAATCAAAAACACTACAAAGAGTAGATTGTGCAGTTGTGGGTTGTTAGAAAGTCCTTCAAGAGTGAATTCAGTCACCACAGTCAGATTTTCCATCCAGGCTTGTTTAGCAACACTTTTACCTAGTAAGAACAGGAGAATCACAACTGTAAACAAAGGTTAGTTACAACTCAGAACTTAATGTAAAACAAAGTGTGTGTGTTTGTGTATCCTCATGTTTACAATCCCCCATCACCCATGGCTTGTCTGGTTGTCCAGTTATGCAAATCCTTTTAATCTACTAAGCACACCATTATGACAATTTGAAAATTAAATGAAATGTGATTGAAAAACAAAGATAACACCATGAAGGGCTGAATTTTCTCATAAAGAGGGGAAAGCAGGGGTGGAAGATATAGGAACAAATTATATAGCAATACAATTTAAGATACATCTCTTCAAAGAGCATCACAAAACACAAAATAGCAAGAGATGGAGTTCAATAAATCAGCTACCCATAATGACTGAGTGTCCAAGGACTTTTCATCACAGCCCTGTCTGGTGCTTCATAGACCTGGACAGGAATGAAGGGGTCATTCCATGTCACACTTCGTCCTCAAAGGTGCTGCTGGGTTAATGCTGTGATAATATTTGGCTGCAGTTCTCTCCTTTGCTAGTTACCTTAGTTGGTGCTTTTTAAAATTAATTCACTAGTAGGTATGTATAGATTTTGTTAAAACAGTTCCATCCATGCATTTTTCATTCCAACATTGGCTAATTGCCAAATCAGATTTTCTTGTTTTACTAGAATTTCATTCTATTTGTAGTATTTTGCATGCATACAACTGTGCAAGCGTGCATTAGTGTTACTGCAAATTGATGCAAAAGCCACCCACCCCCTGTGAAAATTGTTCTATAAATCTACCAAATTGTTGTGCATCTAAGAAAGCCATTTCACTGTGGAATCTGCTTCATAGAAATCTGAATGCATTTGAATCCACTGGGGGATTTCGCTAGCATCCTAGTCACTCTCCCTGCGATCTCTCCTGTCTCTTTTTCTCTCAAATTTTCTAATCTCCCTCAGAGAAGACTCATCCTCAGAATCTCCTATGGTAACTCAACAGGGCCAAAAAGGGTTGCTCTCCATGCATCCTGTGGAGAACTACATAAAGTGAACAACTTTATGTTGTTATGAGAACTACATAAAGTGAACACCAACTGCGCCCGGCAGCAGTTGAGAACTACATAAAGTGAACACCAACTATGAGAACACCAACTATGAGAACACCAACTATGAGAACACCAACTATGAGAACTACATAAAGTGAACACCAACTGCGCCCGGCATAACAACTTTATGTTGTTATGAGAACTACATAAAGTGAACACCAACTGCGCCCGACAGCTTACGCCGGAGGAGGGCCGCCTCCTTGCTGTGTAAGACCGCGCCGCGCCGGAGGGGAGCCGCTGCCTGGCCGCGTAAGACCGCGCCGCCATCCACCGCCCACTTGGCTGCTCCGCCACGCCCCAGCACGTGTGGCAGGCGTGCTTCGGACGAGGCGGGGGACGCAGGGCCGGCGGCTACAAAGCCCGCGGGAGGAGCGCGCCACCAGCAACACCAACTGCGCCCGGCAGCTTACGCCGGAGGAGGGCCGCCTCCTCGCTGTGTAAGACCGCGCCGGAGGGGAGCCGCTGCCTGGCCGCGTAAGACCGCGCCGCCATCCACCGCCCACTTGGCTGCTCCGCCACGCCCCAGCACGTGTGGCAGGCGTGCTCCGGACGAGGCGGGGGACGCAGGGCCAGCGGCTACAAAGGGCGTCGGCCAAAGGACAGTTGCCGCCGTTCGGGTGGCCGAGCAGGGGGCGGGGCTGGCCAGGGGCTTGCGCTTGGCGATGGTAGGCCCTCCTGCTGGGCTGTGAGTGAGGGGTGAGTGTGTGTGTGTGTGTGTGTGTGTTTTTAGTAGTATTTTAAATCTTTTTATGGAGTCGTCCCTGGCCATGCTGCCGCTTATGTTTCCTGGGGAGCGCACGGGTGCCGCCATTGAGGTGGTTATGGGCAGGGGACGTAACAGCGTTGGGAGCTTAACGTGTCCGCATAGAAGAAGGAGGGACAGATGGCTGACACCTGTCCCTACTTCTGGTTTTGCTCCCAGCCAGAGGGTGCCAGGGAGTCTCGTCAGTCGCCCCTCCAGCCTGACGGTGCTGTTGCTTAATGCCAGGTTGGTCAATAACAAATCTGCCCTCATCCAGGACCTGATTGTGGATGAGGGGGCCGACCTGGTCTGCATAACGGAGACCTGGGCGGGAGAGGGGGGGGGGTGTTGCCCTCTCCCAAGTGTGCCCGCCCGGGTATCTGGTCCAGCACTGCTCACGGCTGGAGGGGAGGGGAGGGGGGGTCGCTTTGGTATACCGAGCCTCCATCTCCCTCACGGGACTTCCGGTCCCTTCGAGACCAGGGCTGGAGTGTCTCTATTTGGTGTTGGGCGACCGAGACAGACTGGGGATTCTGTTGGTGTACCGTGCACCCTTCTGCCCAACAGTCTCCCTGCCTGAGCTGACAGAGACTGTCTCGGACCTGGTGTTGAGGACCCCCAGGATGTTGGTCCTGGGGGACTTCAATCTCCATGCCGAGGCTAGTCTGACCGGGGCGGCTCAGGACTTCATGGCCTCCATGACGGCCATGGGGCTGTCTCAACATGTCACCGGCCCCACCCATGAATGGGGACACACTCTGGACCTGGTTTTCTCGACGGGGCAGGAAGAGGGTGGTCTGAGGGTGAGTAATTTATGCTTGACTCCCCTGTCATGGTCAGATCACTTCCTGGTGAGGTTTATGCTCGAGAGCGACTTCTCCCTCTGTAAGGGTGCGGACCCGATTATGTGGGTCCGCCCCCGGAGCCGGATGGATCCAGAAGGATTCCTGAAGGCCCTGGGGGAGTTTCCGGCTGACAAGACAGGTGCTCCTGTCGAGGCTCTGGTCGAACTGTGGAATGGGGAGATGACCAGGGCTGTAGACACGATCGCTCCTAAGCGTCCTCTCCCACCGGGCAGAGCCCGCTCTTCCCCTTGGTATACTCCTGAATTGAGGGCGATGAAGCAGGTTGGGAGACGACTAGAGCGTAGGTGGAGGAAATCACGAGATGAATCTGACCGAACACACTTAAGAGCCCACTATCGGGCCTATGCTGTGGCGGTGAGGGCGGCAAAAAAGAGATTCTTTTCCGCTTCCATTGCCTCCTCACAATGCCGTCCGGCGGAGCTCTTTCGAGTGGTGCAAGGCCTGGTCCGTCCAGGTCCAAAGGAAGACCTGATTCCACCCTCAAAGACCCGCTGTGACGACTTTGCCAGGCATTTCAGGGAGAAAATCGCTCAGATTCGTCACGAGCTGGACACCACTATTGATTCAGAGGTTTCAAAGGAGACACCAACGCTGCCGTCTGGTCCAGATTTATTGGATGAATTTCAGTTATTGCGGCCCGATGATGTGGACAAGGTGCTTGGGCGAGTACGTCCAACCACTTGCCTTTTGGACCCTTGCCCGTCTTGGTTAATAAATGATTCCAAGCACGGGATTGGAACCTGGATCTTGGAAGTGGTTAACGCTTCTCTGAGGGAGGGTCGGGTGCCGGCCCCTTTGAAGGAGGCGGTAGTCCGACCGGTCCTGAAGAAGGCGTCACTGGATCCAGAGATGGCCACTAATTATAGACCAGTGGCCAACATCCCGTTTCTGGGCAAGGTGTTAGAACGAGTGGTGGCGGGACAACTCCAAGCACTCTTGGATGAAACTGATTATCTGGACCCATTGCAGTCCGGCTTCAGACCCGGGTACGGTACTGAATCTGCCTTGGTCGCCCTGTATGATGACCTGTGCAGGGAGAAGGACAGGGGGAGTGCGTCCCTGTTGGTTCTGCTGGACCTCTCAGCGGCTTTCGATACCATCGACCATGGTATCCTTCTGGATAGGCTTGCGGGATTGGGGGTTGGAGGCACTGCTTTGCAGTGGTTCCGCTCCTATCTCAATGGCCGGTTCCAGAAGGTGGTGCTGGGGGACTATGGCTCTGCGCCATGGCAGCTATGCCATGGAATACCGCAGGGGTCCATTTTGTCCCCTTTGCTGTTCAACATATACATGAAACCGCTGGGAGAGGTCATCAGGAGGTGTGGGCTGCGGAACCATCAGTACGCTGATGATACCCAGCTCTACCTCTCGTTTTCCACCAATCCAGGTGAGGCAGTGGCTGTGCTGAACTGGTGCCTGGCCGAGGTAATGGGCTGGATGAGGGCCAATAAACTGAAGCTCAATCCAGACAAGACGGAGGTCCTGTTGGTTGGTGGATCGGGCTTCGGAGAGGGTGAATTGAACCTTGTCCTGAATGGGGTTGCACTCCCTCTTAGGGACAAGGTCCGCAGCTTGGGAGTGCTCCTCGACCCAGAGCTTTCACTGGAAGCTCAGGTAACAGCAGTGGCGAGGAGTGCTTTCCTCCAGCTTCGGCTAATTCATCAGCTGCGCCCCTATCTGGAGAATGACTGCCTTGCGACAGTGACACATGCGTTGGTGACTTCCCGTTTGGACTTCTGCAACGCGCTCTACGTGGGGCTACCCTTGAAGACGGTCCGGATACTTCAATTGGTCCAAAATAGAGCTGCCAGGCTGCTGACGGGGACTGGACGTTATGTTCACATGACTCCAGTTCTCCGTCAGCTTCACTGGCTTCCCATTGAAGTCCGGGCCCAATTCAAGGTGTTGGTTATGACCTATAAAGCCCTAAACGGCTTGGGTCCTGGTTACCTGAAGGAGCGCTTACATCCTTATATGCCCAGCCGCCCCCTGAGATCGGCGGGAGAAGCCCTTCTCCGGGAGCCCTCCATGGAAGAAGTTAGGAGGGTGGTTACTCGGAGGAGGGCTTTCTCAGCGGTGGCGCCTAAGTTATGGAATGCGCTCCCCAGAGAGGTCCGCCTGGCGCCGTCGTTATTTGTTTTTCGGCGCCAGGCGAAGACCTTTTTATTTAAGCAGTATTTTAAATGTTAATATTATTGAATTTTATTTGGCCAGGGCGGCTTGTTTTATAGTGTATATTTGTATTTTATTGTATATATTTTAAAATGTTATTTTAAATTTTTTGTTGTAAGCCGCCCCGAGGCTTCGGCGAATGGGGCGGCATAAAAATGTTTTAATAAATAAATAATAAATAAAATAAACTTCATAAATGAACACAAAAATGCCTACAATAGAGCTGTAAAGAGGAGGTATTTGTCAGAAAAGAGGAAGAGGAGGAGGAGAAGGCAGCAACTGAGATTAACCACTAATACCACTGAATATGCAGAATCAGGTTCAGACTTTTAAATATAAAGCACTTAAAACCCTGAGCCAATGACACTTTCTACCACAGTCTGCCCCACCCCTTCTTTCAAGTTCATTTTGTGCTGAACATGGAGATGTTGTCTCAGTGACTCTTAACTTGTATGGATTTCCTGTGAGCAAACACTTATAATTAATATCCTCTGAAATTTGAAATGAAAAGTCTTAATTGCTTTATAAAACTAGGAATGTGAACTAGAGAACTGATAGAGAACTATTCACCACCTCTCTTTTCATAGAATTTTGTCAGTTTGCTAAAGGTACACATTTTATGCACATTTTTAAAGGCACACATTTTCACCTATTTATTAAATCATGTATCTGCACAAAATACCCACTTTTTCCTGTGTGTGTGTCGAATGCACACATTCACTTTGGTATATAAATCACATTATAATATTGTAAATGTGCAACCTTCTTCCACTGATTTAATTCACGTAATCTCTAGTCAAATTTGGGGCATGATAAATGGGTATATTGTGGTCTAAAACAAACTGAAACACATTCTTCATATATCTCAAAGGGAAACTGCATTAAACTAGCATTCACTACAAGATTCCTCACCTGGGATAAATGTTCTGTAGACCTTAAGAACTACTTCATACTTCTGGGCTGTGATGGTCTCAGACAGAATCAAGCAAACCCAAGCCTTTCTTCAATAAATCAAGAAAGGAAGCCTAAGTTGACAAGGAACCCCTGCTAATGCTTTTCGTCTGGCATCCATGCAAGTGAGAGAATCTAATGCATACCTTAGCATTCAATGGCTGTTATTGTTTTCCTTTGTTTCAAGTGAGGCTCTACTTTTATATGTGGAAAATTCATGATTTACTGAGTAAATACTGGAAACCAATTACTGATATAACTAATCATTTATTTTCTCTTGGGAAATGGGATCCCCTGCAGTTTTTCTTTAGGTGCAATCAAATAAAGACCCAAGTGAAATATATAGTCCACTTAAGAAGTTCAATTATATGTAAGTTCAATGCAAAATGATGTAGCTTACACATTTGGGGATATTTGGCAATAAGTATGAAACTGTATAATGAAGGGTTACTGAGATGAAATAATTTAAAAGTAGGTTGAATATATTCAATAAAAAGTTCACCAGCTGTATTTAAGGTGAGTGACACAATCCTAGCCTGCCATACAAGCTCTGGAACTAGTGTAGGTGACAGAACTCCATCTTGCTGCTAAGCAGTTGTCTCATATGAGAAAACATGTAATGTGCAGACTGTACTTCAGTTACAAGCACCCAGCATACATTGAGGATAAACACCAAAGACAGGATTCTGTACCTCAGAAAAGTCAACTCATCCTGGATGGCTTTGGAGCACTTTGTTTGAGATGACTTTTTTCCTGGTCCTCCTCAGAAAATCTTTGTGTCTCTTCAATCATTGTAATGGAAAATCAACTAGTAGCTGTAACATACTTACCTTTTGACAGAACAGGTGCAGGTGTAGTGACATTTTTGAGTGGGTGACTCATGCCAAAATTCAGACAAATAGGTGAAGAGGTATATGTCTGCACAATCTTTGCATTTTAGGGTTTCAAGGATCCATTTGCAAATGTGTTCATTTATTTATTTTGCAGAATTGAATGGCATTTGCAGGCATCATTGACCATGGTCTATATTATGATCACCCCATGCTGAATTCATGACTACTGCCTGAAAAACAGGGAGGCCAAAATGCCCTGCAGAAAACATCAAGAAGATACATGCACTTCTATCAGAATTAAGCAGCATTATATGTGGGATAATTTAAAATGAGACTTAGATGATGGTAGAGCCTAAATATGAACATAAGTGGAACTTGACTTTTCTGTTTGTATAATTTAACTCATTCCTAATTACAGGAAAAATAGTTACAGGAAAAATAGCTAAAATAAATAGCTTTTAAAAATTCAGACACAATCCAGCTAAAAGCTGAGGAATCTTTTTATAACAATGAGTGAAGCAAGTGTTTAAAGGGCTGCAGCTGATATTAATAGGATTTAAAATGCTTAACTTTGCCTGGAGTGTGCCTCATACATTTATTTCTTGAATGTTCAGATTGAATTTTCCAAAGATGTTTTGTGTCATCAAAAGTTCACCATGATGCCTAGTCACATTTCAGAATACATGACAAACCCAAACTTTGGGGGGAAATAGCTTTATTAAAAGGATAAAATGTAGGGTTGGAGAGCACTGAAAGCACAGCTAAAAGGATAAAAGAGGAGAAAGGGGAAAGGGGAAGGGGATTTTGAAGAGCAGCAACAGCAAGTTTACAGCCAACCAAAGACCCCTGACCTTATGTCCTTGTTGGCCCACTTTTTCTCTTCCAAACTCCCCTGGACTTCCATTAATCATGCTAAACACAATAACATTTCCATTTGTCATTAAATTCCTCTAATAGTTTTTCTGTTTACATAATTAGTTAGCTTTGCCATCACTGCATATTGTGCTAATTTATTTCTCCATTCTCCATTGATTGGGGTCTCCGGTGATTTCCATTTTGAAGCTGCTGTGATTCTTGCTCCTGTAGTCATAGACTTAAATAACTCTGACACGTTTTTGAAAGGTCTCTGGCATGATGTTCAAAAGCTTATTCTTGAGACATGTCTGCATGTATCAGTTTCCAGAATTTTTGTGTTATTTCTCAAGTGCACTACATATGATAGAAGGTCCCATCTACCCTTTTACATTTCCAACATGTTGCATTCTTATCTATTTTCCCAATATCTTTTAGATATCACCAATAAAACATTTTATACTAATTTTCTCTTAATGCTTAACTAGCAGTGAATTTAACATTTGCAGTTTTGCAGTTTTGAGTGGCCATGGACTGCCTAGCTTTTTTAGTTTGAACACTACTAGCATAACAAATCCAGAACCAACTTAATAATAGTTTTGACATAACAAAGTAAGCACCACTGCTACATTTTTTTTTTCTTAGTGGGACAGGATGGAAATCAAATAAATAAATTATGTTTACTTCTTTCCAAATGTTCTCACAAAAGCTCTCTTTACTTCCTTATTTTTCAAGCTATAGATAATTGGATTCAACATGGGAGTCAAAATGCTATACTGAATAGAAAACAGTTCATCTAATATTGTGGAAGAGACACTGCCAGGTTTCATGTACTGGGACATTCCTGTTATATATAGTAAGCCAAGCACAATGAGGTGGGAGCTGCAAGTAGAGAAGGCTTTGCTCCTGCCCTCTGCAGAGCGAATCTTCAGGATGGTTGAGATGATGTAAACATAGGAGACCAAGGTTGGTAGGAAGGAGCTGAGTCCAAAAATCACAACAGAAGAAAGAAGAATTACGTTATTGAGGAAACTGTCAGAAATGGAGGCTTTCAGGAGTGGTGGGAGTTCACAGCTGAAATGGTTGATTTTGGGAAGACCACAAAACTGTAAGTTGGATATTGACACTACATTTAATAAGGCAAAAAGCAGCCCCATTAGCCATGCTCCCATCACCAGGTAAATGCATATTGATTTGTTCATGATGAGCACATAATGAAGTGGGCGACACACAGCATTGTATCTATCATATGCCATTGCTGAAAGAATGAAAACCTCTGTTACGCTCAACAGAAGGCTGAAAAACATTTGAGCCAGGCAGCCAATGAAACTAATGGTCTGCTGATGCAAAAGCAAATTAACTAACATCTTTGGGACAATGTCTGTAGAGTAACAGATGTCAACAAAGGACAAATGAGAGAGAAAATAATACATGGGTGTGTAAAGAGAAGGATTCATTTTTATCACCAAAATGATTGCAATGTTTCCTGACAAAGTTATCAGATAAATGGATGAAAATACCAAGAAGAAAGAGATCTGCAGCTGGGGATTGTTGGAAAGTCCCAGGAAAAGAAACTTTGATGCATCAGTTTTATTTTCCATTTCTGTTTAGTAGTGATCTGTAAAACAGTAACAATGAATGTGTAGGAAGACAATAAACAATTCAGCAAAACCTAACAGCTCAGGGATTATTTCTATACACTGTGTGATGACTAACAGAAAAGAACAGGCCACATGCCAATTTCTGTGGAATATTGCACCAAACTTTGCCTCAAGGCAAAGTGGTAAGCAAAAGTCAAATTTTGCATAATTTGTATCATGCAACTGTAGCTGCTCTCAAACTGAGAAAAGCAGGGGTTACTTAAAACCTTATCAGGGTTTCCCTAAATGAGACGATCAATAATAGTGAACAAGTTTCCCTAGCAGATAATTGAAGGCCGCTGCACCACAAGTCTTTTCCACCTTCAGTATACCCAACCTGTTCTTTAAGACATGTTTCCTCTCAAAAACACACACTTAAAGCTAGCAACAATTTAAACACTTAAAACACTTTTTGTAATCGCAAACTTTAAACACTATTTGTTTGCTTTTTTATTTATTTTAAGCAACATCAATAGTAGAAATTGAGACCAGCAAAGAATCTTTAAAATAGAGAGCAAACATAAGAGATTTGAAATGCTAAAAGCCATGTGGAAGAGAAGTTTACAAGTGAGGTTTACAAGAGCAGTTTACCTAAAACTGATGAAGAAGATGGCCTAACTTCCTTTGGGATCACAATGATCCACAGGGTGGTTCTGCCACAGAGAAGACCTTATCCTGTTCCCCTCAGCTTAGCCTTTCTCAGTGTTGGGACATACAGAAGGATACCTGATGAAGATCTTAAACTATGGGCAGGTTCATATGCATAAGGCAGCATTTTTTTATTTATTTAAAATATTGATAACCCCACCCTATACGCAAAAGCATCTCAGGACGGTTTACAAAACTCAAACAGATAATTTAACAAGTTAACAATAATAAATACAAACATAACACCAATAACAGTAATACATATACACATAAAACCATTTCACACATCTAAGCCAATACTTTCAGTGCTTTCCAGAAACTACTTGGGAGCCCATGCATTTGATACAAACCAACATTATTTGGCCAAAAAAGCATTTGGCTATTGCATTTTGCACAGACTGTTGTTTCCAACAGTCCTCAAGGAGAGCTTGATGCAGAGTTTATCAATATGGCCAGTGCTGATCTGACAATCTAAGTGGAATGTGATTAAGACATTGATCTTTTTTGGGCAGAATTGCCTTCTGGAATGGATAGAACTGGCACAACTAGTCAAAGTTGGGTAAAGGCACTCTTGGCTACAACAGCTGCCTTGAACATTTGTCCACCCTACCCCCAGCAAAGGTTCAGGAGCAGCCCAAAGTGCAAATCTGATCCTTCAAAGGGAATGCCACCACATCTGGAATAGGCTGTATCTCCAATACCAAATAAGCTTTCTACTGAACAACAGCGTTTCTTTCCCATCTGGACCAAGGTAGAGACTTTATTCAATCCATCACTGTGCCCAGACAATTAATCAGAACTGGATGTAAATCCTAGAATTCTGTGGCAGATGTATTAGCCTTCCTCAACAGTCAGTATGGAAAGGGTTACTTATTGATGGGGAGTTTGAAAGACACTATACAACTGTATCACATTCATACTTGCTACACAAATATTTTCTGGAATATTAGCACCTTCTGAAAGAAAACCTCAAGTAGCTCAAAAAGGGTAATGTGCATCAATATGAAAGTTTCCGAAGAACTTACCTGATATGGTCACAAGTAAAAGGGTAAGTGGATAATACATGTGCTCTAACATGAATGTTTAAGATGGAGCAAGCAGAAAACCAAGCTGCAAAAACATCTATATTCATGTTTGGCTTTTCTTTGTTTAATGAATCAAAACCAGTCCTGGCTTCTTTCATTCAAAAATGTATTGGCAGAATGTATTGATGGGGATATAAGTGTCTGACTTATACAATGTTTATTTAATTCCCTAAATAAGCCGGGGGTAATTCTGGAGGGATCAAAATTCCCACCTGAGAACTCATTGAAGATTGCACATTCAAGAGGCTTGCTCATTACTCAGTCATGTGGTTTCAATAATGGGAAGCAGCTCTTATGATATATTCACATATCACCCACTCCTGGAATCACATTCATTTTATTGATTGACAATTTATTCAGAAGACTGAGGCAGCATTTAGCTTGGAGTTAGGCACACTTAATTATTTAAAAAAATAATGTCTTGTTGATCTTTAATGTCACTTGATGGATATGGTCTCATGGAAATCAGTGGCAAGAACTTCCTAAGAAAGTGATGGAATCTACCACCTTAATTCAATCTCATAGTGGAGCCCATCCCTTTCTATGCAATGGACTGTCCACTGCGAGCTTACTCTCTGAGAAAAATATAAAGAGACAGAGAGGGAGAAGGAGAAAGGGGGATTGGGAAGACCAACTGGCTTGAGTCCCTGTGGATCCTCCTGGGTCCTGACTTTTGTCCAGCCATGAAGCCAGGGCTGTATGAGAAATAGGAAAGAATGCATTGTCTCTCATAACACTTGACAACTACAGTCTTTGGCATTATAGTTTTAAAATTAACATTTTACATTAAAATTATGTAACCAAGGAAACCTTTTAGTGGATGATGATGATGATGATGATGATGATGATGATGATTGAGGGCCGCACACTCCTAAGCTCTGGATGACCCCACTCTGAGGTTTCATGTAGATATTGAATAGCTTGGGGGACAAAACAGACTCTGGAGGGACTCCATGCTGGACAATCTATGGGGCTGAACAATATTCCCCAAGCACCACCTTCTGGAGATGGCCCTTCATATGGGAAAAGAACCACTGCAATGCAGTGCCCCCCACTCCCTTCTCATCCAGTTGCTCCAGAAGGATTCCATGGCATTGAAAGCTGCTGAGAAGTCCAGCAGTATCAACAGGGTCACACTCCCCCTGTCTTGCTCCTGGCATAGGTCATCATACAGACTTACCAGGGTAGTTTCTGTGCCAAAACCAGACCAAAATCCTGACTGAAATGGATCTAGATAATCAGTTTAATTCAAAAGTGCCTGGAGTTTCAGCAACCACACTCTGTGAAACCTTGCCCAGGAAAGGAATATTTGCAACTGGCCTGTAGTTGTTTAAATTTTCTGGGTCAAGAGAGGGTTTCTTGAGAAGTGGTCAACCCACTTCCTCTTTAAGGCAGCATGGGATCACTCCTTCTTGCAAAAAGGCATTGCTGACCTTCCTTGTCCAGTCACTTGTCCCTTCTTTGCTGGATTTTGTAAGCCAGGAGGGGCAAGGACCCAGTTCAGAAGTGAATGCTTGGACCTGTTCAAGCACCTTGTTCACATCCTTGAGCTGTATTGACTGAAACTCGTCCAATAAAACTGGACCAGACTGTGCTCTGGATAGTTCCACCAATCCGACTGCTGTAACTCTGGAGTCCATGTCCTAGCAGGTGCAACACATTTTTTTTCTTGGGAGTGCCCAACAAGTAGGTTGCAGCACGCCAAAGATGGTTCCAAAGTGTCCCAGGGGCCAGAGTGTAAAACCTAATGGGTTTTTCTAGTTTGTTCCAGTGACCTTATTCCATTTCTTCCTCCTCCCCATTGCAACTCAATCTGTAGTGCCCCAGATTCATACAATAGCAGAGTTGGAAGGAGCCAGTAAGGACATTGCGTACAACCCTTGCTCAGTACAGAACTCTAAGTTAAAGCAGACCTAATGGATCTGGTCCAGTTACATTCTGAATGCCCCTAGTGTGGGAAAGTCCATTGCCTCCTTAACGAATTGGTTCCATGGCTGCATTGCTCTGACTGGAAGCACCTAGAATCCATCTTCTTGTAACTTGAGCCCAATCTGTACTCATGCATGATTAAGAAGAGATTCCAGTTACTTCTGCAATTCCACAAATACAGCATTTTTGAAAAGAAACTTTAACACAACTATTTTAAAAAGCCACTAATAGGAACTCCATTTTGCCTCTTAGTGGTTGTCTGCCTTGGTGGTGATCAGGGGTTGTGGTCGCTGAAGAAAGACAAAAAATCCAGAGGATCCAAAATTGGCTTACAATCACAGTGGGAGGAAGGTTCTTCTCCAAGTTGGTCCTGCTGCAGAATATACTGGGATTCCCACAGGACGACTGTGGAAAAGAAGGTGTGACCAAACCTTGGTGAACCTAATGCACAACGGCTTGTTCACACAACAACCAATCCACCATTTGTAATTGCCAGGGTGGGTTGCTGTAGCAAACAAATTTCATTCTTAGTCACTTTTGTGTTTTGCTGGTATTTGTATATGTACAATGCATCATATCTGCATTATGGCATTTGTGTCTTTTATTGATAATCTCCTTTGGAGGTATTACTTTCAAACTTATCTGAAATGAAAAAGTATTTATGTAGGAAATGTACATTTTGGGAGTAGCTGAGAGTCATAAAAACTGTATATTCCTCAACATTGTATATTTTGATCCAGTGTGCCTAAGATTAGGAGCCAGTGTGGTGTGGTGAATACAGTGTTGGACTGGAGTGCCAGGAGATCCAGGTTCTAGTCTCCACTTGGCCATGAAGCTCAAGGGGTGACTTTGGGCCTATCACTCACACTCAACCTAATCTACCTCACTGGGCTTTTGTGAGGGCAGGAAAAAAGCAGGATATGAAAATAATAGATGTGGCACAGTGTTTGGACTGGAATTCCAGGCAATATGGATTCTAGTCCCCCTAGAGTCACTGGATGACTTTGGGTCATTTATTAACTCTGAGCTTAACCTGTTGTGAGAATAAAATGGAATAGAGGAGGACTATGTAAGTGGCCTTGGATTGCTTAAAAAGGGGGAGAAAATATGGAATATAAAGGCAATGTAATAATACCAAGATAACAGAAATGCCGCAGTCTTCTTGCTTTATACAATACTCTTCCTCTTCCTTTTCCTCAACATTGCTATCTAATAACATGTGATTTCAGGAAAGCCATCTTGCGTTCCAATACAGCTATTTGCAAGGTTGTCAGCAAACTTTTCTGACATAGATATTGCGATGATTCCTACCTTGTGACTCCACTAAACTGCTAATTCATCTCACTACTTGAGACATGAAAAGGACCATCAGTGTCTGGTTTCCCTTGAATCAATATATGAACCAAACATTTTTCAGGAGGCTTTAGTTAAAGCATTCATAGCTTCATACAACTGTAGTATACAGCAAAAACTCATTTTCCCTGGGAACAAGAGGAACAAATGTTTTATTCTGCAAGTAATTTAGAAGGTACAACTGATGTATTTCCTAAACAAACATGCCCTTATTAGATGTGTTCTTAAACGGTGCATAATTTGTCCCAAAGGCAATGATTAGTGATTTTAAATGAAATCCCAGAATACTAATTCATGTTTTAAATGTTTGTATGAGTTCTTGCCATTCAAGGGTAAAAATGAGATATAACACTTCACAGTAGGCAGGTTAGACTTTTATCTGACTATGGTTGGGTTGTTCTAACTGAATTACTGGAGAGTAGAGTTTTAGAAAAGAGTTGCATGGAAGAAGGAGGGTAGCTCAGAAATATTTTGCGAGGCAATACATTATTTCATCTTGTCTTGTGAAAACAATTTCAGGTAAGTTTTCTGAATAAAATCAGAATATCTATAGTTTCTGTGGTCCCCAACATTAAGTGTGAACAATATTACACAAATAAGCTCATTTTGGGGAACGGGGTTATGTAATATATAGCTAGTGCTGACTTTCAATGGGAATGTGATCAGGGAGCTAGTTTTGGTGAATGTGAAATAGTTATTTGGTTTGTAATTTCAGCTGTGAGCTGTCCCTGAGTCTTGGTCAGTCTTTGTATATAGTGGGGGATACAATGATATGAAGGAGACACCATAGGTTGGATCCATGCACACCAGTGAAATTGCCTTAGGTTTCGGTGGGAAACAGGATGAGGAGTAGAAAAGAATGTTTGATGAAGGTACAATAATATGCAAATTTGGATAGAAAAGGATACCTAGGATTCTACCTCAAATGATGATGCTATGCATTAAATGACATCACTGTACACCAATAAGCAAAAAAGCAATGAGTAGGAGGAATTTGAAAATTCTACCACTGCAGATGCTATTTCTCTTCTGTTGCCAATGTGATCTGTACATACAATATCATTTTTGATCATTACTGTCATTTTGTTGTTACTGCATTGCATATATAACTTTTTTTCCCTCTTGGAGTAATGAAGGTGGCTTACCTAGTCCTCCTCCATTTCATTTTACCTCCAAGAACCCTGTGAAGTAAGTTGGGCTGAGAGAAAGTGGGTGGCCCACAGTCACCCAGTGGGCTTAATGGCTGAGTAGGAACTACAACCCAAATCACCTAGCTCCATCTAACTACCATTCCACCCTGGCAGATCAGATACCCAAAATTTAGTGCAACTCTAATTGCAGGTTGTGTGTCACAAATGTCCTCTTTGTGTAGGATACTACCATGCAAAGGTATTACCTAAAGGGCTTCCTACTTGCATGGTACTCACCAATGCCATCTAATCTTAGACAGGATTAGATCATTCTGTTGGTATGGGAAGGGCAGAGAATGATGCAACCATGGCAAGTTCTGACCCAAATTTTACATTGGTTTGCTTTTCCTTAGTTGAGACTTGAGATGGTAGTGGGTGGAAACTTTGATCTATTATGACTTCTTTTCCTGAGATCAGAATATTAAACCTCGACTTCCTTGACTTCACTGCTGTCCATGATTAAAATACTACACACACACACACAAGCACTTTCCTACTACTGCCATGAAAATTGCTCTTTTGTAGATGGTTAGTAGTCTGTGTGCATGGATACTACATACACAGGTGGGATGATCATGGAACTGGAAGCTGAGGCCAATGTAACATGCACAGCTCTCTGCACAAAAGGCATCAATTAAAGTAATGAAAAGAGAAATGAAACAGTGCATTAGTTGACAGAAGGCAGATCAGGGTGTGTCCACCATGGTACTGCAATAGTAAGAAGGACACCAACAAAGTATATGGATTACATTTGCACCTACTATTATTACATTACTTTTATAACCTGGCATTTTTCCTTTTGCAAGGCATCCAAGGTGACTTACAAGTTTCTTCTCCTTTCCATTTTAACCTCACAAAACAAACTCATCAGGTAGGTTAAGCTGAAAGTGTATGACTGGCCCAGTCACCCAATGAGTTTATTAAATGGGGATTAGAACTCTGAATTCCCAGTTTCCAATCCAACTTGCTAACCTCTGTGTCACACAAATCAAATTATCCATTATATCTTACAGGGAGTTTTGTTTGACATAGGCCGAGATCCCTGCTTTGCTGTCTAATATATTACTCAGTCTGCATTCTGGCCAGGGGAGAGGTAGGGGTAGAACATTAGGAGACAGAAAACAAGGTTAACTGTTGTAACTGTAATAGACTGTGTATGTGGTATAGATTGATACTGACATGAGTATTCTGATAGAAGTAGAAGACATTAAAAGTGTAACTAAAACATGGCTGTGAAAAAGGCAAAAACCCTACTTCACAAGTCAGTCATGGTCAAATTTAAACCCTCTCAATTGATCTATCAGTCTTATTCATTGAGAATATGAATGTGGATGAAAAAATAATAACGCTGGAAAACAAATTTAGGGAAAGGCAGATTTGTGACGTGATGACATATTTCTTCTATTTCACTTACCATCTGTATTTGTTTCTCTCTCTCATTCTCACCCCCCTTTCTATCCCCCCCTCTCTTTTTCAGTTCTTTTGATGGAAATAGAAAATCAAACCACCATGGTAACCTATTTTGTCTTCTCTGGATTTTTGTACGATTCCTCTGTCCAGATTTTCCTCTTTTTGACATTCCTCTTCATATATATAATAACACTGATGGGAAATATTACAATTATGATTGTAATAAGGAGAAACAGAACACTCAACAGCCCAATGTACTTCTTTCTAACTCATCTTTCTTTTATAGATATTTGCTTTTCTTCCGTAACAGTGCCTAAGCTGCTAGTCAACATTTATGCATGCCAGGCAATTTCTTACAATAGCTGCATCACACAGATGTTTTTCATCTTAATGACAGCAACTACTGAAGTTTTCATTCTTGCAGCAATGGCTTACGACCGATATGCTGCCATCTGCAAGCCCCTGCATTATACACAGATCATGAACAAAACATTCTGTAGGCAGTTGGTAAGTGGTGCATGGGCAGTAAGTTTCTTTTATTCTATGACAAATACATTGCCTGTATTGCAGCTAGAGTTCTGTGGCCCAAACATTATCAACCATTTCAGCTGTGAACTTCCATCTTTACTTGTATTATCCTGCACAGAAACTTTCCTGAATAGCATTACGTTCTTCATTACTGCTGGGATACTAGCATTAGTTTCATTCTTTGTTATTTTATTGTCCTATATCAGAATTGTCTCTTTGATCCTGAAGCTTCATTCAGCAGCAGCTAAAAGAAAGACCTTTTCTACCTGCAGTTCTCACCTCATTGTGGTGGTCCTTCTGTATGGTACTGGCTGCCTCAGGTACATGAGGAACAGCTCAGCCTCCTCGGTAATTATGGATGAATACTTTTCCATACAGTACAGCATTTCAACTCCCCTGTTGAACCCCATTATCTACAGCTTCAAAAACACGGAAGTGAAGGAAGCCATCAAGAAATTAATGGCGTACAAGCTACTGCTTTCTTGTGTTAGGTGACATTGGTAAAAACAATCAAACTGGTGAATATGTCAGCAACATATAATGACAAATCACCTGAGGCTGGTAGATTGTTACCCCTCCTGGACAGAGATATTTGGGTATAGTTATTAGCACTGTTGTAACCTCTAGATAAAAATGCTGTATATTTTGTAAGTAAGCATAAATGCCAGGCTTTCTAACTCTGGAAACTGGGAGTGTTGAGAACATATTGTGCAGTTACTGGGTGCCAGTCCATTGGCAAGCTTAGTTCTTAGGGATGGCACTTCCCTTTAAAGCCCTACACAATTTAGCAGCAGGTAACATGATGAGATGCCTGCTCTCACAATCTGCTGTACCTGTTCTTGCACTGAGATGACCAGAACCATCTCTCTGAGTGATCTTATATATTAGGATAAAGCAGGTTGCACCTGGAAAGGGCCTCCTATGACAACCATTGACAGAATTCACCAAAAGGCTCACTCAATGCCCTTCTTCAGTGGCAGGTGAAGATCTATTTTCTTGGATGTCTCAAAGTCTGATATGATCATAACATCTCATTTATGTTGCCATTTTTATCCTCTTTGTACTATTACTTATTGATCATGCCGACTTGTTTTGTTTTTATTGGGGGGATACTTAATGTACACTAGCCTAATATGCTCACCTATGGAATAAATATGCAAATATCCTTCTCAATGAATCCAAAATCATGTTGTTCATGTACAGGTAAATTTGAATGTACTGGGTGCTCAGGTCTATTTGCTGGTGTTGTTCAGAAATGTGTATTCAATGTTTGGTCACCTGCTCCCTAACAGAATGGATTGTTTCAGCATGAAGTTGAAGTCAAAATCAGATTAAGGATCAAGCAAGATTGAAGTAGAAGAAGAGGAAGAAGAAGAGGAGGAGGAGGAGGAAAGGGAGGGAGGGAGGGAGGGAGAAAATAATAAAATGAAATAAAAATAATAAAATAAAATAAAATAAAATAAAATAAAATAAAATAAAATAAAATAAAATAGAGAATGAGAGAGAGAGAGAGAACTAAACCTTAAAATATAACCTGGTAATATAAAGAGACAGAAGGCTGTGAGCATTAAGAAATGTCCTTGCCTTGCCTGGTAGACCTATTTGCAGAGGCTGGTGCCTTTGATGGAACATTCTCTCCACTACACCCTGGCATGGAAGGGTATTTGGAGCAGGCCGCAGCTGACAATTCCAGGCTGGGGTAGAAATACATGGGAAGAGGTGATCTTTCAGATACTGTGGTTAGACATTATGTAGAGATTGTTTTAGGGGAAAACCAGAACTTCAAAAGCTGTTCCATGTACAACACATTACAGCAATTGTAAAGCTCTGAACTCTGTATTCCCCCTCACAAACATTTCAACAACTGCCAAGGCACCCCATGCCTCCAGATTAAAGATGCCTGACCATTCAATTGTGTAGAGTATTGGAAACATTTATGTGCACAAACAATGGTGCAGATGCATCAAGATGGATGTTTAGATGTTCTATCAGTGCTCAAAAGCTTATAAAGGAAGGAAATTCACAGCAGACTATTCATTCATGGTGTTCTGGATGAAAATTGGAAATCAAAAAAAGAACAATTAGGAATCGCAAATGTGGTTGTTCAACATGCGAAACAAGACCTGGTAATTCAGAACATAGAAACTCAGGAAGAAATACAGATTACAATCATTTCAAGAACTTCCTTATCCTTCAGTTCTCTTCTGACGATGTGATCTAATTTCCCCTGAGGAGCAATTAATGATTTCAAACATGTACTCAGATACTTCTGCACTGATGGGATAATTTCCTAATCACCTATAGATCAGAACCTTGATAATTAAACCTTTTGGAAATTCCCATGAATTCCATCTATGAGACTAGGTTCTGGTTGGACGTTATAAGCTTTGTCCCTGTATTTGTAACAAAAGTGAACAATGTAGACTAGCAAGAAAGTACAAGAGAAGAGAAGAGAAGAGAAGAGAAGAGAAGAGAAGAGAAGAGAAGAGAAGGACACAACATTAACTTTTTTTACTCTCTCTGGGTAAAAAAGATGCGACACCTAAAAAAAAGTGAAGCGAGAAAGAGATGCTGGAAGCTCTGAAGAAGAGAAAGTGTGATTAGAAATCCTTCAAGTAAGTAAACATTTCCTAGACATGCTTTCCTTGAAAGAATCTCAGTAAAAAATGTGCATACCAGGCAAATGATTCCACAAATAATGAACAGAATATGTAGGATAAATGGGTTTAGTCAGTAGAAGTGGGTGTATTCTGGAGCTGTCCAGAAGACCAAGGATATTGGAGGTCAGCTGACAGATAGATAAGTAGAAGAAATTAATATGTTTTGATGCATTGTCTAAATTACTAAATTATTTGCTGGAAGTTTCAGAAAAAAACTATTAAGAATTTTATTATAAATATATTAATAGCCCCCATCCTGAAAACCCTCTTTGTCCCATCACTGAGGCTGATTTTCCAGCCTAAGAAAAAGGGACATCATAATTCGTTCTATAGTGGCAACTAGCAGGGAGCAGACGAATCTGAGTGCGTAGCTCAGCTCCAAGGTAACAGCCCTATTTCGTATGCCAGATCTGGGAATCCAAAGTATCTTTTGTCCTCCTAGATTCTGATTGAAGCAGGGGACTTGGCTGGTATGTCTGGGAGAGCTGGTCATTCTACTAAATGGTACAGCTAACCATGATGAAATATTCCATTAGCTTCCTATAAGAAGTCAACAAATTTCCACACCTGTAAGCATCACTTCATTGTAGATCAAACAGCCACAGTTGAGCTGCTCTCTGACATCCCTTCCTACCATCTTTATTTCTTCAGTCTGTCTTGGAGCCCCATACTTGGTCCAGAAACATTGATGGGGGTAGCTAAGGGCCACACTTTGCTTTGAACTGAACCCATCTACCATATATAAACAAACAAACAAACACCTTTAAAAAGAGCAAGGGTACAGCATCTTACAGGTGCTAAGAAAGGTTTCTGAGACACAGTGCTGCTTAGAAATACCATATTGCATCCCTCTTCTCTAAGATCTGGGTTCAGAGATCACAGTCAGGCATGCCTTTTAAGATATTAATTGGATGATCATATCTCCTCTTCATATTTCAAAGCTGTTCACCTTTTTTGTCACCTTCACAGACGGCGTGCATTACCAGAACAACCTACAATGAAAAACCGAAGTATTCCATGCTACTTTTCTCTCCTCAGCCTCTCCAACGACCCGCAGCTCCAGATTTTCTTCTTTTTCTCTTTCTTCTTCATTTATCTACTAACCCTGGTGGGAAACACCATGATCATTCTGGCTGTAAGAACCAGTCCTCATCTTCATAGCCCCATGTATTTCTTCTTGGGCCACCTCTCTTTCCTTGACATGTGTTTTTCTTCTGCTACTGCCCCAAAACTGTTGGAGACCATTGTCACAGATCAGAAGACCATCTCCTTCATGGGCTGCTTCACTCAGGTGTTCTTTATCTTGCTTTCAGCTACTAGTGAGGTCTTTCTCCTCTCAGCAATGGCATATGACAGATACTCTGCAATATGTAAACCCCTGCACTATGTGGAAATGGTGAACTTGCCTTTCTGCCAAAAACTAGTGGCCAGTGCATGGGCTATTGGTTTCTTTTATGCACTTGCAAACACTTTGCTGCTATTTAAGTTAAACTTTTGTGGACCAAACATCATAAAGCACTTCAGCTGTGAACTCCCTTCTCTCCTTTCTCTGTCCTGCAATGAAATATTCATGAACCAAATGTTTTTCTTTATTTCTGGAAGTGCAGTTGGCCTAATTTCCCTGTTTCTCACTGTGCTATCTTACATTCATATAATCTCAACCATCCTGAAGATGAGCTCCCCTGAAGGGAAACATAAAGCTTTCTCCACTTGTGGCTCCCATCTCTCTGTAGTAGTTCTCTTCTATGGAACAGGCTACTTCCGCTATCTGAGGCCAAACTCAACTTCATCACTGCTTCTGGATGAAATCTTTTCCATACAATACAGCATCCTCACACCTTTGCTAAATCCTATCATCTACAGTTTACAGAACAAGGAGATTAAAACAGCATTTAGGAAGATCCTGAAACTAAAATTTTGATATTTAATTCCAATGCAAGAGCAAATCAATGTATAAAGTGTTAAAGAGAATCCTTTTTGGTTGTACAATTATATTCTTATCATTTCTCAATAGGTAATGTACGTGTTGGGAATATTAGTGAAGAGATTATTAAAGATAAACATTGTAAGCTTGCAGAAGTCCCACCAAAAAAGAATCAATGTGGCTTCTATAAAAGTATGCCTTGTCTCACTAATTTTTTAGAGTATCTGCTGGACTAGTAATTTTTGAGATAGACTGTCTCAGAACATGAGTTTTCATGTAGTCATTTTAAGTCATATCTCTTGTCAGATCCAGCCATCTTGTCCAAATTCTACAAGCAAAGCTACTGCCAGCAGAAAAATCTTTTGCAGCTCAGTGCCATTATCTGACCCTGAGTTCCAGTATCACTAATACATGAATATTAAGCAATGCATCCAAGTTTGCAGACTCCATAAAACTGAATGCTTTAATATGTCAAAGTATATCCTGCAATACAGTTGCATTATGCCGGAAATCCATTTCTTTTGAGTCTGACAGATTCTGTAGTGTTTCTGATGCAGCTTTTAGATACAGAACGCTGATTTAAAAAAAAATAAATCTAAAAATATTGCTCTGTAAATATCTGTGAGACATTTGTGCGCATTGAAAACAAAGACCTGCAGATTTATAGTGCCACTTGCACAAACTGGGTCTTTAGCAGAATGCTGACTAAGCCTTCAATTTTGTTTGAATAAGTTTGTTCTGTTTTAACCATTTTATTACATGTGCAGGTCTTTTATGTAATCTCAGATGCAGCATCTTTCCTGGATAAATGTCATGTTACTTTGGTTCTAAACATTTACAATGTGACCTGAGGGAGTTTAATGTAACTGTTGCTTCACTTGTCTTTTTATGCTTCTCATTACTATTACATTGAGAATTCCCCTTTTAACTCTGCAATATTTGCAGTTTGGACAATCTGTCCACACTATCTCAAACATTTGAATAGTCCTGGATTAAATGGGGAGGCACAGTTCACTTTATATTCAAACAATACTGTCAGAACCAGCTCCCATAACAAATGGGATGATGTTCTCCATGCAACGGTTGCATGATCCAGGAAATCATATTAACATACTGGTCATTCATTTTTTCCAGGAGCCATGAGCTCCTTCTGAAGTAGGAGCATCACTGTCGTTGTCATTGTCGTCATTGTCATCGTAATCATCATTGCTTTAGTATATATATAATCCCTAAGTCTTTATGATATGAAAAAATGGAATTATTTATAAGAAAATATAGCAACAAAAAGGTTGGATAGCATCTAAAAAGTTGATTGTTGAATATGTTCCATAAATGCTTCAATATTCCTCCCCTCCCTACCTTGATTTCTTGGTTAAATAATTAACTATCTGCAAGTTATATTCTAGCACTATATTACTCAATAACTAAGTGTATCTAGTTTGGATCTACTGGCAAAAAGTGACATGCCATCTTTTCAACTCTCCTTAACAACCTTTCTCAAGAATTGCTTAATAACTGAATGTGTCCAAACATTATTGGATGTATTGTATAATTGGATGTATTGTATAATTTTGCCAACACAGATCATGTAAATTAAATATATCTTATGGGGGCAAGATAACCTGATGTTGAACTTTATCTTTAAAAGCTGTGCTCATATTTGCATATTTAAAAAGAAAATCAGGAAATACATTCTTGTTTATTTTAAAACAACATCTAAGATATTTAAAAAATAATTTAAAAATGATACAGAAGTATTTGGTTGCATGAGGATTTTTACAAAGGTCAGAAACTTCTAACAAGTATGGAACAAAAGCAAAGTGTTTGGATGTGTATCAGTAGACACAGAACTGTTTTCTTTTTCCTATTGTAAGTCCTCTTTCATGAAATGAAGGGTTTTTTTCCTCAATTACAAGACCCTACCATGAGGAAAAACGAGTGCATCAGTGTGCCTCTCAAGATACACTTGAGTTACATTCTTGTTGGGTAAAGTCTCCCAAAAGCATTCCCATAAAAATTTGCTTAACAAGGATGCTGCCAGAAATTCTTTCACCATTGCATCGCTGGATTGAATCCATCATGAATAAATCACTTAGATTCCTCATGCCTGTCATTTATTGGATATGTGGCCAATAGCTTAAGTGTGCATCAATCATTCCAGGCACAACTCCAGCATTTGGCAAGGTGTGGCATTACCAGGGTCTCAGGACTGAAAAACTATGAAGCACCTTCTGGATTACCAGTATATTACTTAGCATGCATAAAAGCAACTGTTAGCTAATTTCCAGCTTGAATACTCCACCTCCCTCAGGTAATCATTTTCTCCATCCCATCCCACCACACTCTATACATACATCCCATAATCCTGGCACTAGCACTGGATCGTGTACACATATAAGAGGCTCAAAAGAAGGTCTACCTAAGCATTTGGTTGAGAGTGTGTTTCACAATGATGCTGTGATTTGAACAACTAAACCCTATTTGCTGAGAGAGGTGATTGTTGGAGTGGCTGTGGTGTATGTGGGGTGGAAATACCATCCCTCCCCATCAATGATCTCCATGGAAACCCCTGTGCAGCAATCAGCATTAGAAAAATAAAGCTCCTTTGGAAGTTAATGGGAGCTCCCACACACACCAGATTGCATCTGGTGAAGGGACCCTTAGAACTGCCTTCTCTCAGCACGGACGTCCTGCAAAGAATGGCACCCCTGCTCCCTGTGTCCAATATTTTAATTTCATAAAACCCTTGACATGCTAATCAACCAATTCTTATAATGTGTGGTTACTTGGAAAGAAAAAGCCAGGATATAAATATAAATAAATAAATCTGAAATGCCTAAAAAGACAGAAGATGATATTCATACCCATGCTAGATGAAATGATTTCATCTTAATAACACTCTGATCTCTGCATGTATGTATCTATATTATAAACATTTCCTTTTCTTTTTTTTAATAAGTCAGTTTACCAATCAAATGCTATTAATGTTTATAACATGTTTTTTAATTACTTGGAGAAGTGTCCTGGGATGTATCCCAGAAGGGCGCATGACAGTACAGGACATGACATGACATCATCAGCTTTTGTATCGATAAAGATCTCTGTACACCTTTCATCGTTAGGCAGAAGAAGACGAGAACAACCTCAGGAACATCCTGGCCATAGGTACAATTCTGCCAAATAACGGCTTGTTTCTATATAATACATGGACAATTCTTCAAGATTTCTCTTTGTTTGAAGAAACAGAATAGTGTTGTTGTTGTTGTTGTTGTTGTTGTTGTTGTTAGGAAAACTTATATGCCGCCCCATTCACATAAGCCTCTGGGTGACTTCCAATATAGTTGAAGTGCTCTTCCTCTTCTTCACTACTATTGACATGCTGTCTCTGCTGGTGTTTGGGGAAATTGTTTCTCCTAGAGAGAGAGAATGGAAATCTTTGTGGTCTCTCTTTGAAATAATCTTTCTGAAGAACATTAGAATTCTGCTGGATGTCTCTAAGGTAAGTAGCGAGGTACTCTGGGCTCACCCAGTCAGTGACTTACAGTGAATGTTCCTCAGTGCCCCACTCAGGTGGCACCCGATGCAGGTCATTCTTTCAGGCTCATGGAATATTCTGCTTTTGACTAACACCCCACACCCCCTTCTTGAACGATGTCTTGTGAGTTAATGCAGGGAGGGAGAACAACAAACTGAAACTGAAATTTTGTTGTTGGTATTGCGCACAATAGCTGAAGATCCTACCTACATACGATATGTATATGTACTACTCCCAGCTACCCACAATGATTTCTGCTCTCACATTACAGACACATTTTAGGTATTTATCTGAATCAGATGTATGAACTGATGTGTCCAATTGTGCGAAGGGCGAAGCAAATGGAGCAGAACAGGAGTTATAATTAAACAGATGTTTTGTTAGGTCTGGGATCTTCTCTCCATTGACAAAATTCGCTTGGTCATGAGAAATGCCTCTGCCCGGTTTTCAAGGACTCCATCTCCCCGATCCACTGTAGCTCACTGCATACAAGAGACTCAGCAGACCCTTTGTTTAGAATTTTTGAGGTGTGAGGACCTTCTGTTTGGAGGAGAAGGTGAATGATTTTTCCAATCAAGTTAAATGTGCCTAAAGTGGGATCCAACCCATCACTTGTAAAAGGGAGACTTTTGGTTTTTTCCTGATAATTCATGAAAGCTTGCCAATTTCTTTTCTAGAATTATTATCATGCCTTTTCTCAATATTCAAATGTGTAAGTTGAATTTGTAGAAATTACATATTGAAGTAATTTAGTTTCCCATTCATTTATCTTTGGAGTATTATCTACCCTCCACGATGTGTACAATATTCATTCTGTGCTATTAAGTATAACATCATTTTGCTATGAATTTGTGCACAGTTTTGGTATATTTTTGTAAAGTCAATACTAGCCCTCAGTGAAAACTAAACATTCTCTTCTGCATTTTTCAAGGATCACCCAACAACATACCTGTTTCTATGTCTATCTATCACATTCCAGATGTGACAGTTCTGGAATAGATGAAGATATAAGCTCTTCACTGTCACTATTAAAATTTATTTGTGTATAAATGCATACACAGATCAAGAAACTTGGTGACTGCTTCATCTATGATGCCTCACTTTTAATTGGGTCAGTTGCCAAGCAAGCACATGAATCACTTCTTCTATCTGGAGGAGACCAAGTGCACAGCCACAAATTACCCAGAAAGGTACCTCAAGAGAGACACTGTTTTAAAGATCTGCTTCAAGTTTCAGCATCCAGCATTACATCTCCCTGTCTACAAGTAGGAAAATGGTGTGTTAAAATTGAGGACAGGCACACATAAGCTTACACATTCTGTTCCTCCTTTATTATTTTGCAATCTAATAAATATTGATCTTAGCTTGCCAAAATATCTATGTTTCAGTAAACAGTAGCAGCTCTTTCTACTTGATGCATGACAAGACCTAGTAGGGAAGGGTCCTTTAGTAACTGCCTTTTAGTTTGTTCCAATTTGGAGGGACCTAAATGAGTATGTTATGAAGGAAAAAGATCAGCTTCTGCTAGCATTGATGAGGGTTCTCCTTTGCCAAATCAGCTTTTCAGTTTGGCCAGGTAACACCTTCCTCATATACCATGGGCTCCACAATGCCCTCTTCAAAGACATTTTCTGGCTCCTGCTTTAATGAGAACTCTGGCAAAGATTGCAGCTTTTTCCCAGGCAGGTTCAGGTTCAGGATCAGGTTCGGGTTCGGGTCCGGGTCCGGGTCCGGGTCCGGGTCCTGTTCGCTGCTGTTGCATTCATGACCATTTCATGTATCACTGTGACATTTCCTTGACAGTCGTGAGGGGCCTGTGCAGATTAACAGAACAGTAACATGCCACAGAACTAGACTGCAAAGTAGAGCAGAGGCAAAAAACTACCCCTTTAAACCCAAATGCAGGCAGAGGAAAGCACTTTGCTTTGCAGAATGTCACCCTCATGGTCAAACTTTATGCTTTAGAAATCCAAACAAAATCAAGAAGGTTGATGCCAAGAAATTTGCCTGTGGGTACACTGCTTTTAATGTGCACAATTTTGCAGACCTCTGTTCAAGATGATGGCATGATGGAAATCCATTTCTCTTTTCTTTTCTTGCAGATCACATGCTGAAAATGGAAATGGGCAATCAGACCACCACAGTGACTTCTTTTGTCCTCTTGGGACTGCCGTTCAACCTGCCAGTCCAGATGTTCCTCTTCTTAGTATTCCTCTCTACCTATGCTGCAACTGTGATCGGAAATACAGTGATCATGATAGTAATACGAAGAGACAATCACCTCCACCGCCCCATGTACTTCCTCCTAAGCCACCTGGCTTTTCTTGATCTCTGCTTTTCTTCAGTCAGTGTGCCTAAACTCCTCATAATTTTATGTGCAAGCCAGACCATTTCCTATAATGGCTGCTTTTCCCAGATGTGTCTCCTCCTTCTTACAGGAACCACTGAAGCATACATCCTGGCAGCAATGGCTTATGACCGATACACTGCCGTATGCAAGCCTCTGCTCTATGCACAGATCATGAACAGAGAATTCTGTAGATGGCTAGTAAGTGGCTCATGGACCACAGGTTTTGTGTATGCCATGGTTAATACATTACCTGCATTGAGGCTAGTGTTCTGTGGACCAAATATTATTAGGAATTTCAGCTGTGAGTTTCCAGCTCTGCTTGCCTTATCTTGCACAGAAACATCCCCAAATATCTTGACATTATTCATAACTGGTAGTGCAGTAGCAGGCTTTTCACTCCTCGTTATTCTCTGCTCCTATATCAATATCATCTTTACTATCCTCAAGATTAATTCAGCGGAAGCTAAAAGGAAAACCTTTTCCACTTGCAGTTCTCATCTCATTGTTGTGGTTTTATACTATGGCAGTGGTTGCTTTAGGTATATGAGATCCAATGCAATTTCCTCAAAGCTTGTGGATTACTTCTTTTCCATCCAATATAGCATTTCCACTCCCATGTTGAATCCCATTATTTATACCTTGAAAACCAGGGAAGTGAAAGAAGCCATCAAGAACCTAACGGGATACAAACCAGAGATTCCTCATGTAATGTAACTTAATTGAATACTAATCAAATGAGATGACATCAGTTGCTCAAAGGATGTTGCTTGTGTAAAGTGAATATTGCTGATAAAGGCACATACAGTTTAGACTATAATAGTCTGAGACTAAGGTATGTTCATTAGAATTAGAGGTTCACTAGTCCAGTCCTCTTGCTCTACACCGGATGCTCACCAGCCTCTGGCCTTGGAGGTTTGCAGGCCTCTTGATTAGATTGTACCCTTAAACTAACTCATAAATGCCTGTAATGTGTGCATGAGTGAGCTCAGGGTTGGCTTTAATTACAAGTGGATCCCCAAAGGAAAGTACATGAGTTGACGAAATGTCATAGGATTCATTCCAGCAGAAAAGTTGACATCATTTTTCCCTGTGCCCTTATTTGACAGAAGATTCCCCAGTAGACTGACCAAACTAGAACAAGATATAAATCATTTGCTTGTCTCTTCTAGAGCAGAATACATTAATACTTAAAGGTGTTAGGGAAAATAAGTGCAATACTATGAACAAAATGATTAGTCTATCTTAGTAGAATTAATTCCTAAATACTTGGGAAACTGAAAGAAATTCTTGCACTTTCAATTAAGCCTAAACAGAGTTGTAGCAGTTATGTATATGGATTAAATCTCAGGTAAGTGGCAAACCATGTTTTGTCCAGTGGCTTTAGTGCTTGGCTTATATGTTTCACTTTGCCTCATATTGCCAGTGCCAAGGCATCTTTTTAAGGGGACCAACTGTGCTACTTCTCCTCATTAATGATCAGTATTTTTTCTTGTGCTCAGCATCATACACAAAGAAATCAGATTAGAAAAATGGGCTTCATGAAGGAGCCCATTTTATTATATTAGTATTAAGCAAGCTCTTTCAACTCCCCTCATGGCTTATAAGATGATCTGTCTTTGCATGAATCTCAAACTCCAGCTTATATTTTGCTGATTGTGCAACTTGTTACATTTGGGGTTGGATCCAATTACTTCATATTTTGTACAATCTTTTGGAAGCAAATTGATTTATATCCTTTATGCATGGGTGTTCTTAGTAAACATCACTCATATTTAATACATATTACACTGGTTATGTTTGTTTTCTCATTTGTAGAGATGTTGAGCTTGGTGAATATCATGATATGGAAAATCAAACTTTAGTAACAGAGTTTATACTTTTGGGACTCTCCAGTGATCCACACCTGCAGGTTATTCTCTTCTTGTTGTTTCTAATAGTTTTTTTGGTTACTTTGTTAGGAAATGGGACAATAATGCTGGTGGTCACGACTGAGCCTAACCTTAAGACACCCATGTTCTTCTTTCTCAAACATTTAGCCTTTGTTGATATATTCTATTCATCTGTAACTGTTCCCAAAATGTTGGAAAACCTCTTAAAAAAGCAGAAAACTATTTCCTGGGAAGGATGCATCATACAGATCTTCTTCTTTTTCAAGGTTGCTTGTGCTGAGGTTTTCATCCTTGCAGCAATGGCATATGACAGATATGTTGCTATATGTGATCCACTGCATTATACCACCACCATGAAACAAGGGACTTGCAGACAGCTGGTGGGTGCAGCGTGGACAACTGGCTTTTTGTATGCTATGATGAATGCAGTGCCTTTGTTAAATCTTCAGTTTTGTGGAAACAATGCAATCAGACACTATAGCTGTGATCTTCCTTCCCTTCTGGTGTTATCATGTACTCAGACCCTCACCAATGACATTGTTCTTCTTATTTCTGCATTCGTATTGGGCTTAAGCTCATTCCTTTTCACTTTGATCTCTTATATTTACATTATTGCTGCCATTCTGAAGATTCGCTCAGCAGAAGGCAGACGCAAAGCCTTCTCTACCTGCAGTTCCCACCTCATTGTGGTGGGCATATTTTACATAGCAGCTTTTTTCCGGTATATGAAACCAAATTCAGAATCATTCATAGATCTGGACAAAGTGGTGTCTATCCAGTATAGCATCATAACGCCCATGTTAAACCCCATTATATACAGCTTGAAAAACAAAGATATCAAAAGTGCTCTGGTCAAAATGTTTGTAAAGAATGTTTCTATTAAATAAATCAGGTCAGAGATTTTGGACGTGCTCAGCACAGCACCCTACAATGTTAATATCCATCCATCCATCCTCTATCAATCATCTTCTTTCTGAAAGAAGAGCAAAAAGATCTTCTGCAGTGATGTGCAATTTAAAAGTCTGAAAATGTGCATCTAGTTATGTTTTAAGTGCATATTTTAATGTGTTTTCTATTATATTAACTCCAAATATATTTTAACATAGATTATGCATTTCAGAAAAGGTTTTTTAATCTCAAAACACACATCTTTAAGCAAATAAAGATGGATAACGCTGTTCTACTATTTACCATTCCCTGTTTGGTTCTGCTTAATTCATACCAGAATTTGCAAAGACTGAATTACTGAAGTACTCCTATTTATGTGGAACCCTTGAAGCTATGATAGTGTTGGGAAATATCAGATAAATCCTGGTAGAAAAATGTTGCTTATATGTGCCTTTGCGTTGTAAAATTTAATCTACTCCCCTTTCTCAGAAGGCACCAGCTTTCCAACCCAGGTCACTGCTTAGTGTTGCTGTTGCCTCAAAGAAGGCTGCTTAGCTGGACTGAGAAGCTGCTGGAGGCTAGTACTATTAGTGAAGAAATACCTGTGTTCCCATCAGCTGCAGAAAAACTGAAACATTGGTGTCCATTTGTTTCTGAATGGACCCACTTAAGCATCTAGTCCCACTGAGACAAGGCCCTGTGGAGTGTAGTTGTCAAACTAGATTTCCTGAATGGTTTCTCCATCAGGCATATTTGCATGTTTAAACATGACTGGAACTGTCAAGAATTTGCTAGACTGACCTATCAGTACAGTAATCAGTAATGTTTTCCATGCTATGATTACCAGCATTTCTGATCAGTTTAGAACATTATGTCATGCCTAAAGACATCAAGATGCTATTGTACCAAGATTATCTGGAAACTGAACACTCTTTATTGGTGTACATGGCTAGCAGGTTATAAAAGTGTCTGTACATGGGCTGTGATTTTGTAGTTGAGTTTGCCTCTATCTGGTAATATATTATTGCTAGTGACTACAGATACTGGGGCACCGATCAATAAAGCAACAGAGGTTCAAACATTTGATCTTTCCTATGGACCCAAGTGTTTATTTCCTGGCAAATTGAAAGCCAAGATTCTGTCAATAATTACAACTGGACAATGGTCTTTCATATTTTGTTATTGATGAAACATGCTTCTTTCCATATGAATGGTCAAAAAGACATAAAGAACACTTGGTTATGGTTTCCTCCAACTACTTGGATCAATTTTTAAAAATATTTGGTTAACTTGTTTTGTAACCAGAAATCTTATGTTGGGATATTGTACCTCTTTTAGCCAAAGAGGCAAATTCAGTTTTGCAGAAGCTTTCAGAGACTGGGGAAGGACTTGGGCAGAAGGAGAGGAGCCGAAATACCAAAAATATAAGCCTATTTATTCCTTTCTTTTACAAGATATATATGCCATTAAATATTCCTGGATGGTGATGTTAGACCAGTGAACAATTAGACATAAAACAGATAGAAGTATAGTATGTTGTGTTGAGAAAAAGATCAATAAAAGCATCATTAAAACTGTGATTGGTTAATTTAGCTCCCTGGAATAAAAGGTGCTTTCAAGAGTTGCTGAAAACAAGACAATGCAACTCCCTGAACTCCAGAGACAAGGAGTTGCAGAAAAAAGGAGCCATGTCATTCAAGGCTCTTCTCCAACTGGCCAGTAGGACCATACAGAGCCATGTATATAATGTATATAAGTAATACCGATATTGGTTGTGTGCCAAGTACCACAAGATTAGCTCCCATAAAAGTTTGGGTTCAACAGAAGTGACCCAATGGCCAAGGCTTTCCTTTGTGAATAAGATAAGGAATTAAATTTGTATAGATAAAGGGGAATGTATGAACTGAGGAGATTTGCCTTGAAGAGATTAGATAAAACAACTCTTCAATGGATTCCAGTGTCCCAAGCAAGCACAATAAATCAACAGAAACCTGGGAATTTTCCCTTCAATAGCAGCAGCACACAAAGAACACATCCATGGAAAGGAGTCCATTCAAGTCCTAGAACAAATTGCAGACTTTCCAGGCATTGACTTCCCTGTGAGACCTTCAAGGAAGATTGGGATATGACAGCCCAGAAACTCTTGGGAAATATTTGTTATAGAGAGAAGAAAATCCCAAACCACTACAAAGGGAGAAGAACAGCAAAGGAACTGCTTTTGCCAGTAGTTCAAAAGGAAAGGCAGCATTTACTGATGAATATTACATTAGCAATCTTGTCTGTTCTCAAAATAAATTTTTTGATCTGATCCTTGATAAATATGCAGTTGGAGAATACTAATCAATTCAAACAAGCAAACAAATGGAAATAGCCTAGCAGCTCTCCTATCAATGAGATACACAATTGGCAGCCACAATGGAGGATAATTTCATTTCTACACACACACACACACACAAACACACAGCAGTACAAAAAGTTCACTGTCCTTATTACCCTTAATTACCCACTCGGGATGAGAATTGTCTGCGTCACTTCCACAGTCAAAAAGTTTTCTCCAGAACTGTCCCCCACTGCTATAAAGATAAGAAATTTGTACAGGTTTGCTCTGACAGAGCAGAGGAATTGTAACGAAATATATCAGGTAATTTTGTTCTGTTCTTCCATGAATACAGTGCATTCTTAGCATACCTAGATGCAAAAGCAGACAAATCTTTTATTTTGAATAGTTGCACAGAAAAACAGAATAGGCAGATATAGTGAGAACAGCTGTTCCTAACATTTTTTTTTCCTGTACACCCATTTTTGTCTGTAGAAAACAGGATATTTTTTTCAATTTATTTAGTGCTCAGGGAGAAGAGTGGATCATTTGCTGTGCCCTACATACAATTGGCATGTGCTGCCCTTGAAATTAAACCCAATGTTCTCAGGAGACAAATTCCAGCTCAAAATGGGGACACTGAGAGGATGGCACAATTCTTATAAACTGTTTCCTGGTTCTTTTTTGCCACCACCTATTTCACCATGCTTGGGGTGCTTCTCTTGATGACTGGTAGCCATCAGGTTTCCTCTGAAAGTCCCTAAAGCATCTAGGGGAAACAAATAATGTCTCCTTGCTGTGCAGTGGAGGGCTGGTGCCCAATGTCAGTCCATCTAAGTCTTTGCACAGTGACTGCCAACATTACAACTTCAACTTCATCATCTGTACATGGTATTATCAGATTTCAGGGAGGGGTAATTTCATTGAATATATGTCTGTTCTCCCTCCCTTCCTTCAGACACTCAATAGCCAAAGTTATCTGTGTAGTTCACAGAGGTTAATTTTAGTCCTGTACCAGCTCCTCAATCAAAACTTTTCCTGAGTAGAACACTTGTGTCATTTGATGTAGCCCTTCAAAGCCCCACAGTGATGATCTCTTATGAAGTGCAATTTCTGTACAGTAAGAGGGTAGTAGCTCATCCTTGCATTATGAGGATCTTCCCTAATAGAAATGAGACACTGTGATGTGAAGCTTCATCTGTTGATGTTAATTGCATGGAGATTTTTTTCCTCCTTTCTTTTTGGGCCTCATTTTCTTAAAGCAAACGTCACAAAAATAATGCCAATAACATCACATGACATCTGCTATTTTGCAGTTTTATATCAATGTACACAGGTTCACATGCATAATGGTGGAATGCCATACAACAGACCACACAATGCCATCCCGCCTACCTGCTCAGGAGGTTGCTTGCAAAGTCATTTAACAATGTGAATGGTTATTAAAGAGGAGAGGGGGAAGGATATGGAATAAACATTTTCCCATAGGCTCACCCTCAGTGCCCACACTGAAAAAATGAGTGAGGATTTTATTGACTTACCTTAGATTATTGGAAAGAAGGGAACTAGATCTTATGTGAAGTGGTCTGAAAATTTGAAAGTGCTAAACAAATATCAATTTCTGATCATTATTGGGTAATGATCATGGTTATTCATTTTTGGCCTGCCATAACTAGTCATAATAGTTATTCTGCTTTCAGCTGGTCAAGTACCTCTCTGTGCTTTCTGCACTACCATCCAAACTTACGCATATACATTTGTGCACAGGAGATCTTTTGGAGTGACTTAACAACATTAAAAGGAAAATTAAGGATATTTAATGCTGCAACTATTTACACACTTCATTAATGTAGGGATTATTTCAATAATACAGACATAGATTTAGTACATATATTTTAACGTTAAAGTGAAATATGAGCATTGATAGCAATATTAATTAGGAACGCTAAATTACTCCAGAGGAATAATAATGTTTTGGTTCTAACACACCATTGGCACTCTGCTTAAATGCATTTCTGATATTTCCTTCTATAGGTTTTAATATTGCTCAAAAAACAGAAATGAAAAATCAAAACACCTCTGTGACTTACTTTCTTCTTTTTGGATTTACATACAATCTTCCCATCCAGATGTTCCTGTTCTTTGTGTTTTTATTCATTTATGCAATTACATTGATGGGAAATTTGATAATCATGGTGGTAATAAAGAAAAATAGTCATCTTCAAAGCCCCATGTATTTCTTCCTAAGTCAGCTGGCCTTTTTGGATATATGCTATTCTTCAGTCACAGTTCCTAAGGTGCTCGTAAATTTCTTTGACAGCCAGACAATTCCTTATAACAACTGCATTACTCAGATGTTTTTCATTCTTCTGACAGGATCCACTGAAGGTTTTATTCTTACAGCTATGGCTTATGATCGTTATGCCGCCATATGTAACCCTCTACATTACGTAGAAACCATGAACATGCTGTTTTGCAAACAACTGGTGGGAAGTGCATGGGCAATCAGTTTCTTCTATGCCACTGCAAATACATTACCTGTACTGAAGCTAGTGTTCTGTGGTCCAAATATAATCAAGCACTTCAGCTGTGAACTGCCCTCTCTACTTGCTTTATCCTGCACTGATACTTTCAGAAGTAAAATTATGTTCTTCATTACTGGTGGTGTAGCTGGAGGCTTCTCATTCTCCCTTACTCTCATCTCCTATGTCAATATCATCACTACAATCCTGAAAATGAATTCAGCAGAAGCTAGGAAGAAAACTTTCTCCACCTGTAGTTCCCACCTCATTGTTGTGGTTTTATTCTATGGGACTGGGTACTTTCGATATCTAAGGCCCAATTCAGCCTCTTCAATAATTCTGGATGAACTCTTCTCTGTCCAGTATAGCATTTCTACACCTATGCTAAACCCTATTATTTACAGCCTGAAGACCAAAGAAGTGAAGGAAGCCATTAAGAAAGTAATTGGGCAAGTGGTTACTCATCTAAGACAGCTGTTTAAATAGTAAATGTTTCTGCTGTGTTAAGTTAAATACTTAAATATTACACAAATCAATAAAGGCTTTGCCAATGAAGCAAGGTTTGCCTTTCACCTGTCTCTTTCCGCAGAAAAAATATCTGCATACCATCCATTCATTTTATGACTACTAAGGATGGATTAGTAGGTTGTGTGGTGAAATAGATAACTTGGACAGTCATTTATGAAAAGCATGTTACACATGGTTGAGGTTCACCCTAACATTGGCATGACATCCATTCCCCCGCCTACATATTTGTACATATGTATGAAAATTTACTGGTGTGTCTGGACAGCCTTGCCGTATTTGAGAAGAGAGGAGAGATTTTCTTTGAAGAGCCATAGCAACCATCACAATGCTTATTTTGAAATAATTTATTGCCTCAGTCATTTTTTCTGGATTGTCTAAATTACTTATTTGTGATTCAAGGGGCAATCCACTGGGGATGACTGTAACCGACTGAACCCCCTGAACACAGAATTATGGGCATCCAGTCCAGGACAGGAGAAGCATGAAAATGATCTTTGTCTCTCTGCTTCCTTCAACTAAGCAAATTGGGTGAATGGACAATTCCAGGAGAACTAGCAATTTTAAACTTATCAACATTCTCTGAAATTTACTTTGAGGTGTGTTTTAACTCACTCATGCTTTCATTTTTGGCATTTTTTCATTCAACTAGAAAATGTGCATTTCAAATTGAAGGCAGACACATTTCTGTGTGATTTTTAAAGATAAATTTAAATTTTCAAATATTAAATATTTATTTATTTATTTAGAATTTATTTAGAATTTTTGTATGCCATCCCATTGCCTCAGCCTTGGGATGGCTTACATAAAATAAACAAACATAATACAAATAGTGCAAATAAAATCCAGATTAAAACCACACTCAGATTAATGACTACATTACATGTCTTTAAAGGTGCATTAGCATGTACACATAAAACACATTTTTGAATGAGATCATTCCATTCTGAATGGAAAGTGAATTCTTGCACATCCACACTATCTACTCACCATGGGTGTGAAAATGAAGCCACACCTAGGAAATATTAAACTCCGTTTTCCTGGGCATGTGAAAAACCCACAAGTAGTACCTCTGCATTTTATTTATTTATTTATTTAAAACATTTCTATGCCACCCCCATCACAACAAAGCCTCGGGGCGGCTCACAACATTCATAAAAAATACAATTGATAATTTAAAAACTGGTACCATCTTGACTATATATATTAAAATCTATAAATACAATAATAATAAATTAACAGTTAAAATAACTTTTAAATAAAAAGGTCTTTGCCTGGCACCGAAAAGCAAATAATGACTGCGCCAGGTGGACCTCTCTGGGGAGTGCATTCCATAGGTGGGGCACCACCACAGAGAAGGCCCTCCTCTGGGTACTCACCCTCCTAATATCATTCATGGAGGGTTCCTGGAGAAGGACATCAGCTGCCGATCATAGGGAGTGGGAGGGCATATATGGACGCAGATGTTCCTTTAGATAACCGGGTCCCAAGCTGTTAAGGGCTTTATAGGTCATAACCAACACCTTGAATTGGGTGCAGACTTCAATAGGGAACCAGTAAAGCTGACGGAGAACTGGGGTTATATGAGAACAACGCCAAGTCCCCATCAGCAACCTGGCAGCTCTATTTTGCACCAATTGAAGTATCCGGATCATCTTCAAGGGTAACCCCACATAGAATGCATTACAGAAGTCTAGCCAGGAAGTTACCAACGTGTGGGTCACTGTCGCCAGGCAATCGTATTCCCTGGATCAAACATACCCAGTCATTATCCTTATGGAGCCCAGCTAGCTCAGTTGGTAAAGAGTCTCATGACTCTTAATTTCAGGGTCGTGAGTTCGAGCCCCATGTTGGGTAAAGGCTTTTTTCTCCAAAGCAGGACCAGGGAGATCTACATGGGGGACCAGATAAGGTCAGTGATTTAGATTAGAATCACCCCCCTAGAAATCAAGGAGCTCCTTGGAGCAATAGACATTACAAAGGCAGCAGACCCTGATGGATTACATCCGAGGGTACTTAGGGAGTTGGTGGGGGTGTTCTCCCACACATTGGCCTCCATTTTTGAGGCCTTGTGTAGAACAGGTGAAGTTCCAGGGAACTGGAGGGTGGTATCAGTGGTCCCAATTTTTAAAAAGTATAGTAGAGGGAACATGGGCAATTACACACTGGTTAGCCTTGCATTCATTCTAGGAAGGTCAATGGAAATGCTCATAATAGCAACAGGTAGTAACCCTAGAAAGGGAAGGGAGGTTGGTGACCATGTAACATGGCTTCCACAAAAACAGGTCCTGCCAGATGAACCATGTAAAATACTATGACAAGGTTTTGAGATGGCTAGATGGAGAGGTCATGATGGATGTGGTTTACCTGGATTTCAGGAAGGTCTTTGACAAGCTGCTGCATGATATGTTGTTAACAGTCCTGAGATGCCAGTAAAAGGATGGTCTATAAAAGCTTCAAATGAATGAATGAACGAATGAACGAACGAATGATATTCTGGTTGAGAAATTGAGGAGTTTTGGGATAGACCAATGCACTGTCCAGTGGATTAGGGCATGGTTGATTTTCTGAAAGCAGAGGGCTGGGACTGATCCTGTTCAATCTTTTCATCAGTGACCTGGAAGAAGGGGTGATCAATCTCCTGATCAAATTTGCAGATAATAAAATGGAGGTGATGGCCACAACTGAGGAGCAGGTACTCCAGATCCAGAAGGATCTGGACAGACTATCGAAGTGAGCAGGGATAATAGGATGCCATTCAAGGTCTTGCACTTGGGGCATAGGAATGGATACCATAAGTACAGGTTAGGGGACAAGTGGTCGGAGAGCAGCACTTGTGAAAGGGATCTCAGGGTACTGGTCAACTGCAGGCTGAACGAGACAGCAGTGTGACATGGTGGTCAAGAGGGTGAACACCACCCTTGGTTGGATAGCCAGAAGCGTGGCTTCTAGATCAAGAGAGATATTACTGCTACTCTGTATGACTCTGGTGCACCCACAACTAGAGAACTGTGTTCAGTTCAAGGGTCCAAATTACAGGAAGGATATAGCCAGGTTGGAATTGGTACAGAACAGGGCCACAAGGATGGTGGCCAGACTGCAGGGAAAGCCATATGTGGTGAGACTGAGGGAGCTGGGTCTTTTCAGCCTGGAGAAGAGGAGACTCCAAGGGGGATTTGTGGATGACATATAGATATGTGAGGGGGTGACACATGGAGGTGGAAAGAGACCTGTTTTTTCATGGAGGAAAGCTCAGGGAGCCCAGGTTCAATGTGGATGCCAGGAAGTTCTTCCTGACACTTAGGGCCACTAGGGTATGGGATGCACGTCCACAGGAGGTGGTTGAAGTCCCACTGGTGAGGGTGTTCGAGGATAGGCTGGACATGCACATGGTAGGCATGGTAAGAGCAGAGCTGGCTGGAGTCAGGGGTCAGGCTAGATGGCCCAGGAGACCCCTTCTGATTCACTCTGTTTCTATGTTTCTTTTATTTGCATCTTCTATTTTTTCCCTTGAGTATAAGTTTGTGATGCCAGTTATTTTAGTTACAAATGAAAGCCCTGGATCATTTCAAATTATCATGGGAAATTTCTTGGAAACATTAGCAGAAGGTAATTTGTTGCTTTGAATATAATTTGTTCTAGGAGAGATTGTTCAGTCCCTAGCAAGGTTTATAAGGGATCGTTTTGCAGTAGATCTCAGGACAACTAATGCAAACTTTCCTCAAAGCGGTATGAAGCATATGGGTGAGTCTACTTCCTTTCATAACTAGGTGGATCTAGATATGGAGTCAATTCCCAAATTCATGGAAAAAATCACCAACATGTATTTGCTAGTATTACTATTTAATATTGTGAAGAAGGATGACTAGTAATTTTTGCTTTGATTGATTTTCTTGCATTATTCAAATGAACTTTAAACATGCTTCTGTAATGTTTGCCACACCTCTGGTGTATAGAATGGCTGTAGTTATTGACTATACTTATGCGCAAGAAAGCTTCTACATGTGAAGAGCATCCATAAATCATATGATACCAAGCCTTGATCCAGCAGTCACTTGTGTATCACTCTATTAATGAAAAGGTGGTGTATCCTTAGTCAGCTATTTGGCTGGGTAACTAGAGTGATTTTAGCATTTTCCCTTCCAAATAACCCAGTAGTAGACTTCAAACTTCATTTAGTAAGCTCATTTAAGTGAACTAAATGGCTGCCCATGCATTCATGCATTCATTTCACCAGCAACTATTTGTTCAAACCACATGATCAAATACTGGCAGGAAATCATACATATGTCTAGAATGCTATCTATCTATGACATGAAGACAATGAAGACAATGTCATGCTGATAATCCTATTGGTTGCTATGAGGATTTTTCTTAGCAGACTTGTACCTTGTCAGGCAGGATGATGATGATGCTAATAATGTGTTCAGATATTAATCATTTTTATGTTTTCCCTATTCATATAGATCCTCTGTATACTCCATACGTCTCTATGAAAAATCAAACTGTGGTAACAGAATTTATACTCCTGGGACTTTCCGAGGATCCTCAAGTTCAGATCTTTCTCTTCTTTGTGTTTCTAATTATATATGCTACCACATTACTTGGAAACTCTGTCATTATATTGATAATTAGGGCTGAACCTGGTCTTCACACCCCCATGTTCTTTTTCCTCAGTCAGCTGGCCTTTGTTGATATTTGCTTCTCATCCATCACTGTCCCAAAATTGCTAGCAAACTTTATACAGCAAAAGAAAACCATTTCCCCAGTGGGATGCATCACACAGATCTTCTTCTTTTTCCTGTTTGGTTGTACAGAAAATGTTCTTCTTTCTGTAATGGCATATGACCGGTATATTGCTATATGCAATCCACTTCATTATTCAATAAACATGAGAAAACAAGTATTCACACAGCTAGTGGCTGGAGCCTGGGCAATAAGTTTTTTGGATGCATTGATAAACACTGTGCCTTTAAAGGATCTGACCTTCTGCAGGCACAATATAATTAGACACTATACCTGTGAACTTCCATCAGTTCTGCGCTTATCCTGCAGTGAACCATTCACCAATTATATGATAATACTTATCTCTGGTTCTTTCTTTGGTTTTGCACCCCTGCTCCTAATTCTGGTGTCTTACACTTATATAATTGGAACCATCTTGAACATTCGCTCTGCAGAAGGGAGGAGCAAAGCCTTCTCTACCTGTAGCTCACACCTGATTGTAGTTTGTCTACTGTATTTTTCAGGGCTTTTTGAATATCTGAAGTCAGGTTCCAAGTCTTTTACAGAGCTGGACAGCATATTCTCCATCCAGTATCTTATTTTGACTCCCATGTTAAATCCTATCATATACAGCCTAAAAAATCAAGAAATCAAAGCTATTATTTGGAAAAGGTTCAATAAGTTTAGGTAAGTTACCCAGTTGTTTGCATGTATACAAACAAAAGATGTCAAATACACAGGGATTCAATGGGGGTGGCAAGGAAAATTGAAACCTGTGAGATAAATGTAATGTATTATAATTTGTAAGGTAATGTATTGAGATCAAGTGAATAGCGTAAAAAGGAGACTGGTTTTTTTACGTATAGGGAATACTGTTCATGTAATAGATAATATAAAAGATAATGGCAAAGCAGAAGCATTAGTCAGCTTTGAATGCTGAGAAAGTGGTTCATATAGTCAAGTGCTGAGGGAACAAAATTATGAACCCATAATTTTGAAATTGGATAGTATTGTGGAATATTTATTCTAATTATTGTAAATGCGTATTAGAAATTGAGGATTTCGAAGTGGAAATATTTCAGACTATGGATAGATGTGATATATTCTAACCCAGTATTAAGACTTTCTATGAAGCAGTATTTTCCCCCCAAAATTCAGTCTGTTGAGAGGAATGAGACAAAATCGTCAGATGTGTGTGTTGTTTGTGATTTGTGTTGAACACTGGCAGTTTCATTCTGACTAAGGACATGCAGTTAAGTCCAAAGAACTAATAAGTTCTCTGCACATATTTTCTGGCAAAATATTGCTTATATTAATAAATCTAGAAGAAAGCATGCCATTTGTTGCTTAATGTTGAATTACACATTATATATATATATAGCCGGTCCCATGGTGTAATGGTTAGCACTCTGGACTTTGAATCCAGCGATCCGAGTTCAAATCTTGGTGGGACCTCATGGGACATTTTTGTCCACCAAGGCTCCCTATCAAATTTTGACATGCACATGGTTGGCATTATGAACAGAGCCAGCTGGAGCTGGAGGTCAGACTAGATGGCCCGCCAGATCCCTTCTGACTCATTCGGTTTCTATGTTTCTATATAAAATAATCATTTACATAAGTCCTTAAGATCCTCCAGTATTGAAACCATAAGTTAATAAGAACTCCTTGTTTTCATTAAGTTGATATTTCTTGTATACAGAAGTATGCTTTCTTCATCATTTGTTGCATTACTTCTTTCTTTGTATGTAAAAGAATGTAAAATTCTGGTTCATTTTTTCTAAGTGCACTCATGTCATTTCTAAGTAAAAAACACTAATTAAAGTTTGTTTTAATTACAGCTTTGCTGTTTGAGACCGTAGAAAAGCCTAGTTGAATAAAGAATGTTCAACAAACTAATTTGCAGAAATAAAAATTGCTACTGGTACACCAAATTAAAACATGCTGGGAAATGACATATGTACTAGTAATTCAGTGTAAGCAAGTGTAAAATGATGCATGTTAGGACAAGAAGTCTCAACTTCAGGTGGAAGCTGATGGGATCTCAGCAAGTGGTTAGTGATCGAGAAGATATGCATCATTATTATTATTATTATTATTATTATTATTATTATTATTAAATTGATTGATAAAACTGTTCTTTTCCTCTAAAGTACATTGTCATGGCATGAAGTGAATACTTGTCCCTTCCTATTCATCACACAAACATACATATTTTGAAGGTAAAACCATGTAACAATCATCTGTTCTTGCAGGCCATGCCCCAGGGAAAACTCCCCATCTTCATTAGCAAGACTATAGTGAAATCAACCTAAGCATGCTCCCCAGATCATCTGAACTGTGCCACAGATCATCATTCTCCCCACTGAACTCAGCAGCCTTGCAGTTACCAGACACCCCAGGTCTTACTCCATTAGCAGACTAATACTGAATGTAGCATGAAGGCCTTTGAAACCACAGGTGAGACTTCTACCTTCCCTTCCTCATTATTTTCATTAAGTGGAGAACTCAAAGTTGTCCAACAGCACCACTGCCACTTGGCATTCTCAAAGTGTGCACAACTCTGCAAACTCTGTGGAGACCTACCCAGCCAACTTCTACTGGAAAGTTGTGTGTAAAGAAATGGGAAGAGCAGTCACAAGGGTTGTCATCATGAACCACCTCCTTCCAGTTCCCTTCCCATTGGAGAAAAACAGAACATGTTTGCAAAAATGACTTGAATGTCTGAATTTGAGTACTGTATGAGCATACGGCTTGCCCTATCTTGTTGGCTTCTTTGCATGTGGCTGAAGCTTTGGTTGTCCAATCATCCTTCCAGAGTGCACCTGCGTGATCCATTTGGTCCAACCCTCATGGCTTCATGGTTCTTCTTGGCATCAGAAGATTGCATGGAGCTTGCAAAAGGTGAACAGAAGTTGAAGGAGGTTAGCAGTTGCTTTTTTGTGATCAAAATCCACAAGGCCTTGTGACACCTGAAAGACTTGCAAAATTATTATGGCATTATAAGCTTTTCTAGACGTTCTTTGTAGAGACAGCTATTTTGAAAGATGTTTTTATGCCACTGGGAAAGATGGGACTTGTGGAAATAAAGATACAGGAATCCTGAGGAAGGATGTGTCAGTGTTAATGTGAGAGAAAAGGTTCTTGTCAAGGGAAGGATATATGTGTGGTAGGGAGAAGTGTTGGTGTTTACGCATGCATGTGTGAAAGGAAGAGCTGCTTCCAGGTAGAAATGCCTGTGTGTGGAATACATGTGAATGTCATGTGGGATGTGTGTGTTTATGTAAGGGATAGTGTGTATCGGTGTGTTTGGTGAAGGGCTGTGTGTATATGAGGAGGAGGAGAGACTGTACCCTGGCCAGAGTGTGTATCTGCCAAGGGAAAACTGCATGGTTGTATTTCTGGGAGGAAGTATGTGTGAGCAGACCACATGTGTGCATACAGGGGGAAAAGTTTTGTGTGCGTGGCTAAAGAGTATGCAGTTGTATGCCTACATTCATCTCTGTACAGACATGTGGAATTTATTTATTTATTTATTTATTTATAGATTTTATATGCCATCCCATTAGTAAAAAGTCTCTGGATAGCTTACACAGAATAAAAACAAACCACAACAACAACAATACACAACACACTGCATCCAATAACTGATGATAAAAACAAGAAAAAAAAGTTAATTGTTAAACTATCAGGAAGATAAAAAAAAAATTGATGCCGAAAAGAATAAAGCAACAGTGTCAGGCGAACCTCCCTGGCGAGCATGTTCCATAGTCAGTGTGCCACCACTGAAAAGACCCTTCTTCAATCACTACCCTCCTAATTTCCTTCAAAGAGGGCTTCTGGAGAAGGACCTCTACCTCTGATCCAAAGGGGAGGGCTGGCACATAGAGAAGAAGGCACTTCTTCAGTTATCCAGGACCCAAGACATTTAGGGCCTTATAGGTCATTACCAACACTTTAACTGGGCCCAGACTTCAATTGGATTTGTGGAAACAGAGTGCACAGTTGAGGAAAAGTGTGTGTCTTCATGTGTCATTGAGGAAAGGGAGTATGGTGTGCATATATCAGGGTGGGTGTATGGGGGATGTGTGTGTGTGAGTGTGCATGGACACCAGTGTGTGACCCATAGCTGTGCATCTGACACTGGTTTTACCCTTGGGGGCAAAAGGGTGGCACCCTCCTGATACAATAGCCCTCCCGGGGGAATTAGTGATGTGGCCTGATTTTATCTAGCTCTTCTGCCAGCAGATGCTCCCTCCAAGGGGGCTGTGGCACTGAGTTGGAACGGGGGCAGAGGGAGAGTCTTTTCTGCATCACCTCAAATATAAGAAGACACTAAGATGTTGATGCTCTATATGCTTAGCACTATGCTCCTACACTTTCCATCCTTTCTTCCTTCTTGTATGAGCAGGGCTGCAGGTTTGGGAATTCAGATTCAGAAGTTGCTTGGGAATATCCCCTCCCAGAAGGAAATTAACTATTGAAGTGTCTTAAACATGATTTGTTCAGAAAGGATTATTCTGTCCTCACGCTAGACTGCTAAAACATCGGTTTAGAATACATTGCAGGGCATATGTGATATAGCAAAGGCAAGGTTTCCTGAAAAATGGATATGGCAAAATTCTACAAATCCTTCAAAGACAGCATAAAGAGCCTAGGTCAGTAAAATTATTTTGAAAAGGAAGTGGAAGGATTATTTGGGGAGACTTAAGGGGAAAAATCTGTTAAACTTTAAATGTTTCACTTTTCAAGCTTTAAATTCACTTTGTTCAGATCTTTGAGCTCAGCTCAGCTCAGCTCAGCTTTTTCCCCTAAACCTTTGGTCCATCTGGAGTCTTGAAAGGGCTTCCTTCCTTCCTTCCTTCCTTCCTTCCTTCCTTCCTTCCTTCCTTCCTTCCCTCCTTCCTTTGGCAGGGGAGAAGTTTAACGTGAAGTAACACAAGCATTTTTGTGTGATTGGTTTTCATACAAGCAAATTTGTATTCAAATACAAATTTTATGAACATGAAATATATGCTCATATTTTGAAAGTAAATGCCCTAATATGATACATTTTTAAAACATGTTTCCACTTATTTCATTCTCAAATAAGCACAAAAAAGGAGAGAAATTGGGAGCAAAGGCTCACAAGCCCTAATTACACATCCTGCCTAAGGAGGCAAAAAGTGTTAGTAAAAGTCCTTATTCTCCCAAAGCAGATAAACTGTGTGGATTGTACAGACAGTAAGTTGTCTGTATGTGACAGTGGGGTTCTGCTAAACTGATAATAAGCAGTTTTTGAAATCTTTTCCTTCCTTCCTTCCTTCCTTCCTTCCTTCCTTCCTTCTTTCTTTCTTTCTTTTTAAGCAGCCTTCTCCAACCTGTTGGTCTCAATATGTGTTTAAATTTAAACCAGTATGGTACTGGCTTTTTACTCTCTTTACACATGAGAATATTTGCACACATGATGAATGCATAAAGAAAAAAATCATCCATGTTCTTCTACACAGAAAACTCACACCATTTCTTAAGAACATTCAATTAATTAATTAACAATTAATTGCAATATGTAGAACTGTCTTCATAAACAAGTTTAGATTCAGCTCCTCATTGTCAATAGTCTAGAACATTCTTCCCAAGCTGGAAACTGCAAATGTGTTAGACTGCAACCCAGTCTAACACGTTTGTTTCCCAGCCAGCAAATGGCAAGTTGGAAAGGCCAGCACTCCTCCTACCATGCTTGGTTATGAGAAAGGGACCTCCTAGAGCCAGGCGTTCTGGCTTCACCAGGTCTCTGGAAAGCCATGCCAACTTTCTTCTGTGACCAATGCTGCTCTTAAGAGAACTTGGAAAGCAGCCAGTGTGGTGTAGTGATTAAAAACAGGAGACTGGGACTCAGAGGATCTGGGTTCTAGTCCCCGCTCAGCCATGGAGCCAACTGGGTGACTTTGGGCCAGTCACAGACTCTCAGCCCAACCTACCTCACAGGGTTGTTGTTGTGGGGATAAGATGGAGGAAGAGAATGATACAAGCTGCATTGAGCCCTTTATAGGAAAAAGGCAGGATATAAATAAAAAATAAATGTGAGAGATATATATATATAGGTTCTGTTTCCAGGACTGGAAACCAATCTGGGTACCAATCCCCACTCATCTACGGAGCTCACTGGGTGATTTTGGGCTGAGCCTACTTCACTGCATTGTTCTTGTTGAGAACAATGCTGTGAAGTAGGCTGGGATTGAGAGGAGGAGGAGATTGAGAGGAGAAGGAAGAGAAATTCTCTATAGGGCCCAGAGGTGCCCTGTGTCTTAATATTTTAGTTTGCAGAATGAGGCAACCAAGTTTCCTTATGCATTGAATGTGATGAGATTTGACTGCAGACAAATTCCATGGGGAATGTAGATTGTCAAGAGAAATCATACAGATTGTTTTCCTGAAGTTTATTCATTATCATATTGCTCTAAATATAAATTGTCAGGGAGAGATTATTGTGTACTTTCACCAGGCTGAAAAGACATCTGTTTGGGATATACTTCATGGTTTCTCTGACTTTGTGGAGGCAAGTTCTGGCATATGGTCGTTGATATGAATAAGAAATAAGAACATCGCTTTTCAACAGGTCCATCAAAGACAACATAAACAGATTGGTACTTTTCTGATAATACTGAGAAGGGCTTTGTATGTGGAAGTATGTGGAGAAGGAGGAAGGAATTTTATTTAGTTTATGCTCAGTTTGTTATATTTAATACCGTTAATTTTGTTCATTTCAAACTTCAATAACTTTTCTAATCTTAGGTTTGGCTCTTCCAGAACTTTAAGATTTATTTATTTATTTCAATAAAGGTCATAAATATCCTAGATATTTCAATATGCATCTCTCCTAGTGCAGGAAATCTGTATGGAATTGTGTATCACATGCACATTTTGACAAAAATATCTTTCTAATATAGCACGGTTTAATGCTTTTTCCACAAATACATTCTTTTTTGTATTAGTTCTCCCAATAGGCACATCTTGGGCAGGTCTCTTCCAAATGATATACAAACTTGCGTAGCTCATTCCATTCAGTTAGTATAGTCAATTCTTCCTGTCCCATTTGTTGAACTCATTTATGTGTAATGTTTGTTTCATTCTGTTTTACAATTTAACAGGAGTTCTATTTATTCATTTCATTTCCTCTCCACTCCACTCCACAGCCAAAGCTCTCTGAGCAGTTTACACAGTCCATAAAAATAGATGATAAAAATTCAAAAACACTATCATTTCACAGGGTGAAACAGCTAAAAGCAGATAATAAAAGCAGCCAATAATAAGGAATCACAAAAAAGAACAACTCTGTCAAACACCTAGTGATCCCCTCAAGCCCTTGGACAGCCACACAAGTCTTGAAAAGCCTCAGACATAAACGCATACATTTCCAGGACTACTGTTGTAATGCTTACAAGTTTCCAATAAGTGTGGCAGGACTGTAATAATTTGGAGAATATTAGACATTTATGAATAGTGGTCTAATAGGATAGTCCAGTAGCTGTTGTTGTTTGGAAAAAAGGGGTGGGTAAGTTACTGATTGCAACTTGTTGCTTGGAGCAATTTAATCCTCTGCTTGGTGAAAACAAAACAAATTACAACCCCCTTCTGACTTTTAAATGAAACTAAATGAAATTGATTGTGCATTCACTTCTGAGCTTCTTTGCAGGCAAAGCAGCACATGCTTCTCCTTCTGAATAGCTGATTCCCCTTCCCTTACTAAGCCAGAGATTCAGGCAAATTGTTTGGATTCACAGGTTTGTGCTATGTGTGTGTGCATATGTGTATGTGTATATGTGCCGATGCAATCTGCAAATCCTATATAATGCTGTTATAGGAAATGCAGTGGTGATATAGGAATATGATGCTATAATTAACAAGGATCACATATTATAGTAAGAACTGTTACTACTGCACTGAGCATCTTGTGTCTCTGTTTGCTATGATAGGTCAAGAAAATGTGGAACTGAAATACTATGAATGCGATGTACTGATTTTTCAGTACATATGGCCATAGGCGCAAATCCTACAAGTGCGCTTTTAGTCGAATCTTAGGATGTACCCCTTACACTGCTGGAGTCCTTCTATTTCTGATAGAACTCTTTGTGTGTTCTTCAGTCTTACATAGTCAAAGTAGCGCTATGTCCACAATGGATATACATGCAGGATCAGCATCCCCTCTCAAAAAGCAACCCAGGAAGGTCACAGCTGCACACAAAGGCTTCTCTACAGACAGCATAGACCTTGGACCTTACTGAAATGTCTTCTTCTGCTTTCTTTGCAGGAAGAACATCCCTTTACATAAGTTTTTTTCCCTGTCTGCTTTTCTATATGCTCCTACGTGTTCCATTACACTAAACAAGATGGCACTATGCTATAGAGCAGAACTGAGAAATCACACTAGCCTTCTATAATGCATAATGGTACCATCTTGGAAAAGAGCAGACTTTTCTCACTCCAAAAAAGAAGAAGTTGCTTCCTCTCCATGAAGAATCAAACTATAATAACAGAATTTATACTTATGGGACTTTCAAGTGATCCGCAACTACAATTCTTTCTCTTCTTTGTGTTTCTGATCATATATGCCACCACGTTAATAGGAAACATTGTCATCATATTGGTAATCAGGAGTGAACCTACACTTCACACCCCCATGTTCTTCCTTCTCAGTCACCTGGCCTTGGTTGACATTTGCTACTCATCTGTCACTGTCCCAAAGATGCTGGAAAACCTTATAACAAAGCAAAAAACCATTTCTTTGGTGGGGTGTCTCACACAGATATTCTTCTTTATCCATTTTGCTTGCGCTGAAGTTTATCTGCTTACAGCAATGGCCTATGATCGTTACGTGGCTATATGTGACCCACTTCATTATTCAGCAATTATGAATAAACAGATGTGCAGACAATTGGTGGGAGGAGCCTGGATAATGGGTTCATTGGATGCTCTGGTCAATACACTGCCCCTGATGGATTTAAACTTCTGTGGATTCAACACAATTAGCCATTACACCTGTGAACTTCCTGCAGTTTTGAGCTTGTCTTGCAGTGAAAATTTCACCAATTATATCTTGATACTTGCTTCCAGTTCTATATTTGGTTTCACTCCCTTCCTCCTCACCCTTGTCTCCTACATTTATATCCTTGCAACCATCCTGAAGACCCAGTCAGCAAAAGGCAGGAGCAAAGCCTTCTCCACCTGTAGCTCACATCTCATTGTAGTTTGCTTGTTTTATCTTTCAGTTTTTTCTCGACATATGAAGCCAAGTTCTAAAACTCCCTCAGACCTGGACAGAGTTATCTCTATCCAGTACCTTATTTTAACCCCCATGTTAAATCCTGTCATATATAGCCTTAAAAACAAAGAAATAAAAACTAGTATTTGGAAAAGCTTTGGGAAAATGTAGGTAAAACTAAAGAGCTACGAATAGCTGCAGATAGCAGTAATGCAAGAGGTTCTTAGCAGCCATGTTTTTAGTAGCCAAGAACAGTCAGTGATGCTTGGTAAAGAATTGTTAGGTAACTGGATTTTGCTATCATAATCTAGGTGTTTTGCAGTTTCATAACTTTAGAATTGGTTTCAATAATATTTCTGAAGCACCTACATGCTGGAAAAATTGATTTGTTTTACATACCCTGAGAATTTGGTGCTATAGCCTGGCGCTATTAGCATTTTGCAAAGCACTTTTGAAAACATTTCACCCTCTTTCTTCAGCAGTGGGAGAGAGAAATAAGTCTCTCTTGCTAGAGGAATCCCCCTGTAAGTCATTTCACACCAATTTGCTGCATGCATGAATCAGAGGCAGGATAGGTTGAACAGTGTGGGGGAGACTTCTCTGCACAATTTCAACATTATTATTTGTGGTTTTGAGCCTCTATGGTAACACAATGGTTTACATAAAGTTCAGATTTCTGGATTTATAACTTTGTGGTGGTGAATGAGAAAAAGAAATGGTTAAACACCTTGAAATTTCCACTGACAAAGATATTTGTCGCAAGATATTTGGGCTGGTTTAGAGTATGAGCTGCTTGATTGGAACTGAAGCAGTTAATTATGGATAAAAAAAAAAAAAAAGCTCAGTGACACCAAAATTTCCTTCAGCACCCATGCTGCAGGATCTAACTCTGCTTTGTAACTTGACAATATGTGGTGGTGATGGAATTGTCTTGCTGCTACGGTGTTCAGTTGTCTAGATGTCCTCATATACCCAGCTTGCTACTGATCCAAACTCTGTGTATATGTTTGTGTATTTTCCATGTACAAACAGCCTTGAATATCTTTCCCTTTTCAATACCATTTAAAGTGGTAAGGTCACTCATTCCATCTTGAGGGAATCTATCTTAGAATTGCTGTGTGCATGTAGAAAAATCATTATACAATGACAAGGGCAATTCCCAGTCCAAGCCAAGTGAAATCAAGTTCCACTGGCTTCCCAGAGAGCCAGATAGAGTCCATGGGACTTAAAAGTACTTTACTTGAGAGAATGGCAAACTAACAGTGCTCCCTTGTGAATATCTACTTCCAGATGATGTGAATATCTACTTCCAGGTGATAATTAACATAAAATTCCAGCTGTAGAATTGGCCGAGTTTTTCCAAACTATAGTACTAGCATTTAGGAAGAGTTTGACTTTCACCTAACTACCCATAGCTGTTCCATGCACTTCGGGCAAAACATTTTTTGTATGAATTCAAATTCAGAATTCAGTGTTGGTTTTGTTTTGACAAGAATGAATAAAGGACACACTGTTTGACCAACTTTTCGTTTTTATTAGAAATATTCTTGTAATATTGCATTAAACCATAATGTGCATGAAGCAACCACAAAACCAGACCAGACCTAACCAAATCCAACCCTATCTACTTTTTCTGTTCTTAGACTTCAAGGAAAGATCACATTTTAAGTACACTGTTCCCCATTCAATACTGAATAGGCGATTCAGCCAATAGCTACACTAGCCTGGGGAACTTCAAGGGTTACTGGATGAGGAGAGGGAATACCCTTCTTAGTGCAGTATGTGGAGCCTGGCTTTAGCCTGTTCATAGCTGATTCCCTCTGAACTAGGCCTGAGGTGGACTGGCTGAGAGAAATTCCTCACCTGATTTTCTTTTCCTTCTAAACTGATGAAACAGAAATTAATGCATAACTTTCCAATTTTGCAAGTTTTTTTTTACAGTATAGGAGATGAGAATTAAAAACTTAGAAATGTAAGAAGAGCCCTGCTAGATCAGACTAAGAGTCTATCTAGTCTAGCTTTCTATTTGCACCAGCTGCCCTACCCTCAGGATCCCACTAGCAGCACCCTCCTTCCCTGCTTCTCCAGCCACTGGTGTACATAGGCACCTGGCCTCTGAGAGTGGAAGTAGCCTAAAACCATAGGGAATAGTAGCCAATGTTAATTTTATCCAGTTTACATATGTGTCTCGCAAACAAGTATTTCCTTTTATCTGACCAGAATCTCCCACCAATTTTATGGAATGAAAAACTGTAGAATGAAATAGATATCCATCCCATAGCCTACACACACACACACAAAGACACTTTTTTTTGGGGGGGGGTATTTAGTAGCACAATTTTAGATTTCTTTGTTTCAACATAGCAAAGTTTCCCATGGCAGATCCAGCAGGTTGAGGCGAGGGTAAGAAAGGAATATTGCAGAATTGGTGATTTTAGCACTAGGTGGTGATCTTCATGTGGAGATGAACCATCGTAGTTCCTTAAAACATGCAAGTGGAAATCCCATACTTCATATCACATACACAGACAGTTGGTTCAATCACTCCCCTACAGGTCATCAAGTGATGAGAACTCAAGTGCAAAATAGGTGTGTGAACTCACATATATTCTCATAGGAAGAAATGTTCTTCCATCCTGAGAAAAGCAGCAACCACAACCACAACAAAACATAGAATTGGAACTCAAATACCGAGAGAGAGGGAGGGGAAAGAGAGAGAATTTTGCTTATCTAACTAATGTGATGAAGAAGACTTTTCTGAGAGCAGCCTTGACATCTTTGTTTCTTAGACTGTAAACTATAGGATTCAGAGTGGGTGTGATAAGTGTGTATAGGGCAGCAACTACTTTGTCCCTCTCAAAGGAGTAGCTGGAAGCTGGACGTATGTAAGTATAGATGACTGTGGAGTAATATAAGGACACAACAATAAGGTGTGACAAACAGGTGGAGAAGGCCTTTTTCTTCCCTTCAGTGGTCTTGATCTTAAGGATTGTCCTAACAATGAAGCAGTAAGATAAGCAAGTTAGTAAGAAGTTTCCCATAGCTAGGAAGATGTCTGCTATGAAGACCCAAACTTCATTGATTCTTACCGGGCTGCAGGAGAGAGCCAGAAGTGGAGGGATCTCACAGAAGAAGTGATTGATACCATTTGGTCCACAAAAGGTGAGCCCCAATATCAGGCCAGTGTGAACCCATGAGTTACTAATGGCTATGAGGATCACCACTGTAGAGAGAGCCACACATACCTTCTTGCTCATCATGATGGTGTAATGCAAAGGGTGGCATATAGCTACATACCGATCATAAGCCATGATGGTAAACAGCACCATCTCAGCTCCTAGACACCATGTGAAGGAATAGAGCTGTGCTATGCAGCCAGAGTAGGAGATGCCCAAGCTGAAAGTTGCAATGTTCCTCAGCATCTTAGGAATGATGGTGGAAGTGCACACAATGTCCACGACAGCCAGATGGAAGAGGAAGAAGTACATGGGCCTGTGTAGTTTGGGATATGAAAGGATGGCAGCAATAATTGCAATGTTTCCAATTAAGGCAATGGTATAAATACCAAGGAAAAGGATGAAGAGCAGAAACTTCATCTTAGGTTGCTCGGAGAGGCCCATCATCATGAATGTGGTCACACAGCTCTTGTTCCTCATTCCAATTTTGCCACATGATCTGTTAATCCAAAAGAAGATCCATGACAACTTCTCTAGAATTTTCATATGAATGCATACCCAGTGACGAAAAAAGCAATACAGTACATTTATGCTACTGTTTTATTTTAACTGTACATTCTATTTTACTGTTCATTGCAGTTTGATGCAATGCAATTCTTTAATCCTTCCCACCTACCACTTTTATTCTTCCTATTCTGAACTTAAATGTTATATTGGAGCATCTACACTAAAATAAGGAGCATTTCAGCTTTCACTTACACTGAGTGTTACCATTATGAGAACATCTGCCTAATCTACAATATATTTTTCTAATTCAGTCTAAAGACTTAAAACAAAATGATTGCCGAGATGTGTCAATTTGCAAAATATGGGTACACCAGAGAACAATGCACATAGATCTTTACTGAGAACAAATGTGTGGCACTAAACCAGGTTTATATGAGGACTCAGTTTTTTAAAGCCTTTCCAAGATGGAGAAAAAGGAGGAGGGGGAAGTTATCAGAATACTAGCATTATTTCTAGTGTGTGTGTGTGTGTGTGTGTGTGTTCTCATTTAAAAACAAAACAATTTCATAAGTTTTCAAGAGAAGATTCACCACATGAAACATTAAAAGTGAAGTGATGCTGCTCCCACATAAAGAATAAGCCATCTCAAATTTATGACAACCTGAAAGTTTATTGCAATTACTGTTACTACTATGAATACAACTACTATTACCATTACTATTACTTAGTTGACTTGCCATGGAAGTCAGGATAATTTTCTGTCAGGAAATGGATCGCCTCAATATTGCATATGTAACCTTCTCTTTGTGGTGGGCATATCTTTCCACGGTGCCCTTCTGTTCTCTGCAAGCAGCTGCTGAAACTCTCCTTTGCCCCACCCCAGTTAGGTCCAACCTCTGTGGCAGTGCAGTGACACACAAGAATACAGGGATTGACAGTTAAAAGATCAACTGCCAGAAATAACCTCAGGGAAGAAAGGGGTGGATAGAAGATTAACCTACACTGGAGGGTTGGGAAGAATCTGAGGATTCAAAACAGGAAACTGGACAAACACATTAAGTAACTTATATGCATGGATTTACTCAGGAACACTGTTGTTTTGCAGATGCTTGGTCTAGTCCTCTGAGGAATAAAACCAGAGTGAATGAGGAAACATGAATGACGGTTCACAGACCTGGACAGTCTTTCTGAGGTCTCTAAGTTAACTGTCTTGTTGGTGCGCTGACGTCTGTCCAAACTCACAGGTGCTTAGATGGAGGAGCTGACTGACTGGTGCCAGCCCTGTTGGAAATGCACACACTCTTTTCAGGACACAAAACCTTCCTTAGGCGTTTTTATCTGGGAGTTCTTTATCTGGGAGTTTTTAAGGAGAACCCCTGGACAGCAACTGGGTGCAGTAAAGAAGCCCGAGTGGCAGGCAAGCACCTCAGTAAACCCCCACCAGCATCATTTTCCTCTGGACCCATGGAAAGCAGGTTTCCTGATTCTTCAGACCCCATTTTCCATTTCTAGAACAAACCTGCCAATCAGTGTTTGCTCACTGTTCACCCCAAAGCACTCAACTCACCATCCCAGAGCAAAACAACAGGTTCATTTTCCTTGAATAATCTTAAGAATGCTAAGGACAGCATGCCATTTAAATCAGTACAGATCCATTTTGCTCAATTGAAAAAGCAATTCTGAAAGGGCTGCTTCGCACAAGTGAGGGTTCAAATATGCTCAGGTAGGGGTTTGAATGTATATATTGTAAATAAGTCCTATTAAGTCCTACTTCCAGGAAACTGTGCAAGACTCATGGATTTGGGGGAGAAGGTGCCCCCCCCAAGCCTAAGTGAGGGAAGAGATATCTGAAAGCATTTTAGAAGTTCCTTCTTTTGCCAGATGCCAGGAATGTCAATGGATAAAATACAAAGCAAGAAAACAATACAAAGCAAAGGATTTCACACATTCCCAATTAGGAGGGGGTGGGAGGAATCTGAGATGGAAAATTATCATTATAGCATTGAAAATCAGTAGCATATTTCGCTTCCTTAGGTTGATATTTCACAATTCTGTTGGTATACATGGGGAGATTATTTAGTAAAACTGAGAAAAGGAGTTTTAGAAGAATCCTTTGGATGACTGAAAGTACATGCAATCCATCATCCAGAGGGATAGTTTCACAAGACAGCTATAGCATCCTCTACCTTAACCTTAACACACCTTTACTGTGGGAGGAAAAGACAATGAAGAGCAAGAAGAACCTGTGGGAAAATGTGGGAGAGTTTCACCTTGAAGTTATTCAGAATCATGAATACCCATCATGAGAGGGAAGGTTTCTGGACAATAGGCTGCCAGTTTAAGTATGTTCTCAGGTTGACAAAACATGTAGTTGAATAGAAGAAATATGCTGAAATAGGTAATGCACATCCAGGCATCCTTTTTACACGTTAAGGTTGTTCATGTTAAAGTTTGATGGAAGAGGAGGAAGAGGAGAAGATGAAGAAGTTGAGGAGGAAGAAGAAAGATGACATGATGCCATGAAAGCAGCTGTTTTTCTCTCTCCTGCCTCTTATAAGCACTTGAGAAGAATGTGTTAAAGTAGAGCATACTCACATATAATCAAAATACTGCTTTTCCATTTTTGAGGCTTTTTCTGTGAAGATGAAAAATTAACGTACTACTATACTGAGAAGATAAATCAGTATCTAAGTAGGTTGATCTTCTTACTGCATAATACAGAAGATGCAATCTTGCAGAGTACATATGGATAATGAATTATGGATACATATTTCTATTTTATTACAACCTGCAGGGCCCTTTTCAGGGCAAGCTTACCCAGGGTTGTTCACTGTATATATCAAGAAAGTATAAAATAAATCATTATATATCTCACAGTCTGCATTGTGTAATATAGTGACATATGAATGGAAGTCAAGATGCATTTATAGAGTGAAATAGGTGACTTTGGGGAGAACAATTCCCAATGTACATTACAGCAGTGACTTCACTCTGGGTCTTAAAAGAACAATTTATCAAGGAATGGTATCACAACCATTGCTCTCTCTGCATTTTCTTTTAATTACTCATAAAGATGTCTTTGTGCTCTTTTCCCCCCACCCCCACCAATTCTGTGTTTTTTATTTTTAGGAATACGGATGTCACCTTTTGGAGACTTAGCATCTCCAACCAAACCTGAGAAGTCTAACTCCTGGTTTGGTCCACCACCACGCAGCACATCAATGCCTCACACATGGACATGATTCTCCCATCACTTGTATATGGCAAGACTATGACTTGGGCTATCTGACTTGTTCACAATGATTAGTGTCAGCACTTAGGTCCTTTTGAAGGCAAAGAGCAGCACAATGGGCTCTAACAGAGTCTAGCCAGCTGCATGGAAACATGCCCTAAGGTTGGAGATGAGATTCTGAGTGGGAACACCCTCCCACTACCTTTACAGATGGTGAAGCTCTGCAGCTCTGAGATGAGAAGGCTGACTTCAGAGCCAGAGGTCTGTGGGCATTTCAGGCAGGTGGGAAGGGGACCGGAAAGGCCTCTGCAGCAAACATCCTGGTGGTGCCTCCCTCTCTCCCCCTTGTGCGCCAGGCACATATCCCAGAGTGGAGGCTACCCACTAAATCACAAGTGTATCCCTGATGAGGCCAGGCTGAATTGATTCAGGCCCCAAGCTCTGCCTCTTTGCACTGACATCAAAATACCCCTACCAAGGTGCAGGGCCCCACAGGTCCCTATTGGGCTCATAGTTAGATGGTGAAGACCACTGGTGTACCCATTCAAACTGTAAGAGATGGATGGAATTGATGTTAGGGATGCTTCTGAAATGGAATTCAACCACATTGCTCTCCACATTTTGGACTTCTGAACCACTTGGCCTTTGTTTCCAAATTTCTAACAAAATTTTATTAGATAATTATAATTTGTTTGAAATTAATTCCAACAAATTATTTGCTACAAGCATGGCAAATCTCTGCCCCTTTAGACATTGCTGGAATCTAGTTCCCCTCAGTTCAAAACATTGTGGCTAACAATTAGAAATTATCAAGATGTAGTCCAACCACATCCACTAATTCAACCACATCCACTGGCTTCACAGAACACTTGGCCAATTATCTCTCATCTAGACTTTGTCTCACTTTGTGATGGGGATGCTCCCCAACCAAGAGTGAAATTGGGTGGGATGGACAGGGAAGTCCCATATGAGAATTTACACCTAGTTTTTATAGCATTTGTGTGTTCATGAAAGTGGTGGATGACATGAAAGTCCAATCAAATATTTATGTGATAGAGAAGGTTTAAATGTGGAGTGCTTGAAATAGAACCAATGAAGTAATTGATTCTGGCAAGCAACACAAGTGACTGACACTAGAAACACAGAAACACAGAAACAGAGTGAGTCAGAAGGGCCCTTCTGGGCCTTCTTGTCTGATCCCCAGCTCCAGATGGCTCCACACATGACATGCCTAACATGTGCAACAGTTGAAACTCTATTAATTTATTTCTACCTACAACTAATAGCAGGTGATTTGCTGTCTGTTTCCGATTACTATGAATATGCCTGTCATAGGAGTTTACTCAAAGTAACTGTGAAGGGAGACAGGGGTCTGCAAACATCTCTGGAAGCCTTTTCCTAGCATTGAAACAGTGAATCATCTTCCTTGAAGGAATACATCATTATCCTTTTGTATGTTCTCATTGCCAGAAGTACAAGTAACACGAAGTATGAGTAATCCTCGTACAGGCAGGATTTCAAAGAGGCAGAGGAACTAGACATCAAATTGCCAACATAAGCTGGATCATGGAGAAAGCTAGGAAGTTCCAGAAAAACATCTACTTCTGCTTCATTGACTATGCTAAAGCCTTTGATTGTGTGGATCACATATTATGGCAAGTTCTTAAAGAGATGGGAGTACCAGACCATCTTATTTGTCACTTGAGAAACCTATATGCGGGTCAAGAAGCAACAGTGAGAACTGGACATGAAACCACTTTTTGGTTCAAAATTGAGAAAGGAGTTTGGCAAGGCTGTATACTGTCACCCTGCCCATTTAGCTTAAGAGGAGAGCACAAAAGTTGGCTTGAAACGCAAGATCAAGAAAACTAAGATCATGGCATCCGGTTCTGTCACTTCCTGGCAAATAGATGGGGAAGAAATGGAGGTAGTGACATATTTTATTTTCCTGAGCTCCAAGATCACCGCAGATGGGGAATACAGCCAAGAAATTAAAAGACGCTTGCTCCTGGGGAGGAAAGCTATGGCAAATCTAGACAGCATACTAAAAAGCAGATACATCACCCTGCTGACAAAAGTGCGTATAGTCAAGGCTATGGTTTTCCCAGTTGCAATGTATGGCTGTGGAATTTGGACCATAAGGAAGGCTGAGCGCTGAAGAATTGAGGCCTTTGAATTGTGGTGCTGGAGGAGACTCCTGTGAGTCCCTTGGACTGCAGGGTGATCAAACCAGTCAGTCCTAGAGGAGATCAACCTGGACTGCTCTTTAGAAGGCCAGATACTGAAGATGAAACTTGAATACTTTGGCCACCTAATAAGAAGGAAAGACTCACTGGAGAAGAGTCTAATGCAGGGGAAAATTGACAGCAAAAGAAGAAGGGGACGGCAGAGAATGAGATGAAGAGAATGAGTGGCTAGATGGAGTCACTGAAGCAGTCGGCGTGAGCTTAAATGGACTCTGGGGAATGGTGGAGGACAGGAAGGCCTGGAGGAATGTTGTCCATGGGGTCGCAATGGGTTGGACACGACTTCGCAACTAGCAACAACAATGTTCTGGTTGCACATCCGGGGGTGGTGGAGAGGAGACCACAGTTCTGTAGTTCAGACTTCCCCAACATGATCCCATTCAGATGTGTTGAATTTCCACTCCCATAATTCTCAGCCAGCATGGACAACATAGAGGGTATTGGGTTTGGGATGGCTGCCCTGGGGCTTTCACACCAAAGAAAACCTAAACCAAAAAGAATTTATCCCTATGCAGGAAAATGGGGAACAGGTGACTGTGAATACATACAACACAAATTAGAAAATACATAGAAAAGACAACCAGTAAAACAGATAAAGTATAAGAATTCTGAAGTCTAACTTGCATCAGGAAAAACATCAAGCTTGCATTAGGGTAATTTTCTTTGTGACAATGTCCCACAAGTCTTTCTCCCAGTGGTTTCACCAGTTTATCTAAAGGATTTCAGAGCTAATAACTGCTGGCTTTTCTCAGTGAGTGAGTCTCCAAAAGGTATGAGCTAGTCACCAGCCCTCCTAGCCATGGACTCTGGTGCTTTCCTGATATCAAATGCCAAAAGCAGAACATAATTGCAAACTACAAGGAATGTGTGGGAGGGAAAGACCAGCAAGTTCAGCAATGAAGGCAGGTAAATTTCATTTCATCCTTTTTTGACCACAGCTCCCTTCTCTCCCTCTCTCTCTCTCTCTCTCTCTCTCTCTCTCTCTCTCTCTCTCTCTCATTCTAAAAACAGAACTAACTTCTAACAGTTTCACTGATTTAAAAAATGTTTGTTACTGAACTAGAAGTTGACTATTTCATTTGAATCATTAGAGATAATGTGGAGTCATTCATCTTTAGAACAGACCCATTGAAATCAGTGGGACAAGTTAGCCTCATACACATCACTACATATAGATTCAGCACAAGACAAAGATTAACTTACAATAAGTAAAATGAATGAATGGGGCAGTAAAACTCTATACAAATATAGAAATATCCAACAAAAATAATCTTCCACTGAAGAGAACATCCTCCTCTGGCAGTGTATTTTCAGTTGAAGCAAGATCTGCTGGATCTTTAAAATCTTTTTTAATGTTTTTATAAGTGAAAGGTTCAACAGAGTTTTCATCACTTACCAAAACCTTCATCCTACACGTTTAGATGACTGACCCCAGAGGATCACTTTTTGATATTGAATTTTCACATAAATAGACCTACAATCAAAATCTGCCTAGTATTAAAAAAATGTCCCCAAAGTTCATTCTCCTGCATTTTACCGTTCTCTTTCTATAAACCAAGTCATGTCTGGGGTACTAAAATATCCCCATATTTGGGTAAGAATTGTTCTGCAGGGTACTTTTACAGCCCCCAAAAAGCCCCAAGCAAAGGTACAACAGGAGATTAACTGCACTTTAACTTAGAGTTCTTTGTGAGCCAAAGGCTGAGCTAAAACTTCCTGCAAAACATTCCAGCAAACAGAATCAAAATCTGATGAGGGAAAGATTTTTTTTCCAATGGTAGCTTGAAGTTCATAGGTTAAACTATTGTGTTGGAAATAGCAGGTAGGCCAAGCAGGTACTGCTACCCAGATGTTATTGTTATGCATAGCTGCAAAAAGATTAAGACTTAAATTACCTGTACTGGGAGAAATCTGAAATCCTTTCAGAAATCTGAAATCCTTTCAACTCTTTTTGGGGAAGTCTTCAGTTAAAGGAAGGCCTTTCATACACAGCATTTGTCTTGCCTGAGACAATTTTGTCTGGGGTAAAAATGACCCTTTTAGCAACTAATGTTAGGTTCATATTGGCAGAAGGGTAAAAGTGCTACAGAGCCATAGGGGAAGACAGATAAGATTACTTTCAGGAAGTCTCCTTTCTGCAGGCCACAGAATAATACTTGGAATTCATTGAAAGCCTTGGTTGCTTTTGTCTAACAGCTTTGGCAAGCAATGTTGTCAGACATAATTAACTCTTTTATTATGTTTTCAGTCAGGGCACAGTACATGCCTACTACCAAAATTCCATGTGATTACTAGCTTTTACTAAATTAGTAAATGTCTACTACATTTCTGCTTTGTATCTATGATGAAAATGTGGCTGAACATGGAAACCCCCAAAGATACTTTGTTCACAATGACAATATCAGAATGATCTGTGGTTTCACATTTCTTTCATATAATCAATAAATTTCTGGTAACTTTAACAAGGGAAGGGTGGGGGAAACTAGGGGTGGAGATGCATAAGCAGATACAAGATATATCTTTAACTGATTCAACAATATAACATCTATCTCTCTAGGTCACTATCATCAGACACATTGAAATGAAAAACCAATCTGCTAGAACGGAGTTTCTGTTGAGAGGTTTGGCACATTCCCCTGAATTACAAATCCTTCTATTCTGCCTATTCACACTCATCTATGTTATAGCATTAGCAGGCAATGCCCTCCTCATCTTTACCATTTGCACATGCAAAAAACTTCATAATCCCATGTACTTCCTGCTCATCAATTTGTCCTTAGTGAATGTGCTCTCCATCTCAGTTACAACTCCCAAACTGATCCAGACTCTTTTGACTCACAGAAAAAACATCTCGTTTCATGGCTGCATCACACAGGTTTACCTCTTCATATGGCTATTGGTGACAGAACTTCTGCTCCTCACATGTATGGCTTTCGACCGTTATGCTGCTATTTGTCAACCTTTGAGATATGTATTTATCATGAAGAAGGAATTCTGTGTCAGCATTGTGATGGCTGCGTGGGTTACAGGAATGATCAATTCAGCAGTTCACACTGGACTTGCTCTACAACTCTCTTTTTGTAACTCCAACATCATCAATCATTTCTTCTGTGATTTGCCCCCACTTTTAAAGCTCTCATCCTCAGACACCAGTTTGAATGAGACCATGGCCTTCATGGCAGATGTGATATTTGGGATCTGCAGTTGTGGGTTGACTCTAACTTCGTATTTGTTCATTCTGAGAGCCATCTTCAAAATCCGTTCCACTGAAGGGAAAAAGAAAGCTTTCTCCACATGTTCCTCACATCTCATTGTAGTTAGCTTTTACTTTTCCACAGTTATCTATACATATATCAGACCCACCTCAGTGTACTCTCTAGATATAGACAAGTTTGTGTCTCTCATTTATTCAGTGGTAACTCCACTTCTCAACCCAGTCGTATATTCTCTGAGAAACAAAGAGGTGAAAGAAGTTGTAAAGATGCTACTTAGAAGAAGCAAGCTGCTCCCACAACTTCAGGGTGATATACAGAAACATTTCAAACAAAACTCAGTTAAAACACATATACTTCCTGAAAACTGAAAAAATGTTCTGCAGAAGCCAACTGATGAATGTGTCCAGCTGTATAGGAAGGGATGATACATATGTTGAAAGTCTCAATTTTGGAGCATATATGTGTGCTATGAAGTGTTCTTGTCAACATGTAGAAGTTGCTTCCTATTATTATATTTCATGTGAATTGAAAAAAAAATCTCTTCACTGTAGCTTGTATTTTGATGGGAGGAAACCCATTTGATTTCACATTTACAAGAGGTATGGAACTAATGTTATATGTATTGAATGGATAGAAGACTAAAGGGCTCTTAATGAATGAATAATGTATGCAAGCACAAAGGATGTATATGCATACATATGTATGTTCTCCTAGTTCTCCAAGTTTTCCCTTATCCTTCTTATTCCTTTGCACTGGGCAGCATTTTAATTTTGTTTATTACAGCAAATGATTATGAATTTGTTAAGTGGGAAGACATGGAACATAAATGAAAGAAGCTCAAAATAACATTGGAGAGACAGGAGTGAAATGGCAGAAGTGTAAATATAGGAAAAATATTACCATAATTCTATTGATAAGTGCTGAAGTTCAGTCGCAACAGGGCAAAAGAATGGGTTATGTCAAAAAGGCAATATGGGGAACAGATGGATTTTGATGAGGGATGCACAAGTATACTTGGAGATGGAGAGGAAGGTCAAGATGTTTGAATAGCTGAGGGTAATAGGGCAATACAAGAATATAGACACAGGGATATACATTGGGTAGGATAAGGCCATGCTTTTGAAATTCAGGGCACAAGGTTTATGTAGCCTCCAGAAGTAGACAGGAAGCCCATATAGGGTTTTTTTTCCCCAAGGGGTGCCATGTAATCAGGGAAATTAGAATAGTGAATAATTCTTGGCAAAACAGCAATGGCTAAAGATCAGGGGCCCAAAGTGATAAAAATGATTCCAAAATTATATCCCATGAAGTGTTTTACACTGAATAACAGATGACCTTGGAAGTTCCTGGACTTCATTTCTTACAGAAGTAGGTTTAGACTGCATGTCATCCTCAATTTCTAGAATTCAGACAGTGTTAATTTAACCACAATAACTATGAGTGACTGTTAACTTCTCAAATTTAGTACAAATTCCAAGAAATGATGAAACCATATATCTTCCATATTTTATTAAAGATATCTGTAGACAAATTGCCTGATTTTAAATGCATGTTCACAATCCCCATATATATTATACAAGTATATGATTTTAAATAGCTTTTTTCGCATAAAGCATTATTATTCTGGTTCCATGGAATCATTTTGTTTGGTCAGAGCAGATGTAGATAATATGGGCACGAATGTATCACTGGACCCCTTTCTTGGTGTCCACCAAAGTACCCTTCCTCTTCCCCTTCTCCCCCATCCTGCACCCTTCCCCTCTTCTTTCTCCCCCTCTTATTTCTCTCTTTCTCTATAAAAAAATGTTCTTACCAGCAGCTGGGATTGCTATAAAATAGGTTTCTGTTGGTACTGGAAACTGTGGGAGTTGTTTAGTGTGTTGGGTCATATCTCTGTCTAAGTACAAGTTTTGAGCAGCCAATTTGTCTTTGTGCCTAAATCATTTTTCTTTAAATTTCCAAGAAATACATGACCCAGAAAGTATGCATGCAAGCCCTGGGTTGGGGTTCTTGATAAGTTTATGGGATCTTAAAATTATTGGCACAAAATGAAAATACCTGTCAAAGGTTTAAATATTGAACTGAAACATTTTTAGGCCATGTTACAAACCAGGGTCCAGAGGACTTGACTATGGATAAGGATATTTTAATGCATGTATTAAAAATAATACATGGATATAAGACCAGGATTACTGTGAGTAAAATTCCACTAGATCAAATCCAGGAGTAGAAAACTCCCAGGTGTCAACCCCCACCTCCCAATCTCTAGTGCGTATATTCCTCCTTCCTATCCATACAGTTGCCACAACCATTGCACTGTCGAATTTAGTTGGGGAGGGGGGAAGCAAACAAGATTTGGGAGGAGCCTTAATTAGTTTTAAGAAAGTGAAACTGCTATCCCGGGAGGGTCCTGGGAACACACTACTTCTGGGGGAAATCACAGCATTTTTACACCATCAAATTTCACCAGGAAATTTGTGGCATGACAAGGGAAGAGGCTGGTGTTGGAAAAAATGGCTAGGGGGACTTTATGCAGCTCTTGGACCATGTGCTGCCCATCTGTGAACTCATCCAACAGCATTCTCCTCATTGTGGCCAACCAGATCTTTTGCCACATTCTATAAGAAAAGCATGGATTCAATAACCATCCTCCAACCATAGTTTTCCTCAACAAACTTATATAGTGTCTTGGATGCTGAAGCTCTCTGTAGCATTGTGGACAATAAACAAAGGACAGATTTGCATGTCATGCTAACCCACCTGGGAATTTTATCTACACACCATGGGTAAAATTCCCTGGGTCTGACAAGTGATCAGCATAAATAATGCTGGTATTCTCTAAACAGTGCCTAGCACTTTTAGACAGCAGAGCTACCTGGGAGTAAACGCCATTGAGCTCAATGGGATTTGCATTCAAGTAGCCTTTGCAGAACTGTATTGTTATCAGATTCTTTTGATTTGATTGGGAGAAAGTGTATACCTAAATCTCTCCTACAGAAATCAATGGAATGCCCTTACATATGAAAGGGTTATATCTGAGCTGACTGAAAACTGAACGCCAAGCTGTGAATTTGACACTTTACAAAATGTTGAAATGAAATGATGCAAAAGTTTTGCTTCAACAAAAGAATGAATCATCATCATCACCACCACCACCATCATCATTATCCAGGTGATTCCTCAAAGGTTTCTTTCCCAGCTGTACCATCACTTTACTTACAGAAAGATTTCAGAGCAGGTTACTGGTTTGTTTAGCAAATGTGACCACAAAAGGATCAACATAGCCTCGAGTAGGCATCAAACTGATAGAAAATAATTGTTTCTGTTATTTTCTAAATGCCAGAATGGAAAATCGTTTTGTTTAAAAAGAAGGAAAGTCCACCAAGAACAAAGAGCTAATAAGAATGAAGGTAACTATTTCATTTCATATCTCTTCCTCCTAGTGTTCAGAAAATATGGTAACTAGCTTTAAGGATTCTACTGAATGTGAAGAAGCTTACTGTTAAATTACACTACTTTTCCATAAATCTTCCCTTTGAGGAAAACAGAAGGAAGAAAAGCAATAATGGGAAAGGAAACCTATAAAAGGGCAGCATCTTTTCTCTATACAAGAAAGGTTTCTGCCAGGAAAGATTACTCTCCCCATCATAGCTGGCACAGAAAGAGCCATGCTGGTTGCTCGCCTGGGCTGGGGTTTAACCTTTGAGCATGAGAAAAGGTTGGCAGGAAAGAGAAATAACTAGACAGGCTAGGATAAGAGTTCTGTTGATGATTATCCAGCTTCCATCTCCCTTTGCTCCAAAGTAGTCCATTTGGATAGGCAAAAAAGCCCATCTTGTGGAAATGTACACTGAGAAGTGTGTGGAGCTATGATCATCTCTGTCAATGTGACAGTCAGTCTCTGAGGTCAATGACTGTCAAGCATTTTCATAGGATCCCTTCCTAAATCTCTGAAATTGAATGGCTGTTAATTGTTGCACAAAATGAATCATTCCATTTTATGATACACTGTGCAAATCTTCTTCCAATCAGTCCCGTTAGAGCATGAAAATCAAAAAGTGGGACTCCCCACTTTCTTGAGCATAGGTAAGATAGTGGTGATGACATCAGGAGATATATTTTGACATATACAAATATGACAAATAGTGCTCTTTATCTGAAGCAGGGTTGAGTTGGGTGATGACAGAAAGGAATAGAATATCAGAAATTTGCATGCTTGTCTACCAGATTCCAATAGCCTTGAATTACAGCCTGACAAGTCAACCATTGTCAAATTTCAGACTTCTATAAAAGTGAGCGTACAAATAATAGATCAGTCTTGACAGTTCAGCTAATATCTTTCCAGGTTCCCAGCATAAGAAGTACTGAAATAAAGAACCACTCTGCCATGATGGAGTTTATACTGGTTGGTTTAACCAATTCCACTGAAAGGCAGTCATTTCTTTTTGGGGCGTTCCTGTCCATCTATGTGATGGCTTTAGCTGGCAACATCCTCTTCATCTTTACCATTTGCACATGCAAGAAACTCCACACTCCCATGTACTTCCTGCTCATCAATCTCTCTTTAGTCAATGTTTTCTCCGTCTCAGTTACAACTCCAAAGCTGCTTCAGAATCTTTTAACCCCCAGAAAGTCCATCTCATTTTATGGCTGCATTGCACAGGTGTTTCTCTTTATATGGACTTTGGGGACAGAACTTTTGCTTCTCTCATTTATGGCTTTTGACCGTTATGCTGCCATCTGTCATCCTTTGCAGTATATAGTCATCATGAGGAAGAAAGTGTGTGTTGGCATAGCAAGTGGAGTCTGGATAGCTGGGATGGTCAATTCTGCAGTTCACACTGGACTTATGTTGCAGCTTTCCTTCTGCAACTCCATCATCATCAATCATTTCTTTTGTGATATACCCCCACTTTTGAAGCTCTCGTGCTCTGACACCAATCTAAATGAGACTGTGGCTCTTGTAGCAGATGTCATATTTGGGATTTGCAGTTGTGGGTTGACTCTAACATCATATTTGTTCATCCTGAGAACAATTTGCAGGATGCATTCCACTGAAGGGAGGAAGAAAGCCTTTTCTACATGTTCCTCACATCTCATTGTAATCAGTTTTTACTTCTCCTCAGTCATCTACACCTATATCAGACCAACCTCAAAATATTCTTTAGAGGAAGACAAACTTGTTTCTCTCCTTTATTCAATAGTAACCCCAGTTGTTAATCCATTCATATATTCTCTGAGAAACAAAGAGGTGAAAAATTCTATCAGGGAGCTTATTGGAAGAAACAAACTACTCCCAAATCCTCAAAATATGCTTATTAGGTCTTTTAGAGCAGGGGTGGGCAACCCAGTGACTTCCCGATGTTTGAGTCCTCATCACCCTGATCCCTGATTATTGGGCGAGTTGGCTGGAGTTGATATGGGCTGTAGACCAAATCATACAGCAGGCATCAGGCTTGTTCTCCTATTCTAGAATTTCATTCTTAACCAATATATTGATAGCAGTTGCACAGTGATTATCTTTAGCTGATATGGAATAAGCACTCATTTCTTTGAGAAATGTTGTATTTGAGAATTGTGTACTTATGATACATAAAGTATATGGACCCTTCATTTTATATTAAAAAGAAGCATGGGGGAGTAAGGAAGAATTATTCATGTACCACTGTAAACACAATCAGGAAATCTGTCTTTGTCATCCATAAGACCAAAGGAGATATATACTTTACATGATGACACACCATACACCTGAAAGCATAAAGGTATGTGGCAAAGTCAGCAGGTAGAATCCCACTTCACTATGTCTCATTGGTCAATAGCATGAAGAATGCTAATTCCTGGTATACTTGTCATCAGATCAATACAATGTATTTAGGTGAAATTGGATATATGCAGATGTTGCCAGATGTTACAGTTGGAAAGGCTGTATCTAAGTGGTGGAGCCCATGGTTTGCATGCCGAAGGTCCCAGTTTCAATCCTTCACTTCTTCAGGTAGGGTGAGGAAGAATCCTTCCCGAAACCCTGGGCAGCTGCTGCTGGTCAGTGTCAACAATATGGGGAACTGATGGAGTAGTGGTCAGCTTCGATGTAAGGCAGCTCATTATGCTCTTGTCTTCTGAGATCCTTTGTTTAAAAATAAATATAAATATTTCATTCCAGTTGAAAACATTTCAATGAGACATACAGAATAATGTAACAGATAAGGCTGCAATCCTATATGTATTCACTTTAGAGTAAGTCAGATTGAACTCAGTGGGACTTACCTCACAGCTGATGTAAACAGGCTTGCACTACAAGTAATGCAACACTTGTGCATGGACATAGGACTAAAGAAGAAGAAGAAGAACCACCTCCTCTTTATTAATGTTCAACTTACCATCAAGCCCTCTTCCAACTCTATCATTCTGTGTAGGTAATATTGGTTATCAATTAGAACAAAAGTTTTGCATCCCTAAATTTCATATTTTGTCTTTTAACAAAAACAGCAGAAATTTTGGGGGATCTGAAAATCTTGCAAGGATGTACATTCTGTCCTGAACCACACCTAACCCGTGATGTCTGGAAGGATTCTAGAAATGGTGTGGTGTGATGATATTGTAGAATACCAATCAGATAACTAGAAAAAAAATGAAAACAAAAAACTGCTGATGCCTATTTTTTTGTTCATTTCATTCATAACAGTTTTTGTTTATTTCAGTGCTGCCTGATTGTTTTTATCCCTTTCTCGATGTTTGTTATATTATTTCAACTTTTCCAAATGACCAAAGAGGAAGACTAAAGAATACATAGTATAAATTGCTTTGAGAATAGAGAGTGCAGGGAAAGCAACAGAAGAAGAAAGAAAAAAAAAAAAAGATTGAGCGTTAACCAAATGCACAGCAATAGTAATTTCTTGTGTCCCTGGTAACCACACTACTTTTTGTACTCCTATGTAGGCAACCAATAAACACACTCCATTTCATTTATATACATATCCCATTCTATTACCCTGCCAATGAACTTATGGACTTACACCTTATGAGCAACATAGCTTAACCTTTATCCAGAATCAAAATGAAATCCAGCACTAGTCACAAAAGAGACCAATACATGATTTGGGAACATAGCAAATACTGCACCCCCACCTTACTTACAGTAGGATGATGATTTCTATCCAAACGCTGTAGAAATGGTGATATTTGACAAGAAACTCAGTCCCAAGTACCAAGAAACAGAAAGTAGTCATCAAACTGCTCTCAGGTTCTCTTCATACTTTTAGCTCTTCCCTCATTCTTCTTCAAATTCAGTACAGATGTTTCTCAAATGCATCTCTCCCATGCTGCCAAGTTTCAGATCAATACGTTCAGGTATTTTTGTAGCATAAGCCATAGAACCTGTTCTTCAGACATTTCTTGGTTATAAAGGCAGGAAGTGAATAAGACAACATAACGTCTCAACTGCATTTCCATACATTAAAGTTGAGCAATGGGTGGAAACATCACCCTACTGATGAATTATCTCCAGGATCAGGATGATCTAGGTGCAAATCCACATCCACATAGGTCTACCCTCTCATAGTGACATGGAGCCCTGAAGCAGTCACCAGTTCATTCCATTGATCCTAATACTCTGCAAGTGAAGGATATGGTGATGGTGACCTGGTCACACCAACCTCACCCCAAGCCTCATCATTTCTGGTGTGTGTGATGAGCAATCTTCTCTGAAAGTCAATTTGGGCCTAAAGGGAAAGATCTTCAATGCCTCTGATATAATACTTATGGCTCCTTGGGCAATGTTCTATCTAAATTTCACAAGTAATGAATTTGTCCAGAGATGGGAGAACAAGGACTAATCAAAACACCCAGGATGCCCCAAAGATCATCTTATGGCTTACTGCATGTCTGGTTTCCATTCATGTTTTTATTAACTGTTCAATTTTCATGGGTGAAAAAAGTAAATTAAAAAAAAAAAATTGGAGACTTGAGTGATTTCTCTCACTAATCAGGAAAGTGATGCACTTGATCATATTTTTGGCAACTTATGCATATTTTCAGTGCAAACATGCTTGCGCTCGCTTCAGAGCATTAAATAGAGCCTGCTCACATAGTTTGTGAGAAAAACATAAATTCACATATATCCCTAAAGCTGAAACAGAAAGTTTGCTTCAGCTTCAGGATGAATCATCAACCGTCATCCTGATAATGTCTCAAAGATCCTTCTCCCATTTGCACCATTGCATCATTCAAAGCAAGTTTTTATGCTGGTCACAGTGATTGGCTCAGAAAGGAAGTGTTGTTCTAAGGTCCAATTGCACTGATCATCATGCATCAACTGCTGTCAGTTTATCCATCTAGAGCCATACAGTTTATCCATCTATTACAGTTGTTTTGAACATCATCATTGCCATCATGACCACCACCACCATTACCATCATCTCTGCTGTCATTAGTGTTGGTACCCAACATTGCCCTTGGTAGAACTCACTGACACAAGAAGATGGGGGAGGGGTCATTTAAAACATTTTTGGAGGTGTCATTCCGTGCACAGTAGCCCATTTTTGATCTGTGGCTTCTCTATCCACCTTTCCTCTGTTAGCAACAGAATCTAGCAATATACCATTGTGAAAATCTTGCTTACTGCATTAAAGACACAAGCAATTTACATAGAGCCTTACTGTTCTGAAAGTGTCTGTCCCTAAAGTGCCCCCACCACTCTCAGGAGCATCAATGCCTTATTTAAGGAAGCATTTGGAATCTGATAATTGCTTAAGATTTGTCAAACTGTCCAAATGATCAATGTAGGTTGGGCTGGAATGTTGATAATTATCTCCATATGTCAAATTTGCTCACCATGAACATTTATGCTTTTTAGAAGACTATACCCTGAAATTCATCATTTCACTACAGGAACCTGGAACTGAGGTGAGACTTTGGTCTTCCTTCTTTTGTGCATTTAGGTGCCTGGCAATATTATGTTAATATTGGATTCCAAATTCTTTAATGCATTGGATAACAGACATCTGTTGATAGCAATTTTTCAACCAGTAAAAAGCAATGAAGAGCAAGTCCCCCTTTCTCCACTCTCATTTGATGTGGAAAGGCCACACAGAAAGGACTGAGTGGGCAGGGAAAACACAATGACAAAGTAATGGCTTTGATTAATGTATTTGGGATTAATAATGGCATTCCACCCATGCTTCATGAATCTTTTAGCAAACTGTAGGTACTACATATGTTTATGTGATTAGAGGGAATCTTAATGAGCTCTTAGATCCACGCATGGACAGGAATACATCAGTCCCTAAGAAGCAAATGATGGTGAGATTCACAATTCAGGTTTAAATAAAAGAGTTTGGCCAGACAGATCCATGAAGAAAATCACATCCGGATGGGACAGACTATGCATTTATATCATCTTTCCACCATAATTGTTTTCAGTTGGATTACTGTTTTGGCTTCCACATCCTTGTTACATCATATCAGGGACTGTAAGATTGTAATATTAGACCATATCCTTGTTTGTTTGGACCTGCCACTTAGAAACAGTCCAAGTTTTGCTGGTCTTTTGGGTTTTAATGTTTTCTTTGAGTCTTTAACGAGTCTTCAAAACCAGATCCTTGCTGAACTATGAGTTATCCATGACTGAATTATGTTTCTTATAAAGCTAAATTTTAAAAGTGACAAACAGCTGAAAGTGATAGGTTGGAAACTCTTAGAAGCCAGTTTGCCCCCTCTCCAAATGCACAACAGGGAACTCAGGTGCTGCGTGTTATGTAAGGTGGATATGGTTGTTTTTCATAGCAGGTAGAATTTGCACTAAGCTTGTTTAAGACTGGGAGATAGATGTGTTGAAGCTCCATAGAATCCCTTCCTCTGATGCTGCGGTCATTCTCACATGCTCAGTCCTAACTTGGAAAGGAAGCCAAACAAAGAAGTCCATGAATGCTCAGGGAATGAGAGTTGCACAGCTGGCAACCTCCTTTCACATCAGGTGCAGCAGCAGCACAGAAAAAGGATGCTGCTTGCAAGCTCCATTCCTGGGAAATGCCATGTGAATGATGGGGGTGCTTGCCAGAAACGCAGACTCATAGCTCCATCAAGGTGCATCAGAAACCAGTGCATCTGACAGATCCCTACCCACAAAATGGATTCCTCCCACATCCTTCCCGGAAGAATTGTGAATGGCCCAGAAACATATTTACAAATAGTATTTGATAGCAAAACACTGAAGAACCAGACAGTCACGGTAAGATACCTACTCATCCTGAAGATAGACTTTTTCATTAAAAAAAATACTTTGGATTGTATAGCAGTGCAGTGGTTGTGAAATATCAGAACAGGATATCAATGCTCTTCTCCCCTCCCTGTTTCCCTGATGCAATAAGTTACAAAGACAGTTTTTAATGGATCTTTTGCAGATTGGTGAAATTATGAAAACAATAGCTAATACTAAAACAGTGAAAAAACTGGTATTTCCAACTGATTGGTATAAAACATTTTCAGGCTTTCCAGTTCCTAAAGTATCTTTTATATGAGTTTATTTTTAACAATCAGGTCATCTTTTGGTATTACTCTTAAATTACCTGATTTTCTAAAGCAAATGGAGATCATGCACTATGTGCCAATTATCAATCTATTTAATTAATTAATTTTTATATTAAAATGCTAATTGAAATGTTCCTGACAGAATACAAGAAGTTAATATAATGTTAGTTCATCCGGATTGGATGGGATACATGACAGAATGACAACTGTACTGATTCTAACCTTGTTATACAAGTTTAGAATCAGTACAGCTGTCATTATCTCTCTGGATGTGCAGAAGACCTTTGACAAAATTTATCAGAAATGTATCTTTTTTAAATTTTATTAAAATTTTAAACTAATACTAAAAACATCAAATATCACATACATCGGATTTACTGGGTCAACCCCCTACTACATATTTTTTAACATTCTATAGTCAAATTCAAATCAATTTATAATAATTTGAAAACATCTCTAAGTTTACGCCAAGTCCCGTTTCTCCAGCCAGTTATAGAAAAAGTCCCAAGTTTGATAAAAGTCAGTGTCATCTTTCTCCTTCAATGATAAAGTCAATCTATCCATTTCTGTGCAGTCCAAGATCTTTCTTACAATCAGTCCATCGGTGGGTAGCTCCTTATTTTTCCAATATTGAGCAAATGCAATCCTCGCCGCTGTGGTTTGGTGTAACATCAGATACATTTCCTGTCTGTTAATGCCTTCCGGTATGATGCGTAACAAGAAAACTTCAGGTTTAAAAGCAAAGGGTTTTTGCAATATTTCCTCCATATCTTGCTGCATTGAGAGCGTTCAGTTTTTCTCCAGAATTTCAGAAATTGATTGACGTTTTATATGAAACTCCTAGGACCAATGGCGTCTTGTCTGGGGGGGGGGGTTTCCCCCTTGAAAGAGAGATGCTTTCTTTTCCCACTGATATTCGATTAGTAGCACGTGTCATTTAGTAAATGCTTTGTTTACATTATGCATAATGCATATTTTTATAATGGCTATATGTCTTGTTATATTCTGATCTATATAACATGCTTGCAACTAGTGTTTTAGATCATTGATTTCTATTCAAAATTGTAATGTTTTAGTTTATTTAGTTTATGTATTTCCATGCCTCTCAATGGTTGAAGTTCTCTGGGAGGTTTAAAACAGCACATAAAAATGCACTAAAATAAAATAAGAATGACACAAAATCTTACAAAAGAAGCAGAATTTTAAACAATCTCTACATGACATGGTTATTTCTGTAGGTCACATTCCTGGGAATGAGGAACTACTCTGCCATCACAGAGTTCATCTTGGTGGGTCTTTCCAACTCCCCTGAACATCAGCCGTTCATCTTCGGGCTATTCACTTTCATCTATTCAGCAGCGCTGGCAGGCAACTGTCTCATCAGCCTCGCTATCACTTGTAGCAGCAGACTCCATACCCCAATGTACTTCTTGCTCATCAATTTGTCTGTAGTCAATGTGTGTTCTATTTCTATTACAGTCCCCAAAATGCTGCAAACAATTTTGTCACAAAGGAAGAGTATTACACTCGCAGGTTGCATTGCACAGGTGTATCTGTTTGTCTTGGCTTTGGGGATTGAACTCCTGCTCCTTGCATTCATGGCTTTTGACCGCTATGCTGCAATCTGCCATCCTTTGCAGTATGTTTTCATCATGAGGAAAGAGTTTTGCCTTGGAGTAGTGGCTGCATTGTGGCTAATAGGCATGGCCAATTCTGCAGTCCACACAGGACTTGTACTACAGCTTTCCTTCTGCAATTCCAACATCATCAACCATTTCTTCTGTGAGCTGCCACCAATGTTCAAGATCTCATGCTCAGACACAAGTTTGAATGAAACCATGGTTTTTACTTCTTCTGTTATCGTTGCAATAGGTAGTTGTACACTGACATTAACATCTTATTTTTTTATCCTAAGAACTATCCTCAGCATCCATTCAACAGAAGGGAAGAAGAAAGCCTTCTCGACATGCTCTTCTCATCTCTTGGTTGTCAGTTTTTACTACTCCACAATCATCTATACTTTCCTTCGACCTGCCTCAGCCTACTCATTAGAGGAGGATAAAGTCATTGCTATCATTTACTCAGTAGTAACCCCTGTAATCAATCCACTCATATACTCTCTGCGAAACACTGATGTTAAAGAGGCTCTTTCAAATCTAATACTTAGAAGACTTTTTCAGAGAAATTAGGATTCCTCCCATTCCCCCAGTCCTATGCCAACATTGTCATATCATTGCACTAAATATAATGATTTAATCATGTGAGCATATTATATCTTCATATTAAGCTGGTTTGGAATAAGAAGGAAGAAAAGAATGAGAGGGAGAGAGAGAAGAGAGGAAGGAAGGAAGGAAGGAAGGAAGGAAGGAAGGAAGGAAGGAAGGAAGGGAGGAATTCAGAGTCTGAATCCAACCCCACCCCTTCCATCATCCCATTTGTCCCTCTCTGCCTGTGGAGGGTGACCATCAAAAGAGGAAATTCTCCTGTTCCTATGGAGGCTTTCAATACAACCAAGAACTCTGATTTGGTAGCTTTCTTGATTGGGTGGAGAGCCTTCACAGGCATAGGAGGCTCACCCCTTCATACTGTATCTCTCCATTAAATAGATGCAGGGAGGGGTGGCAGATGGAGCTCTTCCTCTCCTCATCAGTTTGCTGCATTCAGCTTCAGAACCCCTGAATAGGCCTACTATTGTACTGGCTTGAAATGTTGTATCTTGGGATAGGATGCTAGAAACCCCATCAAGGTGTCATGGATAGCTCTGCTGCATACATTGAATTAATTTCATGTCGCTGTGTGCATATATTTTTTTCAAACTTTTGCATGTGGGACTGTACCCTCAGCAAACCAGGCTCTAGCTAGTGTGATCTGCCCACCACATGGGGAATGCTTACAGGTTTTTTTGTATACAAAACAGCACATAAGTTCTTACTGTCTCCCTTCCTAGTTCCCTTCATTGTTGATACACCCAGGAACAATAATCTGTAAATACTACAATGTGTTTCCTGCTGTTTTGCTGTGTTGCAGCCCAGCTGAGCTCTCCATTCAGGAAAAGATCTGCCAGTCTCTTTTTCTGCTTGTTTTGCTCCATCAGCTTGGTGGTGAGAGCTGTTTAATCCCAAGAAACTGCCAGCTCAATATAAATTCTTGTGCTGGTCTGCAAGACAAAGTGTAAAAGCAGTAAGTCAAACCTATCCATGATCAGAAGTTCCACTGATTTCAATGGGTTTTCTACAACATATTTGTGTTCAGGATTACAACCATAATGCTGATTTGGTGGTGCAGTGGTTTAAACCACTGTGCTGCTGGGCTGGTTGATCGAAAGGTCGCCAGTTCAAATCTGCACAACGGGGTGAGTTCCCGCTGCTCCGTCCCAGCTCCTGCCAACCTTGCAGTTCGAAAGCATGCAAATGCAAGTAGATACAAAGGTACCACTTTGGTGGGCAGGCAACAGCGCTCTGTGCACTTCAGTGTTTAGTCATGCCGGCCACATGACCAGGGAGACTGTCTGCGGACAAGCGCTGGCTCCCTCGCCTAGGAAATGGAGATAAGCACCGCCCCCTAGAGTCAGGCATGACTGGACTTAATGTCAAGGGGGAACTTTTACCTTTACCTTTACTTTAATTGGGTCCACAATTATTTTCAAATGGGAACTGAGATAGAAACTTCTGTCTGAAGAAATGAGTAGAAGGTAAACTTCCAAACTGTTAACTTTTAACCCTTCCTGATGTTGATGAGATGTTTCCATTTCCCATTGAGACTCTTCATCAGATGCCTGATAAGTGTCTTTGATTCATCAATTTATCTTTTTCTCTTTGTTTGTTGCACCATTGTAAACTTTCTTCCCCCTGTGCTTTGGAATGAAATCAACAAAGATTCTACCCTGCAAGTGTAATTACGATTTTAAAAATACACAAAACAAAACAAAATGCACTACCTGGCATAGATGATAAAATGTAAAAGAAGTTTAAAGGTTGTTTCAACTAAATGATTGTTCCTTTACTAGCCCCATGTAGGGGAAATGTGGTAGTGTTGATTACTTTCTAGAATATAAATCTTCTGAAATTTGAGCTTCCCTACATTAGTCATTGTTAACCTGTTTTGACATCCCATTTCACAAAGGCTTCTGCTTCCTTCATAAGTTGAAGACCTGCTCCTTTCCACACACACCCCATCCCTAGCTTTGGCCTGCCTGCCTGCCTGCCTTCCTTGACTTTCTTTATGTTCCATTACACAACCACAAAATAGTGCAGATGCATAGCAGAATTGTGAGAATACATAACTATATAACAGTATATTATATCATTCCAGTACTTAAATAGTTTTTCACCCTTGTTTTATGAAAGGCTTGTTTTATGAAAGGCTGCACAGAAGGCAGGGCAAAGGTGCGGTGGAGTAGGAGGTCGAGTAAAGCACACACTAACCACTGTGAGTGAAGAATCATGACCATTCAATAAATGTCTCATGTACTGAAGCCCTTTGTTCAATGAATTTTAAATAAGCTTCACTGGCCCTTCCACCATATTGCTGAATAGAAGTCTTGCGGAAGGTCTTAGAACTGTCTGTCACAATAATGGGCAAAAGTTAGCTATTGGATAGATTTTAGTGTGGTATAATGTAGCTACAGAATTAAAAAAATAATTAATCATTTAATTAATGATTTAATTAATTTATCATTTAATTAATGATTTGGGGCATTTTCCCCAAATCAGGGACATTACAACCACACAACGCCACTCTCAAACATGACTTCAGAGGATTCTAAATATATTCAGAGGTATTTCTGTGCAAAAGTAGGAGTAATATTTAGGAATATAATTAATTCTGAATATAAAGGAATGTAAAGAACTTTTTGAATATATCTTGTTTTCAAGGGGTGTATTGCTCCAGCACCAGGGAACTGTTCAACACTCCCATATATCAGTTATGAAAATATGGCATAATTGCAAACATGGATTCCTATGGACTGTGCAGGTGCTGCTGTACCTAGTGTCTTAACAACCACCATGAGCTTGTGGGCAAATGCTCAGTTTGTTCCACTATTACTTCTGGGAGCATTAGGGCTCTAATTCTGGGCACATTGCAAGTAGGAAGTTGGCCATCCACAAGCATGGCCTGAGCATGTTCATCTTCTAATCCGAGGCAGCCTGCTGTAGGTCCATGGATGGAAATGACAAGGTGAGTTAGATGAAACCATTCCGGCTGACATTTGTGGTGTTCCCCAAAGAAAGCTAAACAAAGGCATGACTGCCCATTGGTTTTGTAACAAAATGTAAGATCATGATCCAGCCCAATTTTAATTATTTTGTGTCTCAGTTTTTCAGTGCGACTATGCAACTCAATCATACACGTTTACTATGAAGAACTAAGATCCAATGAGTCCAGTAGAACTGTACTCATCCCAAATACAAAGCAGAAGCATTAAATTTCAGCTATAAAAGAGATGGGCAAAAGAAAACTAAAATGATGAAGGGTTGGAGAAACACCCCTATGATAAAAAGTTGCAGCCTCTGAGATAATTTAGCTTAGACAAAAGGTAAGTCAAGGGAAGACATGACAGCAGTGCCCAGAGAACTTCAGCTACAGGAGGTATAGAAATGGAATCGATGATGATGATGCTGAGTTACAATAGGACCTCTTAATATATTTGGATGTACATAAGGGGAAGAGCAGAACTGCACCCACTGTCCTTACCTGCAACCTTGCACACATGTATCATAATTGTACATGCTTTGCTTCTGATTTAAAAAAAAATGGAAAATGAAGAATCTTTGATCATGTGTACAGATAATGAGTATACAACTGGTGTGTAAATGAAGGCCTTTTTTACATGTTACAATTAATACATATGCCCATGCCTGCCATGGGGCCCTGTTTAAACCCCCTGTGCTCTCTAAGGCCACCATTGTAAAATTGTTCCTGTGCAATTTTGGAGTATGAGCACTCCAGCTTCAGCTGCACTGACAACTGACATCTATGCCATCAGTACACATGCTTTTCTAGATTTGTGTTTCATCTCCACAAGCAAGACAAACAATTAGTTTAGGGAATGATTGTCATGTAGAGACACTTTAGCTAATTCCCAAATTTTCAGAGAGTTTTTTCCCACTGGGGAAGGGTTTTTTTTAAATCATTCTTTGGGGATAGAACTCTTATGTTTTAAGATGCTTCAGGATGGCCCATCTTTGACTATTTCTAGTTAACACACACATAAAAGAAGTCAGTCTTGCTGTACAGGTAAAAAGGAATGCTTTGCTTCTATTCTAATGGAGAATAATTCACCCTATTAAGGTTAAATCTATATTTTTAAATCAAATTGACAGATATTGTCAGACATTAAGAAAGGAATAGAGGTGAGGATTTTATGCTTTTGTATTCCTTCTTTCTATCCTGTTCCTAATTTAAGCATTGAGCTATGAAATTGTTTCCAAAATGTATGCTTTGGTTACTCTACCTTATTGTTTTTGCTGCAAGCAACTACCATGTGCACACTGTAGAACTGAATAACTCATGAATTCTGGGAATGTATTCATGCAGAATGCCCTATATTGGAAACAATAGCAAAGAATGTGAAAAATAGATCTTGTAGTATTCAATTTCAGAAGAAGGAGATTAGAAGGAGGAAGACAAGAAGAAAGAGGTCTGATTCAGATCTTTTACTTCTTTTTAACCCACTTCCCAGGATGAGGAGAGAGAAGGCAATTTGGGGGAAAGATGGGTAGGACCACTTACACTGAAAGAGAGTAAAGAAAAAAGCAAGTCTCAGCCAACTGCTATGCAATGTGTGTAACATGCATTGCAAACCTCTGCAATGCCTTTACAGTTCAAATAGCTCCATTTAAACCAATGGTGCCTTCAAATTCTTAGGGACAGACGAATCTATACACTTGGCTTTCTCTCAGTGACTATTTTTTCCTGTGGTAAGTTTGGTTCAGCCTGAAGCTTGCATAGAAATCCTTACTTCTCTCTGAATACTAAATACTAAGTGTGTGCTTACTCTACTGTACTTACTCTACTGAGTAAGTAAGTAGAATAAGAGCAAGTGTGTGCATCTTAATGCTTGTCTCCCCTCTCTTTTTTCATATAAGCTAAACATCCATATGATATTAGGTTTAAAAGTGCATCTGACTACAGAAATGGAGTGAGTGTTCTCTTTTGTAATGATACATTGCCCTATATGTTTAGCTCTCTGGTCCCATTTTTAAATAAGGATGGCCACAAGTCCACCTGATTGACCCAATCACATGACTGCATAAATATCTTGCATGAACATGGCCTTTCTGCCTAGGTGAGCAACACTGGAGCCATGGAAATGAACCACAGTGCTACTGCTGATGTTGAATTTATATTGGTAGGTCTATCCCAGGATCGTGGATATCAGAATTTCATCTTCTGGACATTCACTTTTATCTACACAATGGCTTTGGTAGGCAACTTTCTCCTTATCCTTGCCATTGGAACTTGTAGGAAACTGCACACACCAATGTATTTCCTTTTGGTCAACCTATCTGTGGTGAATGTGTGCTCAATCTCAGTTACAGTTCCCAAAATTCTTCAGATGGTCTTGGACCAAAAAAGGACCATCTCATTTTCTGGCTGCATCACTCAAGTATTTCTCTTTGTATGGGCACTGGGGACAGAAATTCTGTTATTGTCATTTATGGCTTTCGATCGATATGCTGCCATCTGCCAGCCTTTACATTACACTGACATTATGAGGAAAGAGATATGCATTGGGGTAGCTGCTGGAGTGTGGCTTGTGGGACTGGCCAATTCTGCAGTTCATGCTGGGCTTCTGATGACATTGTCCTTCTGTGACTCTGAAATCATCAACCATTTCTTCTGTGACCTGCCTCCCCTGTGGAAGCTGTCCTGCTCCAACATCAGCCTTAATGAAGCCATGGCATTTGCAGCTGATGTGACCTTCACAATGAGTAGCTGTACTCTCACCCTGATATCATATTTGCTTATTTTGAGAACCATACTTAAAATCCAATCAGTGACAGGAAAGAAGAAAGCATTCTCAACATGTTCTTCCCATCTCCTGGTGGTTAGCTTTTACTTTTCCACCATCATCTACACATATGCTAAACCTCATTCCACCAATGATGAAGAGGAATATAAAACTATTGCTATCATTTACTCAGTGGTAACCCCAGTGCTTAATCCAATTGTATATTCTCTTAGAAACAAAGAGGTTAAAGAGGCTCTCACAAAATTTATATGTAGACATCAGTCTTTCCAGTAAGGCTGGTTTGAATCCATCTGTTTCTGTAGAACATAAGCAAGTTTACTAGCAACATATTAAAAATAAGTAGATGGATAGATGTTGTATAGATAGAAGGAGCTAGCTGTAGTGTAGTTAAGCAAAATACTCTATGCACTCAGAATATGCAGGAGTATGTTTGTGAGTGCATACCTGCTTGTTTCTGTGTGTGCATAAATGGTCTTTCTGCATGAGAGAATGTGTGCATGTTTGTGTAGATTTTAAAGAGATCACATGCCCGACTTCCCACAGCCCCAATTGTTCTGTCCATTGCGGGGGAAAAAAATATTCCTTTATAATCCCCGTTTAGGTTTCATCCCTTATTTCTTTCTTAATTGTAGAATGGTGTCTGTCATCACCATTGGTGTCATTGTCAACATTGTCAGTTTAAGATTGTCTGCTATTCCCACATCTTTTAAGGTATAGGATAGGTTTCTTCATTTTGTTGATTTATCTGGTTGATTTGTTGTTTCAAGGGTCTGTGCTTTAATCCCTGTTGTAACATGCCTTGAGTTCCCCTCCCTCACCTTGAAAAAGGTATCTAAGAAATGTAATGCACCATGAGGACTGCACCAACTCATTCTGTTGCCTCAGGTAAAGGACAAGATGGTTCCCCTGCTCCCGTTCCACGCAAAATGCCTACAGGACTCACAACAGAACTTTACCTTAGCTTTGGCCAAGGAAGAGCATCCCCCACCAAAGGTGAAGGCAGCAAGCTAGCTTGCGGAGCACGTGAATCTGGGTGACCTACAGCTCTCTGCTTCAGCACCTTCCTGCCACCTCCCAGCATTTGCTGCCTGAGACAGTTGCCTCACTCTGTCTTATAGTTGGGCTGCCCTATGAACATTATTGTCATCCTCCTGCTTTAGGTAAACTGGACTGAGACTGGGATTGCACTAGGCAGTTGCAACATTTCTAGGAATAGTGCCTCTTGCCGGATCCACTGAGCCCATTCCTGCATGTGGATATGGGGTATAATCCAAACAGGGGTAGGAACTTGCAATCTGTGTTGCTCTCCTTAGGAGCACCTCAGAACCTGCCCCAGTTGAACCAGAAGACTGGCCCAGGAATGCTAAATAAACTTAATTGAGAGTAAATCCAATCTGGGACAAGGGGAATTTGGTTCTGAGTAGGGTTGTGTGAGGAATCCATTTCTGGGGTTCCTCGTTGGGGTGGGAACTGTTTGAATTCCCTTTGCTTGGCTCCCTGGACTCTGGCCCTCTTTCTTGCTGCCATTAGTGTGACTTTCTGGAGAAGGTACTGAGTGTTCATGCAGGTGCCCACCAGGAATATAGGTCCATGTGAATGCTTCCCAGGTGGCATCCCTCTTTCAGGCAGGTAATTTGCAGCCTTCCGTGTGCTGTGGAAGAAGGCTGCCAGTTGCTCATCCAGCTTTCTGCAAGTGTTCATGGACTTTCTCTCAGCTCAGCTCACTTCCAAAGTGAAGACTAGGTGTGAAAAGAAGTCTAAAGAACAGATGTGGGTTGGGTTCTGAGGAAGATCATCACAACCCTAGGTCTGAGTAAACATCATGAAACAAAAGATTTGTTTCCCCATCTAAAATTTATTTTCTCCTGATCTTCAGGGGGTGGGGAGGTTCACATGAAACTGGGTACATGTTTCTAGGTGTATATACCCCATGCATGCATTTTCCACAGATGCAAGTAATTTTCCTAATATCTCATCTTATTTAATTCATTATTTTATTTTATATTTTCAAAATACAGAGACAAATATCTAATAAAGAAAAATCCAACAAATTCAAATGTGTTATTTGAGGAAAGGTGATATATTTCTTTTAATGTACATTCCAAAGTAATGCTGGACTTCGTTGTTCGCTTGGAGGATTTCTTGTTGGTTCTTCTGCATGCTGTTTTATATTTTCACACATAACAAAATACACACTTGCCTCAGAGTAAGTCACACATTGCCTGGATGGTCACTGGAGTTACAGATATTTTTCCATTTAAACAAGCACAGGTTTGTGTGCAAACAACCTCTGTAATTTGAGGAAAGTCTCTGACACTGCACTATGTATGTCCCTGGTCTGTATATAAAACAAAATCAAGGAATTTATTTTTTTGAAAATTAGATATTTTAACTTTAGTTTAGTTTAACCAATATCTCTTGATGCAATGATTTATATCCCAAGACTTTTGCCACCAAGATGGAAGTACTAAAAAGACAATGGTTCTATAGTTTCCCAACTTTTGATTATTACTCTGGCAGTTGCCATCAGCATGAACACAATTCAAGTCCTAGATGCACACTTCACATACTGTTAATAGAGCCCATGATGATGTCACATAGGCAGTTTGATGTGTGTGTTTGCCATTTCTCGTACTGAGATGTTCCAAAACTTGAACACAAAAGAGCATAAAAACCCCATAGAACTATAGAAAGTCTGCTGGTATCATGTCTCCATTATTTCTTATTGTTTATTTTTACTACATTCATCAGGTAAACTGGAGTAATAAATAACCTGGCGGTGGTGGTGGAGACATGCAAATGCCGGCTAAGAATCTGTTTCCAGTGGAAAAGGTGTAGGAGCCATGGAAAGGGTTGCAGTCATCTTTGGAACTACAAGTGGCCAGAACCACAGGTGGCCCAGATATCAGGCAGGCTGGATTTGGTCCACAAGCTGGAGGCTGAACACAGCAAATCTAATGCATATATTTAATTTTAGAGCATTGGATATTAGAGAGGTCAATGCTTGGTGTGATGGTCAAGAGTGTGGGACTGGATATTTGGTAGATCTGGGTTTAGGCCCTGCTCAGCCATTGAGTTATCAGGGTGACTTTAGACCAGTCACACACTCTCAGCCCAACCTACCATAAAGGGTTATTGTTGTGAGGATAAGATTGAGAGGAAGAGGAGGAGAATTATTAAAGCCATTTTAAGTTCCTTGAAAGGGGAAAAAGGTAGGATATAAATATAATAAACAAATAATTTGTTGAACATATTCAGACTATTCCTATTCCAATTGGTCTTCTTTGCTTGTTTCTTCTGTATCTGGCAGAACCATGCCTGTTGCCCTTTCCCAGCATTGACAAGCCCAGAGGCCCCTGCTCCTTGATATTTGTGTCTGTAAGATATTTGAGAAGGGGGACCTAAGTGCATATGTAAACAGTAAAGTCAATTGTGAAGGGTTCCCAATTGCATGGAGCATCCATGTATGTACATCTGTTTGTGTGTAATGTTCTTTTTCAGATCTAGGTGGCTCTGTAAAGATTTTGATGTAAAAAGTTATCTCCAGGGGTTGGCAAAGCTGAGCAATTCTCAAGGCCCCAAGACCAGGAGAAGGCCCACCATTCTAACTATGATCCCATTTTTACTTTTCATAGCATGTCCAAGATGGTTTGCCCTTTCATGATACATTAATTTGCAAAAGTCACAAATATTTTCTTTTTTCATGTCAAAGAGGCAGGGAGGGTTGCAAAAGGCTGGCAATTGTCATCCTAGTCCTATGCATTTGTTATTTGCTACACTTTGTTCTATTAGGCTTATTCACAAGGAAGTGTACACCAACTTGCAGCTTTAGGCTGGAATTCTAAACATGTTTAAGCTCCATTTGGGAGTTAATAATAGCATTTCACCATTAGCAACCAACCAACCAACCAACCAACCAACCAACCAACCAACCAGACCTGTGTTGGTCCAGATAGCTTCTGCAGCTAAATTTTTATGGGATGATTTAGGTCAATAAGAGAGAAAGTGCTTAATAAAGTGGAATATGATAAATGGATCATAATGAAAAAGATTCTTTTTTTTACCTCAATCAAATCAAAATGCCATCTTCATGGCTGAAATAGCACAGCACTTGAAATTCAGTTGGTTCAATATTCCTGCAAAGGTTTTACTTTACTTACATTTCTTATTCTTTGCTGCCACCAAGTGTCCAAAATGGTTAAATGCAGTGATTAAAATAATTCTTGCATGGATGTTGTGGCTTGATTAACCTTACTGATGTCTGAGGCATCTCTGCAATGGACAGTGCTGAGCAATTATGCAAATCACAGCTGGTCCTCAAATAAACCTTACTTTTAGTTCCAGACACACAGGAGCTGGCTGTGAAGGCACTTTGCATATGAGTACCAAGGGCAGATCTGAGAGCTAACACCTGGCCTATACATTGCAATCATGTGAAAACACCTTCTCCTGTGGGTTGTTCTTGGGCAGTAATTCAGGCATCATATACAATGGTGCATAGGAACAATGCACACACCCAACCTTCCCAGCCTTGCTGTATTGAGCAGGCAGGTCTACAGGGGTCTTTTACATGCATTCTTTTTTCTTTTATGTTGAAAAGGAGATGCTTCTGCATTGCATGGCAACATTCCATTGCCTTTCTGTCTGACCTGTTTCTTGGCATGCAGCAGTTGGTGTTCTTTGGGAAGTCCTTTTTATCAATTACCTGGAAGAGGGGATAACGAGCCTACTGACTACATTCAAAGACAATGCCAAAGTAGGGGAAGTGGCCACAACTGAGGAGCGGGTGATCCAGATCAAGAAGGATCTGGGCAGACTGTGGAAGTGGGCAGGGGACAACAGGATGGCATTCAATGTGGATCAGTGCAAGTACAAGTACCGGATGGGAGACAAGTGACTAAGCAGCAGCACTTGTAGGGATCTCGGGGTACTTGTTGGGAGCAGGCTGAACATGAGCCAGCAGTGTGATGTAGTGAGTAAGAAGGCAAATGCCACCCTTGGATGTACAGCCAGAAGCATGGTTTCCATATGTAGGGAGGTGTTGATACCAGTCTACACAACTCTAGTGTGGCCACAACTGAAGTACTGCAGCCAGTTCTGAGATCCACATTATAAGAGAGACATAGCTAGGCTAGAATCCATTCAGCACAGGGTCACAAGAATGGTAGCCAGGTTGGGAGGGATAACATAAAAGGAGACATTGAGGGAACTGGGTCTTTTCAGCCTGGAGAAGAGGAGACTCCAAGGGTATCTTTTAGTGACTTATAGATATG